AAAAAAAAAAAAAAAAAACAAAAAACACATGGAGGAAGCAATTCGATTGTTCTTACCGGTATCTTCCCTTCGAATCACAAAATGATGCAAAAATGATGCCACATTTATGAGAAAAGTGGTCAGCCAGTATTATTTAATTGCAGCTGGGATTCGTTTTCATTGCTGAAGATTACATAACCGAGATTATGCAGCTTGAATGACATGTGTGAAGGGTTTTTCCTGGTCTACAGTTATAGTTTGCTTTGTTTGTTTGCTAGGTGGGTTGTTGGGGTGTTTGTTTGTTTGTTTGTGATTATGTTTTATTTGGCAATTGGCCGGAAAGGCCCACAAAAGTCTTTTGACTTATTTCCAGTGGGGTCCTTTGGCAGAAGATGTGGAAGGAAATTATAGCTTAGTGGTGGGAGGAAAACCTCCGAATGATATTCTAGGGAAAACCCACGGACTCAGGCAGGGACTGAAAAATCCACTCTGCATATTGGCCCAGGCGGGATTCGAACCCGGGGTCAAGTTTCACAAGTTTCTTGTGTATTACTGGGCAACAACGTTCTACCAAAAACAAGGCGGAAACAGTAAAACAAAAAAAACATGGAAAAACAACAACAAAGGTTCACTGTGCTGAGCAGAAATTATTGCTGAACAAACTTATTTACTAAGCATAAAGTAGCTGAGGACCAGTGAAAAACAATGTGCATCACTCGATGTTTTGGTTGGTTACCAATTTTGGCTAAGCAATTGATTTCTGTACTTAGCATGAAATTGGCCCTGAGTGTTTGATTTTGATTGATTTGAGATCAGAGAACTGACATCTAAACTGAAGATGTGTCATTGAAAAAAAAAAGTGTTTTCAAATAATTAGACAGTAATGCGAAGTTACACAAGGAAAATTACACAAGTAAATCAAGTAGAAACCCCCACCCAAATTTTAAAAAAAAATAGTAATTTGAAGAGGGCGAAATTTTACTGTGAACACCTTTCTTCAAAAACACAATAATAAACTTTAATGCTAAAATGGCCTTGGTTGTCTAGCCAGTTGTTCAGATTAAGAATCCCTTAGGGGAAATATTTGGAGAACGCCTTGACAAAAGCACTGAGGTAATTAACTCCATTGTGAAGCCATGGAATGCTTTCTTTGGGAGCGACAGGCTCAAGATATATGGCAATGAGACCAGGCACTTTGAAAGTGGAAATATTTGTGTGTTGCATTTTTATAACAGTGGGTCGATAGTGACCAATGTCTGAATTAAGTGGAAATGAGTTTTATTCCCACGAACAGGCTTCAACAACTTGGATAAGGTTTGCTTTACTTTTTAAATGCTGAGATTTGCAAAGACTTGGGGGAAAAAAAAAGATGTTAAAAGCATGTAATAAAATGAAATTTGAATTGCATATACTTTGTGTATAGATGTATTTGTGTATTTATTTGCTAATTATGAAATGAACAAAGAAACTGACTGAAGCAGGGTTTGAACCTGCGACCTCCGGGTAACCGTTCCAATGCACTACCAACTGAGCTATCCAGCCCTATGTTGGCGGTTCCCCAGGTTTTGTCAATGTCCTTGTTCAAGCAGTCCTTCTGATTTGAGGCGTGCGATCACACCCCTACACCATCGCACACCTAAAAGCCTGAATTTCCCTGGACCACAGATCACACACCTAGAAAACCACACACCTAGAAAAAAATCCACACCTGGAAAAATCCAGGTGTGCCTTTTTCCACACGCCTGTGATTTTCAAATCGGAAGGACTGTTCAAGGGGCGCTAATCTGAAGCCATAAACCCACGGATGATATATTATTCACGATATTCACTGAAAATATTTAATGAGCAAAACTGTTCCAACTTTGGTAACTTTTTGTGTTGCTTATTTTTTCACAATTTCTTGAAGATGCTGTTCACGTTTTCAACGCTAAAGTTATACTACATATGTAACCCAATTCAAGGCCAATCGCGTGCAAAACACAAATAAGCCTTTATTTTCATATATTCACAGCTATATACTAAAGGCTATTCAAAACTTTCCAGTGAGCGTACCTTTTTTTAAACCTGACATAACACCCCCGCACATAATTTATGCGCTGTAAAAACATCACCTTGGGTTATTTCTTTTGTACCGGTATGCAATTCGCATTCAATGTATTCTCACATAGGCCTCAAAAGAAAGCAAATCCAAGGCCAAGAAACGAAAAAAAACTTCCATTAAGCTTTCAAACAGGATTGAATAAGATGTTTAGAAGTCCCAGCATATGGCAGCCACTGCCAAACTTTGCGCATTGTGCGCACTGCACTTTTTGTAAGGTAAGAAAATACAGTTGTGACCATTGTACATGTGTTATGCTTTTGGAAGACGAACTAAAAGTTTAATGTGGTTTTCAAAGTACTTTTTGCAGTTAGAAAAGAATTCTTTTGAACAGAAATTGCTACACACCACAGTCAATGAGTCTGTCTGGGGAAATGTATTTCTGAAAAGGTTACTTGAATAACCTCCCCCCCCCCCCCCCCCCGAAAAAAATGGAATGTTAAAAGGAATCAACTGAATTTGTAAAATCATGTGCTTGGATGCTGTAATTTCATTGGTCTAAAACGGCCACATGTCCAGTCTGTAAAAATAACCGTTAACTTCATGTACACTGCGCTCCATATAAATGAACCCCATATACACTGCGTTCCCATGTAAATGAATCTCATATACTCGGCGCTGCATATGAAATTGCGAGCGTTGCGCACACGTGTGGGGCTTGCCTGCGCGCGCATGAGAACTGCAACCACTGAGTCTCATGTCCGGCAAGAAAACCTGCACTTATCAAGGGTTACACCGCAGCGATTTAATTCAATCTTGCAAACTAAGTTCATTTAAATTTGACTTATTGGCATGGTGCAAAAAAATAGTTAGTGGCCTGACGTTTCGACCCTAGCAGAGTCTTTCTCGAAGGCGCTTTAGCCTTCGAGAAAGACTCTGCTAGGGTCAAAACGTCAGGCCACTAACTATTTTTTTGCATTTATACCATAGGTCCTCTTGGTTGGTAAGCAGTTTGCAACAGCTAATTCTATTTTTTATTGGCATGGTATAACAAAACCATTATTGACTGCTTTAAATCCCTAGGGGGCATTCGCCTCCGGTGCTATGCCCCCCTCGGGTGTTCAAAATGGCATATCCCACATCACATCACAGCAGTCAACAAATTTTGCTGAACATTGCCTTAATCAGTAGTTACACAAACTGCCAGTGCATTGTCAAGCATGTGACAAGAATTTGCACAAATAATGTTTTTGTTTAAAATTCGCTCTTTTCACACTTCCGCCATGGGCATGCAGAGCCTCGATCTGGCAACTTTACACAATAAATATAGCCGGTTCAGTGATTCCCGTGTCGGGGTTCAGATCACTGAACTGGTTATTTTTATTGTGCATAAAAGTTGCCAGATCGAGGCTGTGCATGCCCAATGGCAGAGCGTGAAAAGAGCAAATAATCTAGGCTTTGAGAATTTCTAGAAAAAAAAAAAGAGATTTGGAACAGAGCTTACAAAAGAAATTGATTCAACAGTATTAAAGTGGTTATCTTTTGTGTGTCCTTTCACTATTTTCTTTCACAAAGCCCTGTGCCTAACAGTACATGCTTCTCCAATTTCAAAAGTTCAGATCTGATTTCAGATGTGCCTTTTATTGAAAATTGTGATTTAATCCTGAGAAAAATCCCGTTTTAAAACACCTTCCACTATTGGGTCTGTTATGCCTTCCCATACTGAATTCCTCCGGCTTTCTATGCCGAAGTCAAAACCAAAACAACACTTTGAAAGAAGCTCAACATGTGATCTCTCCCAATTTCTTTGAGCGCGACCAAAACAAATTTCTGATCAAACTTAGAGACACTAGATTTCATTTCAAGTTGACCACGTATGTGGACATGTTTTTCAGGGATTTGCTTTCTAAACACCTCTAAGCCGATTATAAAAGGGCCAAGGTGTGCCTTATGGCATTTCAGCCCTGATAAAAGACTAGCCACCTAACTAAAGGATTTTATGTATGCTTCGCTGACTCCATTGTAGGTCTTTTTTCCAGCCTGCAGAAAGTTCAAGAACCCTGTGTAACCCTCAAGGTCATGGTATTATTTGGCCAACAGGTGGCGCCAACACATTCCACTGATGATAATAAATGACTTTTTTTTTTTGAATGGGAATATAAGACTTCAGAATCCTGCAAGTGATGTTCAATGAAAGCATGGCATTATTTGGCCACTGGGTGGCGCTATACCACCAGACTGGTCAACACATAGACATCTAATAAAACCAAGACACGACATTTGCTCTCGCGTCTGTGAGCAAAATCCTGCGCGTATAGAGATGCTAGAGACAACAATCATGTGATGAATTGGGCAGATAATGAAATCTTGCACAGTGAGGGCGACAAATTCAGACTTTGGATACGTGAAAGTCTATGGATAAGGAGACGACGATCAACTCTTTAACAGAGATGAGGGAGGGTACGAACTGTCACACATATGGGACCCCTCATACCCCAAGTACCACCCCGGGTGAGGACACAAGCGGCCAGACCACCATCTAGTGGCCGCAACAGGAAACAGCGCCACCAACCGACTGGTGGTGCTTCGTTCTGAGGATGACTAGTGAAACTAGTCGAAACGTAAACGAAACTACGTAAGTAATTGGCTGTGTTTATAGAAAATTCATTTACAAAAGTTGAAATTTCACCAGCCTGATGAACTTCTTTCATGACTCAGTTTCATTTCCAGCTTTGACTTCAGATAAAGCCACAACTTGGAGCAGCTCAAAGCACAGAAATCTGCTAAGCATGGAAAATATCTGCTGAGCTAAGACAGGTTACCAGCCTAAATTGCATGGAATGTCTATTGCTTGTGATTGGTTCTCCGCTGATACATGCTTAGCACAAACTTTGCTTAGCAGTGTTTTTTGACTAAGCAGATCATTAAAATTGGGGACTACAGATCTAAAAAAGGAAATGAGAAGTATGGAATCCCGACTCACCCAGGGTAAGGGTTTGGAAGGTTGAAGCGTTTACTGAGCAGGCTGTCAGGGTGCCATTCTAGAGTGTCGCGGGTCAGCTTGCCAAACATCTTCAGGTCGGCCGCTTTGGCCTGGTCCGATTTATCTCCCTGGGGAAGGTGAAAGGTCAAAAGTGAAAGGTCAACTGTGAAAGGTCAAAAATTCAAGGCAAGCTTCAATCAACATGGGGTGAGGCCGTGTCCAAATTACTTGGCTATGGCTTGATATTGCACTTGTGTCTATGATAGCGGCTGTAGCCACTTCCCATATACTTGTATGTAATTTCAAGCCGTAGCCAAGTAATTGGACACGGCTTGATACTGGTTGACATATAATGCACAATGGCAATGTCTCTGCATTGTGTCAGCCTTCCAGCCAATCCGTAGATTCCAAAATCCATCAACATCCACAACATCACGAAAGATGCAATATTCAAACAGCAATGGTGAATATCCAAACACTTTCCTAAAACGCTTCAAACGTAATTTGTGAACGAAAATTGTCACAAACAGAGATATTCAATGCATTTAAATGTTGACAAATGAGAAAATGAAAAAGCCCAACCATTCATGTCGAACAGCGCCCTCTTCTCCAACAGTGCCCTCCGTTTTGACCATGCCTGATGGTGAGCAGAAACTTTGTGCTTACAACTGTAGGAAATTGCGCCAATTTTACATGTAAGCATAGATTATATGGCAATGAAGCATGACCGCTTTTGAACAAATGGAGCCTTCAGGCGCGAAAGCCAACGCGAATGCGAATTTGTGACGTTAGGGCAAGTTTTCGTGCTTGAATTCGCAAACGCTAAACACTTCAACTCCGGCGAATTATGCTTTGTGATGTCAAATTCGCATCGCATTCATATTCGCATGAATTATGAACCAGCCTTCTACTGTTGAGTAAGTTTTGAATATTTGGATCAACATCCGACTTATCTGCTTAGAAACTTCATAAAATTGACCCATACCCATAGCAAAAGTGACCAAAAAGTCCTTGGACTTACAACTGACCTATCGCTGTTTGCGAGTTAGCAACACCCCTTAGACAACCCATAGAATTGTTAACGTTAAGTTTTGTTTGTCTCAAATTTTGCGCGTTCCGCATCCATTTGTATATCATGTAATTGGACAATATATCACAAGCTGCGTTGACGTGATTCTACCAGAAGAAAAGGGACTGAAGCAACTTCCCATAGACTTGTGTGTTACTCCTAGCCGTAGCTAAGTACTTCAGATGTGGCCAGCGAAACCTACCCCTTCTTCAGCTGGGACGTCCACCGTCTCCTCCTCGTCTTTGTGCTTAGCGGTGACGAATCTCGTCGCCATCATGCTCGATAGGGGTCTATAGAGGGCAGAAGCACGGACGAACTCCTCCGCCTCTCGCTGGCGCTCCCATTCCGTCATGTTGGAAGCCGGAGGCGCGACATCCGAGTCTGAAAACGGAAAAAAAAAAATTGTTATCAGACTTCCCGGACCAATTTTCTTAGCTAAGATCAGAAATTTGCTAAGCACAGACAAATATTTGCTTAGCAAGAACAGGTTACCAGCCAAAATCACACCTGATGTGTATTGCTTGTGACTGGTTCCCCGCTGATTTTTGCTTAGCACATTAAATTTGGTAAGCAGTATTTGCTGCTAAACAGCTGTGACCATTAATGATGAAAAGCATCATACAATGTGTATGTACAGTGGAATCTCGATAAGTCTAACCTCAGGGGAATTGGCTCAAATTTTGCATTAAGCAGAGATCTGAGTTATCCAATGGATTTTCTATTCAACAACAATTTTACTTTTGAGTTAGAAGGGTTTTGAGTTAACATGTTTTGACTTATCGAGATTTCACTGTAATAAAATTGTTCACTTTTTTTTTTAAATTGAGAGAGAGGTGTTTATTTTTGAAATTTACCGTTGGGACAAACTTACTACCTTAACCCCTTTCAATCAGAAGAAATGAATGCATGTATAAGAAACCCCACACAAAATCACTCCTTCAAGTCCGTTCAAAAAACCCTAAAATGTTATTAACCTTTTCCACTTCCTTTTCGAGCCAAATACTCCTCATATCTCTGTTGTTTGGCAGCATCGTTGGCAAAAGGCTGAAACCCGCCGCCGAACGCCTGAAGACGCTGAGGGTCACTAGCAGCAGGGGCGGCCGGGGCGGGGCTCGGAGCACGGTGGAATCGGCTTTGGGTTGGTTCTTGTATCTGCTGCCCTCTAGGGTGAGATGGAGTTGCGTCTTGAGTAGACGAACTGCTGCTTTTTAACTTTTCACGATCTTCCACAGAGAGGAAATCAAAGACAGAGGACTGGCCTTTGGAATCTGTGGAAAAACAAAAAGCCATGAAAGAATCCAGGATATTTACTCGAATTTTACCAAAGGATGTAAACATTTTTTCATTAGAATAAAACACCTCATACTTTTTCATTCTATAAAATGATGCTTGTGTTCTTGAGCAAGACACTTTACTACAATTGCCTCTCTCCACCCAGGGGTATGAATAGACCAGATAACGCTGATCTCAAGCGGCTGCAGGAAACATGTGTCATGAAGCGCTTTCAAATTATCATTATTATTAATATTACTGTACTTCATGCTACATTTACAAATACGATGAATCTCAAAAACTCTACCAGGCAGTTGTTCTTCCCCGAGTATAGCGGCTCGCTGAAGGGCGCTGAGGGTGAAGCGACTGCTCTTAAACTCCGTCGCTGCTTGGGGCGGCCTGTTCTCCTTAGCAAACTTGTCCACGGTGTGGAAGGGACGGAAGTCTTTGGGCAGCAGCGGTGGGGGAAATATCTGGTAACGAAGGGGGAAAAAAAATAATTCTTGAATACGAGTGGAAATGTGCTAACTAGATTTGAGGAACAGCCAAGTGGAGAGTAAATTTGTTTGATATTGCTTGGTACTATCCCATTTAGGAGACCTTAACGTCTAAACTACTCTACATATTCAGGCCAAATTGCTTGGCTCCGTTTAACCCTAAAAGGGCCCGGGGGGGGGGGGGGAAGGGAAAATCCCCCCATTGACTTTTTCTGCGATACCCTTGCAAAATAAATTTTCCCGACCCTAGCTTTCTTGACTTTTTAGCAGATTCTTGCATGTCTTTTGATACCAAAAACATAAAATTCATACCATTGGTTACCGCGCAGCCAAAATATTTTCAACGCTATGCGCCGTGAAAACTGAAATTCCCCTTATGAAATTTAAACACAAAGCAGGATTATCATTTTGTGCGTATGAATAATTAATTATCTATAATTCCAAAACCCTTTGACCTATAGTCATGAAATTTCTTGGATATGTTCATATTAAGTTGTTCTATGCATTCCTTAAGTTTCATAATTTTTCGTCACTCAATGGTTGAGATATGAGGGGGGAGGGGGGCCGAATCAGCATGGATGTCAAACAGCATCTTAGAAAGATCTCAAGCAGTTAGGATTTTGAGTGACTTAAATGACGTCAATTTATCAAAAATTTTAATTGTTTACCTTATTTGGTGGTCTTGCCTGCGCTGAGACCTTGAAATTTTCTAACACTCCTCTACTGGCTGTAGGTGAAGATGAAAAATGAAATTGTGTCTTTCAAAATAATACACAATCAATCTTTACTGCTCTCATTTTTTTCCCAAGTGAGAAATAAAACTAGAGGGGAAAAATGGCAAAGAACTGTTCAGATGTTTGATAACATCCATGCACAGAAAAAAATGCCATCAAGAATAAATGAGTTCAACACTTTTTTTTGGATGAATATCCATCAAATGCTGCCAACAGAGGGCGCTGTCACACCTGACCATTACTCTGAGAAAAACATGCTTTGGTCAAAATGTAGAAAAAAAATCCCAAAACGCAAACATGCTACTTTTATGTTGCTTGTCTTCTTATTAAAAATATTAATTTCAAATATGCCTGGCTTTACAGTTAATTACAAGTAGGGTTATATTTGGCCAACAACTGGGCCCAATTTCATAGCGCTGCTTAACAGCCAACTTTGTGCTTACCGAGCCTCCATCTATTTCATAGGGACCATTAAGCAGTAAGCACAGCAAAAGCACGCTTAACCCCAGAAGAAAACTTTGCTTAAATCAGTGACGTAACAATAGAAATCTCCATGCACGCAACAGTTAGCATGAAATAGTGCTTAAGCAGCAGCAGGATTTTCTGCTACAGTAAGCACAACTTTTCTGCTTACTGTTAAGCAGCGCTATGAAATTGGGCCCTGCCAATAAGCATTATATTGTCAACTCTTTCACATGTAGGAATGGGGGGTGGAGTGGAGGGATGAAAAATGTTCCTCAGGGGTTCTAGGGTCCATTCAGAAAAATAAAAGCTTCCACACAAATGCTAATGTACCAGTAACTCACACCACAAATCTCATCCACTATGTCAATACCCTTGAGAACGGCTAAGAATGTGTGCAGCGCACTCTTAAGCCAGCTAATCCCAATGCACACATTGGAGCCAATCACTTAGACCCCGTTCCCACTTGATCCACCAATTGGGGGATCTGATCCACCTTTTGCCAAATTGCCGGATCAGATCCCCCAATTGGTGGATCAGATCCGGCAATTGTGTGTAGTGGGAACGCTAACCGTTATAAGGTGGATCAGGATCAGATCCACCTTTTTTGATCCACCTCTGGACCAGGATACAGATCCCCCAATTGGTGGATCAGATCCGGCAATTGCCGATCACGATCAGATGGGAACGCAAAAGGTGGATCTGATCCGGCAATTTGACCTGGTAACATCCGCCCGGTGCACGAGTGGCGCGAAAATGTTGCGGTCTTATGAACGAAGAAACACGTTTTCAGGCGTGTAGCTCATGTGAACATTTCCAGCGTATACAACATGCACAATAAACAACCGCTGAACTACGGGCTAGCACCGCGCATGCAAAAGCGCACGTGGTATCCTAAAAGTACACTAGGCCTTATTTTTGTTGCGTGTTCGTCCATTACTAAACCTTTTTTCATTCGTGAAATTTTACTTATTTTTCCATCCATAAATGACTCTGAGTCCGCACTCACCAAAAGACTTCACTTTGGCACAGAATCATGGAAAAGCTTACGAGTATGCGATGAGAATAGTGCCGATAACGCGGTACGTACTGAGTGACAAATCTGAAGTATTGATTATAGAAAATTGGAAATGATGTCGTAGTACATCATGTGACCCTTTCTAACCAATGAGAAGCTTCAGAACCAGGGAATCCTTTATCGATGCATTGGTTTCTGCCGTGATGTCACACAATGAGCGGCTCTGATCTGTTTGATTTCACCTGTTAATTTATGCACGCACGGATCCTCTACGGATCCGTGATTTATGTTGGTGAATTCGCGTAATTTTTGTCGGTGAATTCTGATAGTGCTGTTTGAAAACTGACCCATCCTGGTCTAGCGTGCAACCATGCAACAATGGCACTCCCACAGAGCGCGCGTAATTCCGAACTCAGTGACCTTTCGGACCCGACATTTCCGTACGAAAAGGTGGATCAAGCATAAGTGGGAACGCGTCTTGCGGTTTCGTTGCGGTAAGATAACGATCACACCAAAATGCAGGATCTTGATCCACCTTTTTCCAATTCAAGTGGGAACGCGGTGTTAATCTCGCCATTCCAAGCCCAGTTGGTCTTCGCTCCGGTCACATTTTTTTTTTTTTTAAGCGTGGCACACATTTAAGCAAACCATGCACATACTATGTTAATACGGGCTTCATGCCTGAATCAGTAAGCCGTGCTGTTGGACCATGGCCATAATGTCTCCGCGTGCAGGCCATATTCTGAATGCATGCAGGCCATATTCTGAATGCGTGCAGACCATATTCTGAATGCGTGCAGGCCATATTCTGAATGCATGCAGGCCATATTTTGAATGCGTGCAGGCCATATTCTGCATGCGTGCAGGCCATATTCTGCATGCGTGATACCTGTAGCATCTAGGCGTGAGCGCCAGGCCTGCAGTGGCGATGCGTTCAAGAATCCCCTTATTCCCTCCCTCTTAACCGACACCGAGAAATTCCAAGCTTACCTCATGCGCAACATATTCAAGCTAATGTGATGCGTGAGGTATGCTCGGAATTTCTTAGGGTCCCAGCGCCAAAGTTCCTAAGACTGCATTTGAATTATCTTGCTGCAGCACTCTTCTTTGATAGAGCGGCTTGGCCACACTTGTCAGAGACTAATGGCATTAGGGACCAAAAAAAATGAAATCCTGTCTTGAACTGAGACTAAAAGTTCTTCTGACCTTTGTCGTGACCCCTGGGGGCCGTCCACCCATAATTGCTATCGCCTGGCTCCTCCCCTCCCAAGACAGTGTCATAGTTGGACATACTGTCCACACCGTATATGTTGTCATCCGCGGTCTCAAAGGCTCCCACGCCAAAGCCCTAGTGAAAAAGAGAGAACGAAACATCCAACATAAATTGCTATGAAAACTGCGTATCATTAGAATTGTTTAACCTTTCAATATCAGAAATGGTCATTAGAAATCAATATTCCAAAACAAAACAATGTCAGTCAGGGTGCCTGGCACAATTTGTGATGCTTGAGAAAAATAATGCCGGGATTTATGCTTATTATTTATGTGGAGTGCTGCGGTCCAATGGGTACGGTGTTCAACTCACGTGCCGTGGTACGTGCATTTGAATCCTGACAGGGAACATTGGGGTTGTGTTCTTGGGCAAGACACTTTACTACAATTGCCTCTCTCCACCCAGGAGTATAAATGGGAACCTGTGAAGGTAGAGACCAGAATGTGCTGATCTCGAGCGGCTGCAAAAACTGGTCTCATCTTGGCCTGATGAACAGGGGTAATAATTGTGAAGCGCTTTTGAAACCTTAGGTATAAAGCGCTATATATGAACCACATCATTATTTTTATTAATTAGAACGAAGGCTGATCCCAATAAGAATCCCCTTGTGATTGACTTGTGACCCTTGTGATTCCCTTGTGATTCCCTTGAGATTCCCTTGTGATTCCTTGGTGATTCCCTTGTGATTCCCTTGTAATTCCTGTGTATTTCCCTTGAGATTCGCTTGTGATTCCCTTGTGATTCCCTAGTGATTCCCTTGTGATTCCCTTACAATTCCCTTGTGATGGACTTGACTACAATTCTGAGACAACCAAGTCCATCTTGGAACACGTTTTAAACACTGCTTGTTCTTACAAAAATTACAACATTCATTCAACAAATTCTGAAATTGCATCAGCTTGGTTTACGACATGACTTTTTTACGTTGGATTCATTTGTGTTTTGTTTGTTTGTCTGTTTGTCTGTCGTTCTGTCTGTCTGTTCTTGTTTTTGTTCTTGCTGTATTTACATTGTCCAAGCTGTTTCAATAACAAGCCTTTGCTTACGTGAACATCCTTGTACTCTCCTATATTATTCTTTCTCTACTTATTTATTGAAAATAATTTAGTTCTTTAAATCCCAGTTTGTATTGGTATGTTGAAGAGTGCAAAATAAATGCCTACTGAATCAAACTGAATTGAACTGAACATTCCAAGTTTTAGACATACTCTTAAACTTTGCCAAAACATAAACCCTTCAGTCCAGAGTTTCAACTTCCAACATAAATGAAACAAATAAAAGAAATATTACTTGAATTTCTCGTTCCTATTAAAAAAAAATTTACCCTAACTCCCTAGGCCTTTTTGCTAGGACGTAGCCTCAATCCTGCAAAATCCTCCAATTGGCCTCATGGAAAAAAAATAGCAAAGGGGGCCTATAGCCTCAATCCTGCAAATTCCTCCATTATTTCTTGAATATGGTCTGTGAAGGGGTGACCACTGCCTGAATCCTGCAAAATCCTGCGGCAGTGACTGTCAATATGTTGAGGCTTGGCCAGTGACATCCTGCAGCAGTATGGAGGATTTCAAGCATAATCCAGGCCTATAGTTATGCATGGCTGAGTAAAAACAACACCAGGTCCGGCCCAAGACCTTGACAAAGTGCATCCTACGAAATCAGTAACGCACTTTGCCATGTAACCTCAATCCTCTAAATTCCTCCACTTTGGCAAAGAGGATTTTGAAGGATTCAGGGTGGTTAGGGTTAATTAATGCATATTTTTTTTTAAGATACCTGTCCCGCGATGCCACGTCTGCCGCTCCGACTGTACACCGGTTGCTCTTCAAACAGTGCGACGTGCCCTCCCATGCCAGCCATGGAAGGGTCCAGCCCTCGGTAGCCGATGCCATGGTAGTCGTCCTTGGGGTGCAGGGCAATCTCCTCGACATCGGTGGGAGCAAAGAGGAAGTCCTTGAAGGGATCATCATCTTCACCATCGTCGTTGTCAGATGCCTTGACGTCAAGGTCTGAAACAGCACCATGGTACATTATACACCAATTGAATAAAAACCATCTCCCAATTCAGGTTATTCTATTTGCGAAGAAGAAAGTCTGACAAAGTGACCAAAAATATTGAAAGAACCTCGATTAGACTTACCACTGGGGGCGCTCTTCTTCTTTCTTCGCCTGACCTTTGGCCCAACGCCCTGTCCCTGCCTCCATCCCATCTTACGAAGGAGCCACCCCCCAATGGACTCACTGAGAACACAGACAAACCACAAACAAGGAGTTTATGAAAATTCACATGGTAAACTCTTTAAGAAAGGTCCTCATTTGAATAGGAGGTCTTTTAAGTGGCAGTGGGGCACCCAGATTTTTCAAGTGGGGCGCTTCAGGGCTAAAAATATTCGCTGGTCCAGTATACAAATATTGACTGCTTCGAGTGATGTTGTAAAACTAGCCTCCCTGGGTAAGAAAGAGGGGTTTATAGGGTGAGGGTTGGAGTTGAGTTGTGGGTGTGAGTTTTGGGATGGGTTGGGAAGGGTTTTGGGGTGGGCGTGAAGTTCTGGGTGGGTAGGGATTGGGATAGGGGTAAGGTTGGGTGGGGTGGGTTTGGGTGGAATGGGGTAGGGTGGGAGTTTGTTTCTGATTCAGTAGGGGACGTTGAACAATAGAGGACAATTGGGTCCTCAATTCCAAAAGGTCCCCAATCTACGATCGTGTATAAAAGATATGGGCAGTCTTCCTAAAAAGTTTGAGTACAAACAAAAGCGGAACAATAGGGGGTCCCCGATTGCAGGCAAATAAACACTTGTGGGGGTAGGTGGGGTGGGTTGTGGGTGGGATGTGGGTGGGGGTGGGGTGGGGGTGGGGGTTGGGATGGTGGTGGGGTGGGGTGGGATCTGGGTTGTGTGGGGTTTTGGGTTGGGTGGGGTTTTGGGGTGGTGGTGGGGTGGGGGTGGGATTGGCGAGAGGGTGGAGGACGGGCTGGGGAGGGGTTGGATGGTTTTGTTTCAGAAAGAAGATTATTAATCTACTGATCTCTCCAAACACAGCATGACAAGACTTTAGGAATGTGATGACTGGTGTTTTCCTTTAACGCTGCTTACTTGCTCATCACAATCAGATCCTGTAGTGGGTGCTCTCCAGGTATGGCGCTAGGCCCTGAACTGGGAGCAAGTCTTTTCTGTGGTTTCCCTTCTCCAGTGAATTTCTCTGTGGTCACTATCTTGCGCGGTGCAATGCCAAAGTCCCCTAGGTCCTTGGACAAAAAAATTAAGATGTTCAGTAATGGTAAAAACTCTGGCAGGCAAAAACACTATTACTCTGTTGGTTTGCAGCTTTTAAAAACCAGGAATGGACATGTTGCTTAACCATTTAGCATATGTGTCTAACTGTGATATATTGTATTTATTCCTTGATGAATCTATGGGCTTTGTGTGTAAGTTCCCCCTCGATGGTAAGAAAGGGAGAGTTGGGAGAGACCACTGGGGGAGATATTCGAACGCATTGCTGCCCCTGCCCGGCACTCAAGCGACAACCCTATGGCTTTGTGCACATTCAGAGTAAAATAAGTTGTGCGTTCTTTGGGCTACATGGGCCCAAACCAGAACAACAAGATGGGTGTTGTGTGGATTTCATTCTGTTGAGTGTGCAAGCGGTAGAGTTCTGGACAAGTTGGAGGCATTTTATCGTATGTTGTGGCAGACCTACAAGTAGGGTATTGTAAAATCTAATTTGGATGATATGATAGCGTGAATGAGTTGTTCTGCAGCAGATGATGCAAGTGAGTTTCTGACTGATGCCGTATGTCATAGATGCACGTAAGAGGATTGACAAATGGAAGAGACCTGTTGGTCAACTTCTTGACTTGTCCAAAATAGTGCCAAGATTGCAGGCGGTATGTACATGTATACATGCGTGTATAAACACTGCCTTATGGGGTACCGGAACAATGGGAGGTACTCCACAAGGCCATTTTGTGACAAGTTTTTTACGAAATAGATGTATGGATTTTACTCAAAAACTAGGAATTTCCAAGGTGGGTTGATCCATCGCAAATGGAAAAGTTTTAGAAAAGGGATATTAAGTCTGAATTTCAGAACAGAAAATCAATTCTGGTTAAAATAAGAGCATTTTGAAATTAGTGCGCAACATTGCAAAATTTTAGTACACGAGAAAAAAGGAAGTACCCCACTTCTATGCCTGTGTGTGGGTGCGTGTGTGTGTCGGGGATGTTAACTTTGTGTCTGAGGTGCTGAGAGCATCTGACAAGGTACTGGGTTTTATCTGCATTATAAACAGGGACACCACGCCCTTTCACCCAATGGCACTGTATTACACTGTGTTGAATTGAATGATTCTCATCTCTTAAAAAACTTGAGTCCAAACCTTGCTTCTAAATTGTGCACACTTAAAATATGCATTTTATCCCACCCACACACAATTTTTTCAAGCAAAACAGTGAAAGTCTAAACTCAGTCTATGACTAGCACCGAGTGGCACAAAAGGAAGTCATGTTCAAACATTCCACAGGGCTTTCAATGTTTGCCGGGGCTCTGACTTTCTGCTTGCGCTTCGGGATGTGTCCACATATGAGTGCAGCGACACGATTATTCAGAAGGATGGAGTCATGTTTGCGAAACGGCTAAGTTTTGTCGCAACAGTAAACACGGATCTGACGAATGCGTTACACAAATCTCTGAACCCAATTGAATGTGAGATGATGAGTTATTCCAGCCGAGTGAATTCAACCTATGATTCCACTAACTTATCCAAACATGGTTGTGGAAACTCAAAAGAGTAGGATCTCTAAAGGTTGAGGCAAACTGAACTGGTATGGCTTCTTTAGTCATAAACTGTGAAACCACGCCCTTTAAAATAATTACTACCTTTCTGTGTTTTGGGCTGCTGTTTATACATTTCATGGGTAGGCCAACTTGGAAGAAAAAAGCAAGAATACAGACAATGGGATCCCACAAGTTGGTCTTTTGAAATCTCAGTACCCTACAAGTGAAATGCTATGACAATTGTGATTTCAATAAAAACATAAGAGAGCAACACATGTACTAGGGAAGTAACGGTTGTACAAAAGAGAGGTATCTCATACCTACCCGTAATCAAAGATGTGTGACCACAGACATTATTACACATTCATAAATACCTAAGACAGTTTACCCATTCCCAATGGTTAAGAGCCTGTCACGTGGCCGGTCTTAAACGGATGATAGAGACATGGCTGGCTGGTCTTAAACACTTTTCCAGTGTCACATGAAATTTGGACTCCTATGAAATCCAGTGCCTTACTGCCTTTTATCATTTTATTGGTTGAACGTTCACAATCCTCTGCTAGGCATGCGCAATACTACGGTACCAGTGAGTCACTATTTCATAGTCCTAAATTCACAACGCACTCACCACATCTGCGCGTCATCATCACGCAGTACGTGCGACGCGCCCACCAATCTCCATAAAAGGAGTTGTTTACATCTTACTTGTGACCTGGACACTCCATTATATAGCAAGAGGGGTGTTTCGAAAAACAGAGAGTAAAAGTGTTGAACAAAATCGTTGAAAACTTTTAATTTTGGGACTTGTTTTGACTTTTGGACCGAAAAGTTTAGATTTTTTGACCGAAAAGGTATTTATGAATGGGAATAAATATATGTGCTTGGTTGGTCGGTATTAAACACTATGTTTAAAGGGAATATACATCATTTGCTTTTGCTGTAATTTTCAGAAATGGATGGAATTGGGGGTTGGAAATATATAGCAAATATAGTTACACTGACTTTTTTGAGGTTTTGGGTTCAAAAATGCTATAAAAACCAAGAAAAACAATAATTTTCCTGTAGTCTGGTTCCCTGACTCCATATAAGAAGAAACAGAGCAGTTTACATACATTGGGGAATTGTAAGGTCAGGGAACAAGTCTAGCTGGCTTGTACCCGTTCATAGGTGTGTAATCGATTGCAAACAAGTGCGATGGTCAATTGGGGCCAGTATTTGAAGGAAAAAAAACAGTTTTTTTCCAACGCAGCGTTGGAAATTGATACAAAAATACCACTTTTCTTGAAAATGACAGTATACCAGGTGCCATGATTTTACAGGATGCTTTACACTGTCATTCACTAACAGTCCAGCAAGGTATTTCAAAGTGATTTGGTAGTTTAATTTTTTGATGTTTGCAAATGTTGTATTTTCCCTTTAAGTGAACAACACATGTACTAGGGAAGTGAAGGTTGTACAAAAGAGAGGCATCTCATAACTACCCGTATTAGAAGATGTGTGACTAAAGAAAGTATTGCACATTTAAAGGGACACTGCGTCCTGGAATACGCCCAATTGGGCTACAAAACGCATTTTGAACGAAATGATGTTAATCGGAAAGAACATTTAAAAGTAGTATATAAACATTCACACAACTATCCTCTAAAAACTGGGCACTTTTGTAGTATTCTTGTGTTGTTCATGCGAGAACGACTTTCAGGGCACTGGGCACTTTTGTAATATTCTTGTGTTATTCATGCGAGAACGACTTTCAGGGCACTGGGCACTTTCGTAGTATTCTTGTGTTATTCATGCGAGAACGACTTTCGGGGTCCACTTTTGCGACCACAAAAAGTCGGCCGTTCATGCTAGTTGTGATTCCAGCCGTAAGAGTTTGCCTTTTGCGGACGTGTAAGAAATCTCAATTTGTGCATTGGTGATTGGTCACATCTCTGTTCCTGAGCACGGTGCTGTGTACGTGTGTAATACTAGACACACATAACGTATATCGTACACTGTATGAAAACGACAGGAAACACGTATCATAATCTGTCGTGTCCGATGTAAACAATCAGGGTTTTTCGTCTTTTCTCAGGAACGGTAAGACATTAGGGTGGTTTCCTTTCAACCAGATGTTTGAAATAGGATAAGTAAACAATCCATAGCATGAAAATTTTCAGGGATTTCAGGACGCAGTACCCCTTTAATGCAGTACAAGTGGTCATACTTCATAGATGGTCACTTCACATGGCGCACCGATGTACGTCTCCCAACTTATGCACTCATTGTTGACTGTTCAAATATACATTCAGAAGGCCAAGTCATAGTTGGACATTAGATATTTTCCGACCATGGGCTCTGCCAAATATTATTTTGTCCTGACAAGTCGGTTATTTTCAAATAACTCAAAAATTCGAAAACAAAGAAAGGCACATAATTGTGATGACCATGTTGGTATAAAATGATATCAAAGAGTTTAAAGGTTATTCTAAAACTTTAGGATGCGAAATATACAAACACAAGAAGACAAATTACATGAATTATGTAAAACAAAAATTTGGGCTACCTTTTAGCGATTAAAAAGTTAACATTCGTGTAATCTTCATAAACGCGGTTTGTTTTCCCCACACAAACACTATTAGAAATAATCTGCTATACTTCAAACTGTTGTTTAGGCCAAAAAAAATAATAGGTCTGCTTCTGGTTTCCCTACCTACCCTATTCTGACAGCCCCTACCCTAATTTTTGTATTGGAAAAATGAGAAAAAAAACCACCCAAAACCATCACTTTATACCTTTTACCCTTGACTACATGCAGACGCCTCCATATGTTCATACACACAAAAAAATTGGCTAAAAAAAAAAAATCACTACCTACTGGGTACCTACCCTTTTTTTCGAATGCAGTGTAATCGGAAGCAGAAGTTGTTTTTTTTTGCCTTATTTGTTGGGTATACATATATATAGTTTGCTTAATATGATTTCCCTTCGAAAAAAAAATAAAATAGGCAGTACAAAAAAGAGTTCATGTAGGATTCATGAAATCTAATGTCAAACATAATGGGGCAAGGGAAAAAATGGACTCTATTAGTTCATACATGACCAATACCGCAAGGAGTAATCTGGCTGAAACCCATACCAACCCCCACCCCCCCCCCCCTCCCACTGCCCCTCCCACTGCCCCTCCCTTCCAAAATCACAAGTAAAGGCACTGGACCAGATGGGACCAGCCTTCACAAGACACTAGTTTCATTCATCCCTGCTTCCGATTACACGGCATTCGAAAAAAAGAGTAGGTATCCTATTGTAAGGAAATGCTGTGTTCTTTACAACAATCTCTGCATACCATTGCACCAATCACGGCTATTCATAAGTCAACTACCCACAAAGGTCTAATTGTGTGCACAGAGAAGCTTTGGTAGTCCTGCCAATGAAGCTTAACATAATCTCCTTTTGGGGGTTTCTTTCAAGCTTTGGAGTTAGTCCAAGATTTGGAATACAGGTTGCCTTATAGGTCTAGGCCCTGATAGTTTTGCATTTACATAGACAAAATCAGTGAGTGAAAGAGACACTGCATCCTGGAATACACCCAATAGGGCTACATAATGTCTTTTTATAACCCTAACCCCTTGAGCACTTTTACTAGAAAGTATCCTGAATTCGCCAAAATCCACCAATTTTGTCATGCAAAAAAAATGTTGGTGTCCTGAGGCCATCTAATTTGTATACATGCGTATAAGCTAAAATTCCTAACTTATTACCCTTGAAATATGCTTACCAATTACAAGCATGGAATTTTCTGTTATAGTAAGAGGTAATTTTTCGCTAAAGCCAAAAAAAAAAAGTCGGTCTCTGGTCAGCGCGCGCGTCAGTTTTAATCATGCGCGTCAATCTTCTTCTTTTTTCAAAAATGTTCCGCGGTAGCTCCAACAGCACCAATTGCCGCACCTCCTCAAATTTTTTTACCATAGAGCACCAAGGAATGGGAAATTGCACCAAGGCAAATGATCAAGGGCACCAAGGCAAATTATGGAGGACACCAATGTACATGAGGACACCAAAAAAAAAGGCAAAATAGTACCCCACCTTGTCTGTACAATCCAAGCTTGAAGAAAAAAAAAAAAAAAAAAAAAAGCTGCGTCGCCGCATCAATTCCGGAACTTCTGTCTGACCAGAGACCGATTTTTTTGGGGGGGCCTAACAGTGAATAGAGCCATGAAATTGGGGACAGGTTTGTGTCACATAGCGCAGCCATCAAATCAGGGGAAAAACTATCCGTACCTCTTCGTCCATGAAATCTTCTGCCCTCTGCCTCGACTGGCCACCAGTCTTCTGACCTCTGGAGGACATGAACGTTGAGGGAGTCCATCCTAACATTGACAACACAAAGCAAATTAAGAATGTTGAAATGAAAAAAAAATTTAACAATACTGATTCAGATTATTGTTGGCATCTGCATTGGGAAGTACTACATTTTACTTTTTAAAGGTAATATACAACATTTGCTTTTGCTGTAATTTTCAGAAATGGATGGAATTGGGGGTTAGTATTTTATACCAAATATCGTTACACTGACCTGTTTAAAGTTTTGTGTTCATATATGCTGGAAAAACCAAGAAAAAAATGTTTTTCTTGTAGTCTGGTTCCCTGACCTTACTTCAGACGAAACGGGGCAAATTATAGACGTCGGGGAATTGTCAGGTCAGGATACCAGACTAGGTGGCTTGCACCCGTTCACGGATGTGTAAGCGATTGCAAACAAAATGTGGACTAACTAAATTTGGTAAATTGGGGGCAGTATTGGAAATAAAAGTCATTTTTTTCTTCCAACAATGGTCGGCCGACCATTGTTGAAAATTTATACAAAAATTCCCTTTTTCTTGAAAATGACAGCACACCAGGTGCCATGATTTCACAGGATGCTTGAGACTATTATTCACTTACAGTCAAGTAAGGAATTTCATAATAATTTGGTAGTATTGTTTTTTGATGCTTGCAACTGTTAAATATTACCTTGAAATAATTTTTCTCTCCCCCATCCCACCTTCACCCCGCCCATTTTTGGATCCCCCTTCAAAAGTTAAGCCTCTGCAACCAACAGCAAAGAACCTAACAATGTGTGCATTATGTACATCATCAGGTCAATACAGTGTCTGCAATAAACAAGTTAGTTAAAAAAGAAAAAAATTGTATAACAAAACTTTCTCAAAAACAGTTGAATAAACACAAACTTCTTTTGCCCCTCCACTGTCAGAGATCAAGCAGGAGTCGAACCTTGGCCAATGAAAAGGCAACAAAACTCACCGCCATATGCCAATCTAGCCACCTTCTCATAATAAAAAACTTGATGGAAGAGTTTGGCAGTCTTACCTTCTTTTGTCCCGACAGAGTTGAAGTAACCCGCGGAGAAACCGCCAGTGAATGCCCCATGAAAGCGCCGTCGTCCTTGCTTGTCCGTCACGACTTGATCCTCAAGTAAGACCGGTTTGCGCCGTGCCTCATCTGTTGTTGATGACACAAAAAACAATTTTATGCACAAAATTTCAAAAGAAAAGGAAAGAAAAGAAAACCATATGATACCATACTCAAGTTACTGCCAAGCACATTATGAAGCCATCTTGGGCAACTCTGTACTTGGTGAAAATATCTAGGACTCTGCTCTTCTTACGTTCAAAATATAAAAAAAATAGAGTTTTCAAAGACAATATGTTCCCGGATAATCAGGCTGAAAATGAAATTGGATTAATACCTTTTTTTTTAACTTCTATAGTAAGAAAACAAATACAACAAAAACAAATTGAGAATTTTATATCCAATTGAAGATTTGAATATTTTTTTATTTATCTAGCACAACACACCCTAACAATTTCCCACACACAGCCTTAACTGGGTGTCCATTAACTTTTGTCCATCTTTTCTCAAGGATTTTTTCTTGAATTTTTTTTTCTTCGTACATCCTTTCTTATTAAGTCGGATTTGACCTCCAAACTGAAGACTGCGGGGAATTTTTTTTTGAATAAGAATAAGAATTGCTAATGAGCTGAAAGTCAATACAGTCAAATCCTTGGTCTTTCCTTAAACAGACAATATAAGACGATCACTTTCTTTCAAGCGATTCAAAGATAGATTTTATTTTGGATAGAGCCCAGGGGGGCAGAGCATTCAGAAACATTTGTCTGAATTGTTCATCTTGGCTGGGCCTGTAATCGTCTTGTATTGAAGCTCAGTGACATCTTATTCCCTTTTGTCGTTTAGTTTCAATGTTCTTTCCTTTGAAAAGAAAACAGCACTCCCTACAAAGTTACAATGCGCGTTGAATAGCCCTGCCCTGGATTGAGTACACGTGGAAATGTACACGCTGCTATTGGTGACGGCTTAACTTGCCTTGCATGCACAGATACTTAAGTTGTTTCAAACACAATGGCCAGCTTTTACACAAAGTCTCTCTGGAATGTTTTAGTGAGGTGCTTTGCAAATGCAAAGATGGAATTTTTCTTGGGCAAGTTTTTTTATTCATAAAAAAATCAACTCTTTTCCGTGCCTGTGATTTGCTATGCATTATGTTTCGTGCTGCTGTTCTAAGTGTTACCTAGAAATTAACATGACAGAATTATATCAACAGCAGAATGCACATGCTTTAATGCAACATTGTGTAACGTAACTACACATTTCTCACTACTACATAATGTATGCAGTAAAGGCAAGGGCAAAAAGTTGTGTATCCCAGTACATTTTCTATAGCCAGAAAAAAAAATAGGATGAAATGATGGTCGATTGAATTTTTTTTTTTATTTATGCGTTCATAACAGTTCACTTGTGAATCAACTGCTCATTCTGTTTGTCATAGATAAAGGGCAGGGTTTTGAATTTTTGAGGGAAATTTGGGGGTAAAATGACGATGAAAACGACAAAACGCATCACGAAAATAAAGATGGCGATCACTGCGCCTTGTACCATGTGCACGCAAATCACGATGCGCAGCACCATCCGGCCTGTAAACCACGTAGGAAAATCGTAATTTCTACCCCAAGAAACTGTTCACAAATTACCAAAAGGGTGTCATTACATTGAGAGAAGTATGCTTTAGGTTGACACTGTCATTTTTCAGTAATAAAAAAAAATCTTGATTCTAATTTGACCGAAACAAAACAGGGGCCCTACACTACATGATCACCCAAAATTGGGCTTGTCTGATTTTTTAAGCTTTACCCCTTGTTAACTGCATCTGACATATTACTTTCATTGATTCATCAGGTCAGTACTTTTCACGCCCTACCTTGGAGTATAGTTTCTACTTTCACAAATTGTGTTGAAATATTAGGAGGGGTTATCAAAGTTTGGTCACGTGTGTGACATCAGACGAAAAACATGTTATCCAGCCCATATCGGAAATTCACGCCTTTCTCCATAGTTCTAAGGACGCACACACCCATACTTATTTTGGAGTAAGACTAGTCTTTTGCGATCTACAGAATACATAAAAAATGGACACCCTCTACTTGAGTTTTACTGAATGGGAATTGTTCTGTGGTCACGTGTTTGACATTTTGATCGGTCACGTGTGTGGCACTGTGTAATTGAAATTATGCTAATTTATGCAAATTATATAACTTCTTAAGAAATTTGCATCTTTACTTACTAGCAACACTTTAGTGAACAATAATCATTTGTAGTACTTCACATAAAAAAAAGAATTCCCCCTCCCAAAAAAAATTTAGGTTCAATTCTGAAGAATCCCCCATTTGCTGTGCCGTTTAAACAGTGGCATAGTCAGGGTTCTCACTATATGGGGGTGAGTGGGGGGGGGGGCTGGTTGTTACAGTGGGGGGGGGGCATCAATGTTCATTTAAACCCATTAGCCATGGTCACTAATAGGACTAACACATTTTCAGGTGGGGGGGAGGCTGGGGGTGAAGGTAGCACCATAAGTTCTTTTTTTATTACATTTTTGGAAGAATAAGATTTAGGTTCTGAGTGATTTTCTACTAGGATGGGTGGCTATTAACTGGAAACACATGGATTGGAAGGAATATTGCATCCTGAAACCACATGTTTTCATCATACAATAGCTCAATGAAGGCCAGTCATTGCAAAAAATGTTGAAAACGCATGAATCTGGGAGTGAGAAACATTCAAATTTTGTTAGAAAATACTTTCAAAATGCACTGGACTCTCCACAGACTTTGCACACAGCCAAAGAAGTAGCGTCTGGATACTACATTCTTTACCATGTTTTTGGTCTGGGCCTCACTGCATCTGGGTTAATCATCATTATATAATTGACATACAGATCCTAGTCATTTGATTGGTGGAACTCACATCACGTGACATTCGTTATTGCTCCCATTCACGCCGCGGCTCAAAAAGTACTATCCGCCCATGGGGAATGGAAAATACTATTCAACAGTTAGGATCATGACGCGGTATTTGTGTGCAAATGCATGCTGGTGAGCGCGTTCAGCGTTGCGCGTATTGTTCCAAAGAGCCAGCGCTACAGCGTTGGGTTCAAACATTTTCGTGAAGGGGTGGTTTGGAAGGGAGAAATACATTTTCCTCCAGTTATGTATTGAAAAAAAAGTTCAAATATATCAAATGACAAGGATCTATATATATGTCAGTTATATAAAACACATATTGAGTGGCTTTAAATTGTGAAATGGGAGGAATATTATCGCTCGGTAAAATCTGGACTTTTCCAGTTCACTCGGCTTCGCCTCGTGAAATGGAAAATCCAGATTTTACCTTGCGATAATATTCCTCCCATTCCACGCTGAGCCACTCAATATTTGTATAATGAGTTTGCTGAGCTAGATATATTATTTTTCATTCAAGACATTTTCTTCCTTTTAGATATAATACGCAGGTCTGTGACCAATGCTTTTTTGGTCTGAGACGTTTGGATAAATGCTGCACTAACAATTTAACTTTGATGACCACAATTTTATTATTTGAAGAAAACAAATATTGACGACTGAGCTAAGGTTTCATTTGATTTTCAAAATTTCCTCAAGAACGTAAGAATGTATAAATTACCAATGCAACAATGTTTGAAAAGGTGCTCACTTAATTCTTGGTATTTATGTAAAAGAAAGATTTAACTGGTTCACAAGCAGCACAGCCGGCCATACAAACACGATCTCATGAACTGCACAATGGATATTCATAACCTTGTCCACCTCGCCCGCATAAATGCATACATAAACGACGCGCAAAACCGGTTGGCCATTTTGAAATCCCATGGAGGAACATTTTTGAGACAATATTTGTGGTAGCAGAAGACTGATCGTTGTTTCTTGGCCAGATGGATGAACATTTTTAGATAAAGGAACGTGTTTTGGAAAAGGTATGAGTTCCTCTACGAGCAGGTACCCTAACTTTGGAAATTCTTACCCTGGATGAGAACATAATCTCGCTCAAAGTCGGTATCAAATTTGCTACATCAGTTTCAGGCGTCCAGGGGACGTTTGCAGCTCTCGCCGTACTACTGAGCTTGTGATAGTGTTAGGGACTGCACACGATTTATTTATTATAAAGGGTTTTAAAAGCCAGTCAAGTGAGAGAAGACATATCTATGCTTACAGCTGTTTTAATTTTCAAAATCGGATAAGGGATTACTGAAATACGACAAAATTCTTCTGTGATTTATTTTTTTCTCTGCTCACTTCTCTACGGCCGCCCTGGAAAAACTTTGCATATCTGCCTTGTTTACATACTAGGTTAACTAAACCGAACAGCCTAATAAGCAATCCTATTGGATGTCATACACCAATCACGAAAAGGAGGAACCATGACGTGATACGTTGCCCCCCCCCCCCCCCCACCAATCACGAAAATGATAATTGAAACATCACCACGGGATTCAATTTGGCTTTGCCATCTATATACCATGTACTCATTTGGAAACCAAAATTGATATTTTTCACCACATTTCTTATTAAGTCAATAAGTGGGCCCAAAACACGGCCCAATTTATCATGAACAAAATAAAGATTTTATTCCAAGCAATGGCCTTCAATCACTATGGCCGGGTGCTTCCAACTTAGTTCTGCACGACGTATGCATCCAAATTGTGCTCTAAAAAACATTTTTCCTAAAAAAAAAATCACACTGCCTGAGCTTCCGCATTCGTCTTGTGAAGTTGGGTGAGGGGCGGCAGGTGTAAGCGGTGGCTTAGTACAGAATTCTTCCCCTAATTAATTATGCTAATTAATGTCTAATTGCCCCCTTCGCACTCAAACACCTCAAGTCATGCATGTAAACGACACAAAACCTCAATATCATAACTGGTTCATACGGCCTCCCACGTGAATCCACGTCTCAACATTTGAATTTTGATTTTAATATTTACCATTTTCTATCGGTTCTAGAGCAGTTCCATACGAAACAAAATCATCATCTGAATCGTCAGCCATCACTCGACATTTCACGTGAGGACTTTCGTGCAGGAAAGCAAGTTTTCAATTTCATCAACTTTATATCGACATCACGTTTACGACGTTTGCAGCATGAAAACATCACCCAACTACGAACTTGGCGCAGTGGAAAATAATGGCCCGATTGAGAACTTATTAGACGAGCAAACAGTCCTCACATTGCTGGAAATGTGCAGATTATTGTCAACGGCAACAATGCAATGTAAATCTTGTTTGAAAAAAAAATCAATGTCTGCAATTTTTCTTTGTACATAATTATCTCCCTTTCGCCATTTTAGGCCTTGTGCCATAAAATTATGGCCCATAATGCTGTCCCTTATTGTCGCAGAATTATTTCGCGTCAGATCGCGATCACCACACAAGGACTTCCATATGCACGCGAAACACGCTATGTGTGCAAGTCGTTGTAGTAGAACAGACTCACGCGAGTCCCATTCATTTGTTGCCTCTCAGAAAGACCTTCAAACCAGACAAACGAAAATAAAAACCATTTATTGATCCGGAAGAAGGTGTTTGTTGAAGCTTCGTGTGAGCGAGCGAGAGATATCTCGCACCCCACGGGGCGAGGCATCCCTCAGTGCATCTCTAGTCACACCTCTTAACCTGTATGTTGCCAGATCAGCTTATGTCATTGAGATGCAGCACAAATTAGGTCTCGTAATTATGACACCGCCCTTGGCTCAGTGAACCGTACACTGTAATATTATGATCATTATACATGTACACTCTTAAAAAAAAACTATAGATGTGACTAAAAAACGGTCGAACTTTTACTGCAGCTATAAAGTTTGACAGTTTTTAATCAATTCTAAGCAGACGGTTTTGAAAGTACAGCGGATCTGGGGTGTAACATCCCTCAACCCCCCCCCCCCCCCAACTCCCACTCCCCGTGATCAGCCGCTAAAAAAAAATGTCACGATACAAGTAAAATGGGGCCAAAAATAAGAGCATTTTGACTCAAAGTTTCTAAATTTATTCGCAAATTGCCTTTAATGGGGGAGGGGGCGTATGACTTTTTTCACGAGTCCGGCGGCCATTTTAAATTGAAAACGAGGTAGGTAAAATCTTCATTTTGGAACTGGTGAATAGAAATGAAAGCAATGAAATAATGTTAGTTACAAATTAATACCAGTCTGCTCTGATGAATATTTTGTGATTAAACATATGCCTTAATGTTTTAAGCCACGTTAAAAAAATAATAAAAGTGAGCATGGAACGCATAAATAGTCTGGCACCATTCCATTCCACAGCTTCCAATTTATAAAATACATTCAGGGAACACGATCAAAATGGCGTCCTCCTGAATAAGGTCTATATGGATGCACCCCTGTAGTAAATTCCCATAGACACCAGTGATAAATGCCCATACCACAATTCATTTTAAAATACTCGGAACTCTCACAGGTTTAAGCTGCACAGAAAAATGTCCTCCCATGTCATCTCTCATTTTCTTTTCATTTTTTTGGTGGGTTGACCATTGACTTTTCGAGAAATGTTTACCCAAAGAAGACGAATCTTAAAGTGGAAAAGTTGCCATCTTGAAAAAACGATCCCTCCACAAGATATCTCTCCAATTCCCCAATTTTATGGTTCTCGAAACTCTCTAATATAGAATATTCTGAAGGTATAACTTTTATCCATGAGCTCGATCGGCGGATGGGTTTAGGCCTATTTACCGGTGTGCACCCAAAGCAGGGGCACGTCTTGCATATCAAACCCCTCCTCCCCCGTCTTCGTGTGTTTCCTGAGATCGAGATCCGCCCCGAAGGGTAATAATATGCATAGATTAGCCAAAATCTTCAGACAGTCAGTAAACCTTAAGCTTATCATAGGACACCATTGGGTTTTCTGACGACAAAAAGTTGTGTGGGCAAAGAAATAGTTTCAAAGGTAGGAGCAGACAACACCAACACCCCCCCCCCCTCAAAAAAAATGATTTCAATGATACTGGAGACAACTGTCTTAAGTGTAGTCAAAGATTTTCGTAAAGTCATAACAAAATAATAATCTTGGCCCATGCACAGGGGCTTTGGGGAGTAAAGAAGATTGTTCTATTTTTGTTAGTTTTGTTTTTCAGTCTGGGCGAGGGAAATGAAGACAACCCGGCTTTCCATAACCATCTTGTATTTGGGGTCAGAACCTTACCCGGCCACCCAAACCTGCATAATAATCGGCGTCTCGCATCATTACTCACAAGGCCTACACTACAAAGGGTTGACGACCTAAAAAGTCTACGACCTTTCCTGGATATGTCTTGACGTACATAATATGTAAGAAAGATCTGCAGATGCACCTATATATAAATTGTCCTTTAAGCTGACCTCAAATTGATTTGATACCACACCTCCATCTTCATACCGTTGTGAACAGAAGTGTTGCTGGGTTAAGGGGGCTTAGGGGTGCAGACCAGTAAATCGGTCCGAAATTGCCTACGCCGGCCAAATCACGATTTGCATGCCCTCAAAATCTTCAGTATTTGAGCATGCTGTGGGCCATGAACTTGAGGGTTTGTAAAAAATATGGGTGGAAGCCGTGCACAGGACTGGGAGCTTGCAGTTCTGTGTAATTTGGATTTGGACCCTAAAAGCGCTCTATTTTGCAATGGAGTGTAGGCATCGTTTTTCAAAATGGCGATGGGCTTCAGGACTATTTCAGGGGTGATCATCTTCAGATGGAAATTTCTCCTGAAAGTCATCAGTTGGCCCCCCAAAAATTGAAAAGAAAATGAAAGATGATGAAATAAGCTTTAATTTGATGTGTGTCTCGAACACCTTGGAGAGTTGTGAGTATTTTCCCCGAATTTCTGAAGTGGGAGCATTTACCATTGGGGTCTATGGAAGTTTATTTACTGGTCTGCTACCTTAGTTTAAAGTGCGCTTGGGTGGCACTCTCTGGTAGCTTATTCGAATGCTACTACTCTCAGGCTTATTTGCGTGTGTCAAGTCTCGGTCTTGTCTTAGTAAACTGTTGTGGATGTCCTATTTGCTCAGGTATATGCAGCTAATTTCTGGAACATGGAGTCTGAGTTGATTTGGTCTATTTGGTTCATGATCCTCTAAGTCTGGACGAGGTCCCCCTTTGTCTTCTCTTCTCTAGTGTAGTCAGGCTCAGTCTGGTTAATCCTTCTTTATATGGGAGGTTCTTGATGCTGGGGATGAGTTTCGTAGCTCTTGCCTGCACTTTGCCAAGAACTGAACTCTTTTGTCTTTTTCCAGATGTGGGGTCCATCATGGCACAGCATAATCCAGGTGTGGTCACACAAGTTAGGTGACAGCATGCACTCTCCCGTATTAAAATCACAATGAACAGTGAAATCTCGATAAATCAAACCTCAAGGGAACAGGTTTATAGTTTGACTTAAGCAGAGGTTGCATATCATTGTTATACCCTTTGTTTGACTAAACAGTTGTCTTGAGTAGGCCTATCAGAGTTTGACTTTCACTGTACATTACCTTTAGAAGTTTTCAAAGGCATACAGTACCATTCACTCGACCGAATACGTGAGGCCTGTACTGCTGTACATAACATGTCCGACATTTTGTTTACTTAAAAATCAATAACACATTATGGGAACCAGCATTTGCTCTTGTGATATAAGTTTTAAAGTTCGATATACTCCCAGCAGGGCCAGAAAAACAGAATGGATCTAATATGAAGATTTATTTAATGAAGTTAGTGTGTTACCCTACACTTCCACTAAGTCGTCTATATATACCTTTAAATTTTAGCTCTTCGATTCATGATGTTCTGCCTATTTTGGACTATAGGACCATGCATGCGTCTGATTTGAGAGAACTGTGTTTCTAAATAACATTATTTGTTTGGATAATTTTTACACATGTAAATGGTTTCACCAGAGAATAAGACATGTGAAAGATCATGAGCCGGAGTACCAAAACGTAGGCTGCACAGGCAGTTCACGCCTCACATCGCTTGTCTTCTAGCCCACTTCTTATCCATGAATATTTTACAACCCTTTCATGCAAAGCAACCTTCATCCAAATTGTATAAGTTTGAAAGTCAACGTTTCAATCACAGTAGATCCCCAAACTACGGTGGCCCACAACTGTCACGGCAAAAGCAAAAGCGCCACGGCAAGCGCAAAAGCGCCGCGGCAAGCGCAACAGCGCCGCGGCAAGCGCAACAGCGCCACGGCAAGCGCAACAGCGCCACGGCAAGCGCAAAAGCGCCACGGCAAAACAAAAAGCGCCGCGGCAAAAGAAAAAGCGCCACGGCAAAACAAAAAGCGCCGAGGCAAAACAAAAAGCGCCACGGCAAAACAAAAAGCGCCGCGGCAAGCACAAAAGCGCCACGGCAAGCGCAAAAGCGCCACAGCGAAAGCAAAAGCGCCACGGCGAAGGCAAAAGTGCCACTGGTTTATTGGGAAGGGGCGTAATCATACATGCCGCTACTACATCAAAAAATAAAATGGGAAGGAGAATGGCCGCCACCAGGAATTCTTATTAAGCACAGAATTTAATTCTTTGAGAAGTGATTTTATGGCTGAGAAAATAGCAAGGCCAAGGAAAACCGGTCAGGAAATAAATCGTCGATATTAATTTGTTGTAGGATAATTATTATTCCAAGAGAGTTGCTGCCGTGAATCAGAGTTTATCAAGGAGTGGGACTCGCTATCGGCACCATCAGGGCCGTTCCTCATTTCTTTACATTTCGTGGGATGCAAACAATTACAAGGACGGGAGGCTCTGTGAGCTGATGCATTTTTGAAAACATTTTTTTCCCCTTCCGACTAGCATGCAGAGAAGAGTTCCGTTAATTTGAGCCTTTTTTCACAGGTGTGTATACCAGTGTAGGCACGAAAGTGAGCTGCCCAGAGTGTATGAGTTAATTTTTTTTTTCTTTTTCAGTATATCATACACATCTATAGGAAGTCGATTAAGGCTCTCCTGCAGGGCTGCGGCAGTGGGTGGGTAAGGCTTGTCAACACGTAACTCGCCCGCGGGCCCATTAGGTTAGAAATTCCCAGAGAGCGGGAATTTCAAAACTCTTCGCTGAACGTTGCTTGCACTGACCGATTTTCCTTGCTATTTTCTCAGCCATAAAATCACTTCTCAATTCATGGTGGCGGCCATACTCCTTCCCATTTAATTTTAGATGTAGTGGCGGCATGTATGATTACGCCCCTTCCCAATAAACACGGCTGAGTTGAAGATAACTCACAAATCGAGAAATGGATCGTTCTATTAGACAGTTGCAACGCTTTCGACAGAGGAGGTTAGGTCGTGGATTTCATGTAAGGAACGTAACACAGGCGAAGACTTTGGATATAGAATAAGAAAGAAAGAAATTAACTTAAAAAAAGGGGGGGGGTAAGGGAGAGACACTAAACAAAGGAGAAGTGTTATCGTTGAGATGCACAGTTCTAAGCTCTTCTATGAAAATTTGGTGGCTCTGAAAAGAGCCGTTTGCTTTGTTTCGAGTGAATACGGAACTATTTGATGCCGGAAACAAGCCCTCTTTCTGCCCTGCAGGCTGATTCTGCGATGATGTGGAAGACTGTCCACAGGGCAACTCATCATCGCTATCGCTAAGCATCATGAGGTCTTGTTCGGCTTGTTGGTTTCTTGAGCCGGGGGTGGGTGGGCCAATGAGTTCTAGGTTCTGAGTTAATTTCTTTCTTTCTTATTCTATATCCAAACTCTTGGCAGCTCAATTGTGTACCTACACTGGTATACACACCGGTGAACTCATGGGCGTCGCCAGAATTTTTTCTAAAGGGGGCAAAACATATTTTTCCCAAAAAATTCTTGTATTTCTGAACAAATTCTCGATTTCTCAGTTTTAGACGGGGGCAGGGACATTTTGCCCCCCCCCCAACTCATTCAATTTACACCACTATGACTTCGCGCCTCTTTTTCTTTTCTTTTTTTTCTCTCAGTTTTTTCCCCTTCCTTTTTTGTGTGCTATTCCAGGGGGGGGGGGGCGCCCCCTTGCCCCCCTCGCGATGCCCATGGGTGAACTAAGTCTCAAATTAACGGAACTCTTCTCTGCATGCTAGTCGGAAGGAAAAAAACTCTTCAAAAAAATGCATCAGCTCACAGAGCCTCCCATCCTCGTAATTGTTTGCATCCCAAGAAATGTAAAGAAATGAGGAACGGCCCTGATGGTGCTGATAGAGAGTCCCACTCCTTGATAAACTCTGATTCACGGCAGCAACTCTCTTGGAATAATAATTATCCTACAACAAATTAATATCGACGATTTATTTCCTGACCGGTTTTCCTTGGCCTTGCTATTTTCTCAGCCATAAAATCACTTCTCAAAGAATTAAATTCTGTGCTTAATAAGAATTCCTGGTGGCGGCTATTCTCCTTCCCATTTTATTTTTTGATGTAGTAGCGGCATGTATGATTACGCCCCTTCCCAATAAACCCGTGGCACTTTTGCCTTCGCCGTGGCGCTTTTGCTTTCGCCGTGGCGCTTTTGCGCTTGCCGTGGCGCGTTTGCGCTTGCCGTGGCGCTTTTGCGCTTGCCGCGGCGCTTTTTGTTTTGCCGTGGCGCTTTTTGTTTTGCCGTGGCGCTTTTTGTTTTGCCGTGGCGCTTTTTCTTTTGCCGCGGCGCTTTTTGTTTTGCCGTGGCGCTTTTTCTTTTGCCGTGGCGCTGTTGCGCTTGCCGTGGCGCTGTTGCGCTTGCCGCGGCGCTGTTGCGCTTGCCGCAGCGCTGTTGCGCTTGCCGTGGCGCTTTTGCTTTTGCCGTGACAGTTGTGGGCCACCGTACCAAACCAACCCCTTTTTATGGTATGATCAAATGTTTGGTAGTTTATTCAATATATTATTTCTCAACGAGGAACGCAGCATTTCTGTTCGCGTATTTTATTATTTTTTTTTAATGAAAACCTTGAGACTTATAAAAAAAAACAATACAAAACGGAAGCAACATCGAATGGATACATGTGGGGCGCAAACACTTGCCCACCAACGGCAAAATTCCACCGGATTTTATACAGAGAGAGAATTTAGCTATTGGGTTGATTTTAACAAATCCCAACAAAGTGGTATTGAATCTTTTCAGTCATGCAATGTATAAACATGTACAATGTAGTTAAAACTGAGCCGCAACATACATTAATTCTTGCAACGCTATCGTCACTATATAGCTATGTTCTTTGTCAGTGACAACAGTTGGTATAACTTAGTTTAAAACTGTGCATTTGTTCAGTGTCCCGTTCGTTAAGTCACAGAGTGTACCAAAAGAAATGTCTTGAATCTCAACGAGCCATGCACATATTCACTCACCAGGATGAATAATTCATCTTACCAGTGCGGTCACAATGCAACATACGTAACGTCTATTTTTCACGGGATCATCTGAAACTCGTAACAAAAGGCAAATCCATAGTGCAAGCACTAAGACTTTTTCTAGGACTGAGCTGGGATGTTCGCCCAGGGGGTACGCGGTGGCAACATTAGCGTAACAATAGGAGGACAAAGAGCGAGGATTGTACTCCTTTATATTCAAGGACAAAGCTTTATCTGAGCTGAGTCTTACGGTCCGTTGGGTTACGGAACTTTCTCCTCAGTCATGCGGTTTTGACCAATGAAGATGCCGGGTGTTTGGGCGTGTCTTGTGCTGATGTGACACTGCTTCCATCTGTATGTCACGCGTTCATTCGGGGTCTGCCAATTGGAGAGAGAGGTGGTTCCCATTCAACTCCCTGGAAAGATATCTTCACAAGCGGGAACTGCTCTGATATCTGACGGGGGAACTTTCTTTGCACGCCGTGGGTGGATTTCGTCACCGTTCCACCATGGAGCGAACACTGATTACAGTAGTAATCTCCATGGTTCTCGTGGCACATCAGACTCTGGCTCAAGGTTAGTTAGTTGAGTGCTCGGTGCTCGGTTAAGTGCGCTTTGAAATGGTTACATAACCACAACACAGGAATTTTCTTCGCAACTTAAAAGCACACCTTTATAACAACAGATATTATCTGTCTCGTTAGTTCATTATTTCTATAAGTTTGTAATCTGTAAATTCTCACCCCACATTAAGTCATGTAGGCTACGTAGCACTTTTAAAATTTCTCCAGAATATGCGCGAAGAGGAATGTCGGTCGTTTCGTACCCAAGTCGTTTCGTACCCAGGTTATTTCGTACCCAGGTCGTTTCGTACCCAGGTCGTTTTGCACACAGGATTCATGTTTGTCTTCTACGTGATTTTCTTTGGTTGCTTTTCAGTTTTTCGAATTGTACTTTTTATAATTAGGCCAAAAAAAAAAGAATAGTTCTGCTTCCGGTTACCCGACCGACCCTATTTTTAGGCTGCGACCATAAAAATTGTATCGGCAATTCAAAAAAAAATAAATAAAAAATGATTGAATAAATAAAAATAAAAATCTTATGTCTTGTCTGTCTTTACAAAGTACCTCTCAACAACCCTTTTGCATCAAAAAATGCTTGTATTTATTGTTTTCTTACTTACATTCGCTGTTTTTTCAAAAGAAAACTCCGTTATTTTTACAAATTCACTGCGCGATTCAACTACATGTACTTCGCAATTCGATGTCTATAATCACGTGCGTAATAAGCGCAATGCGGCGACGACTGGTTCCCGCCGCGCCGCGCAGGGGCCAATGATGAAATGCGGTAACTAGTCTGTGCACAGCTATGCGATCGATAGCGCTAGCATGGCTATGCAGGCGCAGGCACGTGCTCAGCGTTCTGTCAACTGGTCGGATTCGACATCGTAAAAATGCTGAGAAAGACATCGTAAAAATGCCAAGAAAACACCGATGGAGAAAGAACATTTTTGCAAGTTAATTCACCGATTTGATCTAGCTTGTCTGTGTATGTATTTTCCGTGTTTGCATGACTGGCTTAATCTCCTTTGTGCATCATAATTGACTGGGTACGAAACGACTTGGGTACGAAACGACTTGGGTACGAAACGACTTGGGTACGAAACGACCTGCTTCGGCGAAGAGCACTGACATTTAGGACAGCAGCCACAAACGTAATCCCTTTTGAAATATTCCCACGGGCCGGGCCTATCTGGCCATCACTTGTCATCCTGTGCACAATCCGCATGAGACTGGTCTGAAAAGGTCCAAGTGTTTTCTCAGTAAATACTTCAATATTTTCCCGGAGTGCTAAATTTAACTTTTTATGACAATATCTATATTTGATGGCTGATACCGGTAGGTCAGAGAAAAGTTAGTGATTGCCAGATTTGAGAATCTTTCCATTTGTTCTGTCCTACCTATCGGGTACATACAGGGGCGGCGGAACGGGGGAGGGGGGGGGGGGTGGACAGAGGGCACTTGCCCCCAGATTTACCCAACTGCCCCTTTTTCGCACATATAAATGTGACCCCTCGAGCATAAATGTGCCCCCTCGTGATGAAAACTAAACTGGCCCTAAAATTTCGGATAATTTGTTCAGTAACCATTTCCCAAAATGGTATGGAGAGTTCCGATATAAACGAGGAATGTGAAAACAAAGCCCCAAAACCCTCATAATGCGCCCTGAAAATGGGCACATAATGCGTAGTTTGCATAATGGCCTGTTTTGGAGAGCGCTCCCTACTTTGGAAGATGGTACCAGCCCCCCCCCCCCCCCCCCCCCCCCAACTATGTGATTTTACTAGGGCCAAGTGTCCGGTGAAAAAAAGTGTAGGCATTTCAGCACGGATTTGCCAAAAACATGCTGTGCAACGACGAAAGTTAAGATGCGTTTACTGAGCAAGTGCCCCTTTTCGGTGATGCCTCCCCCCCGGTTGAAAACCGTTCCGCCGCCACTGATCGGGCACTCTCCGTACGTTTAAAGTTATTGATTTGGCTTAGGTCTTACATCAAGCGAATAATCTGTAGGTTATGGACTGTTAATCCGATTCGACGTTTCGACCAACTGTTGCGGGCAGTAACCGAATTCGCCAAATCTATCTACGGCATCAACGTATCACTTTCACTCACGCATATCCCAGCAAAACAAAGACATTGCCCTCTAAGATCGCTGCTACTGGGTCTATATTGTACAAAATCACTCGATTCATATTTGCGATGATGGTGTGATTTGGAAAGAATGTTGCATCCTCATGCCACTTTTTTTCATCAAATGCATTGTATTATCTCAATGAAGGCCAATCATGGCAAAAATGTTGAGAAGACATGTACAGAATCTAGTATCAAGACCCCACTTCAATTATGCGGTTGTGTAGGCCTACTATGAGAAAAAAAAGTATTTCGTATAAAACGAAATCAGAAATGTTTCAGATTCAGATTCAACATTTTTGCAGTGACTGACCTTTATTGAGATGATGCGTGAAGAAAAAAAGGTGGCGCCAGGTTGCAACATTCTTGTAACTGATTACATGCGCAGGACTTCGATATTTGTTACTGATTATTGGTGGCATTTTATGCTCTAAGGTAAGACATTTTTGTTGGAATATCGAGTAGGCCCGCGGGCGCATATTCCTGTTGACAAGAAAACTGAATACTCTATCAATAAACCGTTACGTAATAAGAGACCTCATCTCTCGTTTACATAATACAATGTACTCGGCAGCCAATGGGCGTTTAAGTCGACTGCTTATTTAGTCGGAGCTGCGCTAAAGCAAATATCCTGGCCCTTTCTCTTGAACATTCTGTCTGTGGTGGTTGGATGATGTCTAATCATATGGGTGTCAAAATGGGTCCAGAATTGCCGACACGGGCAAAATCGCAATTTATACGCACCATCAAACTTGCTCTTCTTCTAGTTGAGCGCTAACTTCACAATTGAAGACTACAGCTTTGCTGTTCATGTTAGAGCATTTTGTGGGCAATGAACTTGAAGGTTTGGGAAAGATTTCCATATACGAAGTTCACTCAACACTCTGTGTACAAATCCTATGAGATTGGACTGAAAAATTCTAAGTGTTTTCTAAGAAAATGTTTGTATTTTCTCACTGCTCAAATTGACTTTGATGACATGAAATTGCTATCTGGGGGCTTGTTAGTCAATACAGAGGAAAATTAGTGAACTTCGCATATGGTAATCTTGCCGAAGGGTTGTGGATACACAGGAGGGTGAGCTCATATTTCTGTAAAAGTTGTCAAAACTTTGCACCCTATGATATGTTCTTTTTGCAAAGGAGTGTAGGCATCATTTTTTTCAAAATGGCGACGGGTAACATGACAACTTTTCGGGGTGATGCATCTTTGGATGAAATTTTCTCCCAAAAGTTACAAGATAACGGAAACAAAATTGAACAGAAAGTGAAAGATTATAAAGTAAGCTTTCATTTGATGGATTTGTCAAACACATGGTAGAGTTCTAAGTATTTAAAAAAAAAAATGGAAGCAGGTGTAATTATCACAGAAGTCTATGGGAGTCAATTTGCAGGTCTGCACCCGGTGATATTAATTATTATATTACCGCTAAAAAAAACCCCAACTTAAACAGCGCCACCAAGAGCCAAACACGAAACGGGCAGACTTGATTTTAAGTGGTCTATGTCTTCGTAACTAAGGTTTTAACTCATTACTTTTTATTCTTTTTTTTTTTATAAAATTTGAAAACATTGCATAACTGCGAACAATAACATTTGGAGACGATTTCGGCAACATGAACACTGTCATTGGACGAAAGTTTTTAGTGCCAACAGAGGGCGCTCTTCGTAAGTCAATATGGCTGCGCCCGTGTTGTGCTATTTGACATGCATGACATGTTTGATGGTTTGACCGCAAGACAAAAGCAGCAGATCGTGCTAAGGTACGGTGATGACGAAAGCTCCCATCAAGAGAGAGCGGGCGTTTTTAAAGTTGCATGGTGGGCGTTTAAAGTTGCATGGTGGGCGTTTATATTATCGATATAGGTTGGGCGCGATCGGTGGATGGGCGCTGGATGATCATGTGCTCTTTCTAAATAATCATGGGATAAGCCATTTGCGAGTACCCTTTGGGATTTACATTTGAATAACATCTGGTAGTGGTACACTGACTTGCTCAGAATGCTTGTCACATTTTAACCCAAAAAGGGCCGGGTTATTTTGAACATCTCTCAGCCGGGGGGGGGGGGGGGGGGGGGGGGGGGATTCCGCCCATCCTCCCTAAGATATCGGCCATCGAGAGACGAAAAGTTTTGAAACTCGGTACATGCATAGAGCAACTCACCATGAACATTCCCTCGAAATTTCATGACTAAAGAACTAAGGGTTTTGGAATTATGGCTAATTAATTATTCATATGTACGAATGGCAATTCTGCTCTGTGTACACGACGTATATGGGAAAATTAAGAAAATTAAGTATGGGAAAATTTGTAGCTGCGCGGCAACCCGTGGTCCGATTTTTATGTTTTTGGTATCAAAAGATGCCCAAGGCTCGAGGCTAAAAAGTCATAACCGCCCCCCCCCCCACACCTCCCCCCCGCCCTTTTAGGGTTAACTTTGAAATCTCCAGGCCAAAGACAGGGTAATCCTTACCTTTAGGACCCCATTCCTATATAAGGTTAAAGACTAAATTACACTCAAAAGTGACATTCTGATATTTCCCTTGACACATTTGAACAGTTGGCAATGACACCTTCTTGAATATCAGCAGGTTTAATTTTGTAGAAAGAGGGCAGGGCTTTGAATTATGAGGGGTTAAAGACAATGACAAACACAAAATATGTTTAAAAAAAAACAGATGGCGAACTGCAAAGAAAGGGAGAAAAGTCACATTTTCTTTGAAAGTGCTTTCAAAATTACAACTAACATGAGTTTATCTGAAGAAACAAGACTGCTTTAGCCTGCAAAAGTCACTTTGGTACTGGACCTCATAAAAATAGAGGTGTTCTAAAGATAAGGATTACCAAAGACACTGTTGCTAATCACACGATTCGGGGCAAGCTCTTGCATAGTTACATAAGAGATGCTCAGCACCAATACATTGTCTACAATGGGTGAGAATGGCACAAAGACACCAGACCATGCCGGAGCTGGGGTTGCTAGTATAAGGCTTGCCCCGAATCACGTGATTTAGTAACAGTCCCATTGGTCGGGAGAATGCAAAGTTAAAACATGCACCTAAGCATTGGATAAAGTCAGCGATCTAGATTTTATTCAAATTTAACTCACAATTGGCTTATTCACAGCCCTGCTGGAGGATTGTTTTGAAAAGAGAAGTAAAGTCTGAGGGCACAATTGCAGAACATCCCGCCACTCAATCTATGCACCCTGTAGCCGGCTACGGAGTCACGGTGATTGCCCTCAATAAACCTTCTCAGCGCTACCTAGCTGTATGTACTACTAGGCCTACACACGTCATGCTCCACTGCACACCCACTCCGTATCCGCATAGCTGGCAACAGGGTAGTTGGTTTGGACTTAGAATTTTTTCAGCAACTCCCATTCCTTTACTTGAGAATGCCTAAGTCACTTTGGAGCAAATTACCCCTTTTTCCAAAATTAGGTATGACACATGTTGGCGTTTTCGTCGAATAACCAAATACAAATATCATTTTCTTGACCTTTGATCCAGAGTGTGCCACGAATTTGTGCCAAAATGGAGAAAAATGCTTCACCCGAAATAGCGCCGAGGGCTACGTCTGTGAGTGCAACCTTCCCTTCAGAGACAACTACAATTGTGCCACGGGTCCAGGTGAGCTTGTGATCCACTCAACAAACTGCAGACAATGTTCCTATCCTGCAAATCAGCTGAATATCCTTGAACCGATTTCTCAAATTTCACACTGTAACTTCAGCATTTTACGTACATGTACTTCTGATTTGTGGTGAAAAGAGTGGTATATATATATATATATATGCCAGAATGGAGAAAAGTTTACACATCATTAACACAATTAAATTTAGTGTAAAATTGTTTAGTATCTGCATGTAAATTTACATTTGGCACATGAGTTGTATAGATTTTTATCCATTCTATAGTTTAGGCCCCCAAAAAAGTCTCCGGTTTCTGGTATGGAGCTTGCCCAAAAAGTGGTGCGGCGACGCGGCTTTTTTTTTTTTTTACCTGATTTTTTTTGCTTCAAATGTCGGCTGATGACTGCAAATTGTGCCCGACTAAACTTAGTGCAAATATATGGGAGTCCAGCGAGGCCACATAAAGCTTATTCTCGACCATAACCCAATCTAAAAACACGTTAAAATTGTGCAGCAGCAGGATTCCAGTCAAACCAGTGAGTTTGGCGGTTTTGAGACATCATCTTTCATCGAAAAAAAACTTTTTCATTTTACCGACGCGCATGGCTACGGCGACGCGCGCATACCAGAAACCGGAGACTTTTTTTTTTGGCCTTAGCCAAACTAGGGTAGTGAAGATCTCTGAATTGTTGCATTGGGGTTTTTATTTTTTAACTTGGCCAGGAATGGTCATTGGGAGAACAAGGACAACAGTTACATTGGCACAGCTTGGAGGGATTTTTATTTTTAATTTTTTTTTATGCGAGGTTTTGACAAAGAGCTGAAGAAGAAATGGTGGATTCTTATCTGCATTCACTTCGAGTCTTGCAAGCAGTCTGTGCAATTGACCTTATTTTATAAGTAAAATTTACATGGGTTGAAAATTGAACTTTATAGTGACTTTTGAAGATTGTCAAAAAGATTTTTTAAAAGGAACTTATAAAAATCATTTTTATTGCAACTTTGATATTTCCACCCTTTGCCATATGTTTATTTAGTTGTACCAGTGGTTGACTATTTCAATTTTCGTTCCCCTGTCCGACAGACAACCAAGAGGTTTTCACCTGTTACGGCCCTACCTGTACCTCAGGGCTCTTTCAGAGCTTGAATTACCCCCAGGCCTACCCGAACCGCTACCGGGCTCTCTACTTGCTCTACATCCCCGGCGCCAACGGGATCTCGTTCACCTTTGACGAGGTCTTCGGGATCGAGACCGACAAAGACGAGCTGTACGTGGGCAGAGGCCTCTCAGTCGACTTCTCCGCGCTGAACAGCATTGACACGGCCGACGTGCGTTTCTTTGAGGGCTTCGCCACACCAGACGGTTTCACCATCGATAATACGGACGCCGTTTGGATGTACTTCATCACAGATAAGAATTTGGAGTTTAGCGGCTTCTCCATTAGATATCAAATGGGTGAGTTGGCAGACACAAATATAAATCTATGCAATTTATTAGATAAATTGATGCTAACCCTGCAGGGTATTTTGTCCAGGAACTCTATCCATTCAAGAAACAACATTATATCTGAAAAGCCTGCCCATTGTAACAAGATTGGAAAAAAAATATAATCAGGGACCTAGTATTTCTTAAAGACGAAGCCAAAAGCATTCGTATCACAAATGCTGCTAGACTGGTTCTCAGTCCATCCATTGTGAATGTATCCATAGTCGTTGGGGGCGGGGATAAGTCTGGGAGCCCATCGAAGGAGAAATTCGAACACATTTGCGCGCCGCGACGAAACCTGATACTCATAGGAAAACACAGTGGCTTAGCTTTGGCACATTCAGGATATATAAGTCATGGGGACTTAGCGCAGCTGTCACCAACCGAGCGCTGGTCCCTTGAACAGGGAGATTGGAGGTCACTTCGACCCACTGATGGTCAAGTGCAGCAGCAGCAGGAGTAGTAGCAGTGAACTTCGCGCACGAACCAGTACAGTGGAACGTCGCTATACCGAACACCGCTATACCAAACATTCGGCTATACCGAACATCAGCCTTGGCTCCCAATTTTTGTGTATAAGGTGTACCAAACATTGTTGTTGGAAATGTCAACAGAAGAGCGACAAATGGCTATTATTAAAAACTGTGAAATTACATAATCGCTATTACGAGCAATTTCTGTGGATCCCATGATATTTGTTATAGGGACGTTCCACTGTACATACTTGTGCTGGCGACTCAAAATAAAAACATCGTGAAATGCCAAGTGATGTTGCTTTGTGTTCTACGTTCGCTGAAATTTGCGGTCTCTCCAGTGTAAAACCTCAAAAGAAAACGCCCGTTCTGGACAAGCCTGTAGATAATTGGGATTTTAGAATTGTTTTAAATCAAAGTGTCATCTTTATGTTCCTGAAAGTTCTTTTTGACAGATCCAATAAGAAATTTGCGAAGATGTTACTAACAATTAGTGACGTTATAATCCAGCAGTTCCTTCAGACTGGCACGCCATCTTCACGGTCGTTTACTTTTACATGGGACAATCGATATCGAAAACTCTCGATATTGGATTTCCGATATATCAATTATTGAAAATCCTAATATCGACGGTGCTTGGCCTTCAGTCAGTGTCATAAGTTGCGTTTGATTTGTGTTTTTGTTTTCCAGTGGACAATGACGTGCCGGTCATCAGCAACTGTCCCAACAACCAGGCAGTGACGACCACCAGTTTGGCCGGAGCCCAGGTCTTCTGGAATGCACCTACTGCCACCGATGCCTCGCAGGTGGCCACTTCGTCCACTCACAACCCTGGAGACGTGTTCCCGATCACGACGACCCAAGTCACGTACACCTTCACCGATGAATTTGGCAACTTTGCCCAGTGTAGCTTCAGCGTGACAGTGCAGTTTTGTAAGTTTGGAATATTACAAATTTGTTAAGTTTTGTTGTTGTTGCTTTTTTAACTATGCCATATTTTTGAGCAAATGAGGACAATTTAAAAATGCAAGATTGTACAAATGTGATAAATTTTCGGTTTAACCAAGGTCTCAGCTCCGTTTGAACCGCACAAATGATTGCTCACGGCATGTTCTTATTTTAGTTTGCTGTGGTACAAATACCAACATGCTTGTAATCATTGTGTTTTCAAATGCAAATATTAAACCAGTATTTTTGTGTCGCCTAAACAAAGTTTTTGGGGACACTGTATGCCAGCCTATATGCTAAAGTTTGGGTTAAGTTTTTGAAAAAAATGTTTTGCTTTGAGAACCAAACTTAATGTGGTGTACTTTTGGTGTATGTTCATTATGGCTAAGATTTTGGGGTGTATGTTTGGTGTAGTCACATCATTTGCATACAGCTGGTGCACAATTGGTGTATTCCACATGTGGTAACTTCTACATGCTTTTCTTGGATTTTGATAAAACTTGGGTGCAATGACCCTTGGGTGGGAAGACACAATTCTTCATTGGATTGCTGAGGTCAAAGGTCAAGTATGGGTCATTAGAGGTCACTGTTCAAATATGCTTAACATGGATGGAGCGAAAACAGTGATCCGCGGATCACCTTGTTTTCGATCACCTTGTTTCCAGAACTCTTCAAAATCCCCGGGTTTTTGAGGATTACATTCCAAAGGTCTCAAAATTAGTCATGGCTTTTCAACCAGATCTTGAAGCTCATTCAAAGAAATTCATCATACTTCATTTTTGAAGAAAAAAAAACGGTTTCATTTTAGAAAGTCAATATGTTCAAACTTTGATTTCAGCGGATAACACACCCCCGGTTGTCTCTGGATGCCCGAGCAGCTTCTCCGTGACGACGTCCTCTACGGCTGGAGGTCAGGCCTTCTGGACGGCCCCAACCGCGACGGATATCTCCCAAGTCTCTACGACGTCCACTCATTCTCCCGGTGCCACGTTCCCAGTCGGTACCACTACCGTCACCTACACCTTCACTGACGCTTCGGGAAATGTTAATCGCTGCATATTTGATGTGACGATCCAGTTTGGTAAGTTTGCATGTTCAAAGAATATCTTCACCGAGAATTTGCTGGTTTCAGAGACTTTACTTGAGTCTTGAAGGCGTAAAGGATCATTTGCATTTATCCTAAAAGTAATCAACAGTATTATATTATTTAAAAAAGCTTATTTGGATTAAAGAGCGTACTTGTACTAAACACCCTGTGAAATCAGTCCAGGGAGAACTTGTTTGCTGTCATTTAGAAGAAATTGAGAAATGTAGGTAACATCCAACGATCAGTCACTTGACTGATATAAGTTGGATATCAAGAGTGCTATTGACAAAATTAGGTTTCGTGATCAAACAGTCGTGCATGGTTGTTCACTGTTCTTCAAAACAGTGTAATATCCACAGAGCTGAAACTTCAACAGGTTATGTTTTTATTCTTCTTTGGATTTTGAGTGGTGTTATTATTGGAAAAGTACAAAATGCGTGAGAAGCAATACTATACTATATGCGTCTAATGTCCTATTTTTTATTTGTTAAATACTAAACGTTTTCCTGTGAGACACGCTGTGCTTTAAAAAAAAAAAGGAAAATATTGTACTTGCTTTACAGTGGAGCTGGGCCCACTTGTCTTGGTTTTGGAAAATGTTTATTTTCAGTGACTTAGTCAGAGGAAAATAAGCTGGTTCTTTCAGGTCCATCAAAAATGTTTTACCCTAGCCCTCCTGGAACGTTTAAAATTTGCCACGAGGCTTGGACGATTTTTTCCTTCACAATTAGAAAGATAAAGGCTGCTTCAACCCTAACCAAGGGCGGATCCGGGGGGTAATTCTGCGGGTTGTGGGTTCGAATCACGCCTGCGGCTATAGTGCGCGTGCCCTTGGGCAAGGCACTTTATCACACATTGCTTCTCTCCACCCAGGAGTAAATGGGTGCCTGTGAGGGCAGAGATGGTTATTGTGGTTGATTTTAGCTTCTCTGTGCCAAATTGGTAGCATCGAGCTGAATACTCCCCAGGGAGCTGAGATTGTCTTTGGAATGTTTCATTGGCCCAGTGAGCAGGGAAATAATGATGTAGCGCCTTGAGCACCAATAATGATGGATACGTGCACTTTATAGGCCTATATACCCATTATTATTATTACTTTTTTTGTTGGAAATAATTGTTGAACATGTCGTTTGCTTGCTCAGTTGACAACACTGTGCCGACGATCACCAACTGCCCCCAGTCCTTCACTAGGACGGCACCCTTTGGCTCAACGTCCATTCCCGTCACCTGGACTGAACCAACGGCCACCGATAATGTTGGGACGCCGACCCTCACCATACGCAATCCGGCACCGGGCAGTTCGTTCAACGTTGGACAAACGACCACCGTCCTGTACAGATGGACTGACGCTAACGGCAACTTTGCAGAGTGCACGTTTGACGTCACTGTTATTGCGCTCAGTAAGTATCGCCTGTTTAACCCTAGCCACCCCAACTCCATCAAAATCCCTCCCCCCCCCCCCCCCCGCCACTTTGGTGGATTTTGGGGGACTTGGTCCAGAAGGCCTGGCGTGGCTAAATATTGATGGAGTATGATGGACTCGGGCCTGAAGGCCTGAAGCAGTGCTTGCCCCACTGCTTGGGGTACCCGATTGATTTTGCCTAGCTTCCTGTACTGCTTTTGTGATAAAGCCATGTGTAGCAAGTCCATGAATGTCAACCAGTGTGTCCGTGGTGGATTCCATTATGTCATGCTCGGTTTTTGTTGGAAGCACAGTGATTGATGGATTTGGATGGACTTGGTCCAGTTCCTAGTAAAAAACGCTAGGGAGCTAGGGTTAATATTTATGCCCTCGATCCGTGTCCAAATCTTGTTTTCTTTTTGATCAGTGAAATCTCTGAAGTCAAACTCTGATAACTCAAAACAACCGTTTGGTCAAAACAAAGAATCCATTGCCTTCAGTGGTATAACAATGATATAAAACCCTGCTTAACTCAAAACTCTGCGTAAGTCAAGTTTTGAACCTGTTCCCTTGAGGTTTGACTTGTCGAGATTTCACTGTAATCCTAATATTTTTAGTTTTATACTTCATGAGACTTTGATCACAAAACCTGTACGACATGGTAAACTTGAAAGACTTGAAAGACGTGAATGCCAGCAGTTTTGAAAATGTACCTTGTGATAAAACGTGGACAAAATCACTGATTTCTAAAAAGCTCATAATTTGTCCACTACTTGACCCTTGACCCTCATCCTAGGTGACAACACTCTCCCCGTTGTGACTTTCTGCCCCGACGACATTACAAGGTTTGTGCCATTCCAGAGCACCGGTGTCACGGTCACCTGGAATGAGCCAACGGCGACAGATAACTCCGGGTCAGTTACGACGACTCAAACGCACATTTCGGGTGCCTTCTTTCAAACGGGTTCCAGCACGGTCGTCATGTACACGTTTAGGGACGCCAGCGGCAACGAGGCAATGTGCGAGTTCAACGTTCGCATCTTCCAGCAGAGTGAGTTTTTCAGCTTGACTTCCCCAAGTTGCACACAATTTTTTTAGAATTCTGGTTTAGGTTCTTTTTGTCCTCAAAGATTGGTCCCAATTATGCCTTCCTGTCAATCAATCAATCAGTACTTGCATTGACCAATCAGATCAGTACTTTTGGTCATGTGACCATGGCTGCTGGGTTTTACTTGGTCACAGGTATTGTCAGAAATGTAAATAAGGTGAACGTGGGCTCCATTTTTTCTTATCTACAGGGCCTGATATACAGTCGGATAAATTTTGAACTAGCATCCAAGCTTAGAGTGTTTTGTTTGAAGTTCCCACACTTCAAAAGTGCTGAACCTTCAGTGCCGTTACACATGTAATTTGAAATTCCTCAATTGTGAGTTCATTTTTCAACCACAGGAATATCAATTCTGTTCACTAAAATCCTTCATTTTTCCGGTTTCGAAATATTCAAGGCTTTTTAAGTTCAAACAATTCAAAAGAAGCTTTAACAAATAGACAAAACGATGTCTTATTTCAGAAACGGGCAATTCTGGTGTCACGAAATGAAGTGTAATGTCCACGACAGAGCCAGTATATAATAAATGACACACAGAAATGATCCAAAAACTCCTAGTCTTTAATCTCCTTGGCCAGTACTAGATGATGGACGTACAACATTTGCAAAAAATGTTTTCGGGTTTATTCACTGAGCTCTTAAAAAGATCCATCATGACATTACTTAACACTGGAATTTCCCAAAAGTCAGACAGAGGACTGTTAGGCCCATAATTGATCCGATAGAAACTTATGTTCCTCTACTAAATATGCTCATTTTATTTGATTTCAACAGGTGATACTGTGCCGCCAGTGATCGTCTCATGCCCAGAAAACCAGGCGATTAGTGTTGCATTTGGTAGCGCCGGCTCGTCCGTGTTCTGGAACGAACCAGTGGTGACAGACAACTCCGGATCCTTTTCTTTAACGCAGACTCACACATCCGGTGATTTTTTCAATGTAAATACGCAGACTGATGTCTTGTACGTTTTCACCGATGCTGCGGGCAATGAAAATCGGTGTTCATTCACCGTGACGGTGACATCACAAGGTAAATGTCCAAAAAACTTGGGAAAATCAGAAGAAAATTGCTAGAATTTTAAAATTAAATATTGATCTCTTTTTTTATATAAACACAGCCAAAAATTAAAGTCAAGACTCATTGGAAGGTTTCATTATTTTGAAACTAATCGTCTCGTGAGGACTTCGTTTATATACACTAGGGGATTTTTATCAGCTTCATTGTGTTACCCTGCTTGCTACCAAAGACGATTTATGAACACCGATGCAGTTTGAAAATCGCAATTTAAGAGATACGCAATCGATATTCAGCGTTCGTTTTGGCAGTGAATTGCCATTTCTCCTTGCGTATCTTTTAAATTGCAAGTTTTCAAACTGCATCGTTGTTCACAATTAAACCGTTGTCACCCCTCGGACAATTTATAGTCATTGGTAGCAAGCGGGGTATCAAAATGCAGCTGATAAAATTCCCCACGGATGTATATAAGTGATGTCCTCATAAGACAATCAGATTCAAAATTAGGACGCCCTCAATGAGTGTGAATTTTCTTTTTGGAATATTGCCATTTTTAAACATTTCATATAAGTATTAAAAAGTTTGACTATTTTGCATAGACCCAAACCTTAATTTCTCTGTAGCTTTCATAAAATAAAAGTGTCTAAAAGCGACTAAATTTGGTTCCCTCAATATAAAAACTCAATTCATAAAGACTGAAATAACATGGATTAATGTAGGAATTTTAGAATATTTTAGAATATTTGTGTTTTTTTCTCTTGCAATAGAGCCTAATATTTTTTGCAGGGGTTGCTTCTGCTGGAGTCGTGGTCATGGCAGTCACTAAAATACCATTTTATTTTAGAAAAACATGGTGCGGAAAAACAAATCAGTAAAAAACCCAAAACAGAAAGGAGTTCAGGGAAATGCATCAAAAAGATATGCAAATACATTTTTTCTTCCCCTCAGGTGATACTTCTCCACCTGTGATTACCTCTTGTCCGTCGGACCAGACCCAGTTTGTGCCGTTCCTCACCAGCGGCACCACCGTCAGTTGGTCTGAGCCAGTCGTGTCGGACAACTCGGGCAATTTTGAAACCATCCAAACTCGTGCCTCGGGATCGTTCTTCACGGTTGGCGACACTCCGGTCACTTACACATTCCGGGATGCGGCCAACCTCGAAGCCACGTGCACATTCACTGTCAGGGTCATTCAACTTGGTAAGGTTTCATAATACAATTTTCTGTTTGAAAAACCCTTGAAGCCTCCTAGTTGGAAGTCAACATTCAGAGCAATACGTAAAACCCTTTTAAACCCTGCAGGTCAGTTTTAGGAGAAGGGTTATGAAGTGTTCAAGTAACGGAGATCAGCCTGGGGGTTTGGTCAGTATCGAAGCAGGGCATAAATGATTATTGTGTGCATGCACAAGGTATACCGCCCCTAGAGTGGTAACAAGTATTTTGATGGACTTTTTGAAAAAAGGGTGATAACACCCAAAAAGCTGCCACCGCTGCAATGCTATCAATATTTTCCAACTCTGGAGGTGTATACCTTGCCAAAATCGCTATGACAATTATTCCCCTCATTTGAAACCAAAATTATGGACCGAGGCTGATGGCCAAACAGAGACTCTGTTTGCCCTGAGCTTAACCACGCGAAGAATAGGGCAGGGATTTGATATGTTATCCAACTCCACACAAGATTTTCCTTATTGAAATTTGAATTGCTAACTTTACGGGCAAAAGTGGTTTTGCAAAACTTCAAGGGTTGCGAAGTGCAGAAGCCAGAGAGACTTGCACAAATACTAACCAAATTTATTGAACACCAATGTTTTGAAATGATGATCACATTATGGTTAATTGAAATTTCCATTTTGATGTTATTTATATTTACCAATTACGCCTAAAAGGAAAATTCAATCATCAACAGTAACCAGAAAAGGAAGGAAAATTTGAGTGAATGAATTGCCGGCCAAAGGCAAGGAAGTCAATTTGAAAGCATTTTTGTCGAATTTTGCTTTTTTTAGGTGACTCTGAGCGCCCAGTTGTCTCGGTCTGTCCCGCAAACCAAGCCATCACTGTGCCCTTCCAAAGCGCTGGGAACATCGTGACTTGGACCGAGCCCACAGTCACCGACAACTCCGGGGCCTTCAATACGCAACAGACGCATAATTCCGGTGACTTCTTTAACGCCAACACGCAGACCGACGTCAGGTACACATTCACGGATGCAGCCGGCAACGAGGCCACCTGTACTTTCACGGTGACCGTTATTCAACAAGGTAAATTTTTTTTGCCCTATTCCATTTCTATTACTCATACAACCATCATATTTTTCCAGTCCGAGAGAGACCAGAGCCCAACTTCTTGGCTCTGCTTTACTGTTAGCGAAAAATCTCTGCTCACTATAGCAGAAAATACCGTGTTTACGGTAAGCGTATTTCACGGTTGCCTTCTGCGCATGCGTACATCCCGTCACTAAGGATTCTGTGCATACAGGGTTAGCGCATAAATTTTGCTGCTAGCGCTGTTAGCACTGTTGCGCTTGAATCCATATCGACTGCGCGCTTGGCAATCAACAACATAATCATCACACATAACAGAAGAAATATACTTTGCTATTACCATAGAGGTTCTGGCAGTTGGTGACCAGCCTGTACATATTCCATGGGAGAGGAAGGGGATTTTTTTCCCCACAATTTATGACAGTTATATCAGAACTAATTATTTTCTTGCTGTACCCACTGACTGACTCAGTGACTGACTCAGTCACAGACTGACCGACTGAGTCACCGATTACAAATAATACCTTTCACTGCAAATTTAGTTTCAGCATGACATTTTGGCAAACCTGGTCTTGTTGAATTACAGCAGTTATACAATTGTGTAGTTATTAAAGGGAAGAAACAACATTTGCAAAAATCAAAAAACGAAATGATTAGGGATTGACAGTCTAAAGCATCCTGTAATATTGTGGCTCCTGGTGTGCTGACATTTTCAAGAAAAACTTTATTTTTCCAACGCTGGTCGGCTGACCATCATTGGAAAAAACTGGCTTTTTTTTCAAAACTGCCCCTATTTTTTCATATTTAGTTATTCCACATTTTCTTTGCAATAGATTACACACCTGTGAATGCTAGAGTGTTTCTTTGACCTTACAATTCCCCGAAGTCTTTACGTTTCTCCGTTTCATCTTCAGTGGGGTCGGGGAACCAGACTACAAGAAAATGATTTGTTTTCTTGGTTTTTCCAGCATAAACAAGCCCAAAACGTGACACGAGTCAGTTTAACAATATTTGCTATAACACACTAATCCTCCAAATGTATTTTTTTCTGAAAATTGCAGCAGAAGCAAATGTTGTACATTCCCTTTAAACCCTAAAGGCATAACTTTGTGGGCTTGCAAATGAAAAATAAATGTTTTTATCCCCTCCCGATAAATTATTGATGAAAGAAAAAGGGAAATTTGATGATTCATAATAACCCGAAATTTAAAAACTGCTACTGATTTCTACAGGTGATAACGAACGCCCTGTTGTGACCTCCTGTCCCCAAGACATCACCCAGTTTGTTCCCTTTCTGAGCACCGGTACCACGGTAACGTGGACCGAGCCAATCGTTTCAGACAACTCCGGCGCTTTTGACACCATTCAGACGCGCGCCTCGGGATCATTCTTCCCAGTTGGCGAGGAAACGGTCACCTACACGTTCCGTGACGCAGCTAACAATGAAAACGAGTGTATGTTTGTCGTGAGAGTCATTCAGCAAGGTATGTACACTTTTTTCCCCCGACTTCTTTTAAGGTTTGTTGATTTGTATTGAATGAACAATTACTTCGTTACTGCATAAAGTTTAGTCTAATACAGCCCTTTATAACCTTTTTTTTTAATTCAAAAGGGGATAACGAAGTACCAATGGTCACTGTTTGCCCGCAAAACATCGCCATGTCTGTCCCCTTCCTGAGCACCGGAACGATAGTCTCTTGGAATGAGCCCACAGTCACCGACAACTCCGGAGCCTTCACGACGCAACAGACGCACAGTTCTGGAGAGTTCTTTGCTACCAACACACAGACCCAGGTTCAGTACACATTCAGAGATGCTGCTGGCAACGAGGCCTTCTGTTTGTTCACTGTGACTATAACATCACAAGGTATTAGCATTGCTGTCAGAATTTCACCATAAAGTCAGAATTCTCAAAATATTTTGACAAAATTCCAAAAATGGTTTTGATAAAGATAACTAGAGCTGTCTTGGTTTGGTATATGGTTGTTGAAAGTTGCAAAATGTTTTAAGGTGCCTTGTTCAAAATGCCTTTTGACATTACAAAGAAGATGAAGAATTCTGTAGTACATGTATTTGGTACGTGACCCCCGAAGAGCCCTTAGGGGGTCAGGGTTAGAACCCTGACCCCTGGGCCTTTTTGATAGGTTGCACCCCATTCCTTCGAAATCCTCCAACTGCCACCATGTTAAAATTAGATACAGCCTCAATCCTCCAAAATCGTCCATTATTTCTTGAATTTGTTCATTGGAGGGGGTGACCAGTGCCTCACTCCTGCAAAATCCTCCAACAATCACTGTTAATGCGTTGAGGGAGTGCCGATAATATCCAGAAGCAGTGCTGATGATTTCACCTATTATCTCGGCCTAACAAGCCATCGGTAGTCTCTATTAATCAATAATGTTTCTAGCTGTTAAGGCCCAGATATTCCTTGTGTAAAAATGTATGCGTGGCTGAGCATAAACAACACAAGGTACAGCGTAGACCTTGACACAGTGCATCCTCCAAAATCAACTGACGCAGTTTTTGCCATCATAAAGCCTCATTCCTTTGCCCCTCCATTGATATAGTGAGGATTCTTGTGGATTTGGGACGGTTTGGGTTAATTGTTGGAAATATTTTTCATTTCTTTATTCATTATTAACTTAAAATCATAAATACCTAAGACAGTTTACCCATTCCTATTGGTTGATAACCCGTCACGTGGCCGGTCTTAAATGGATGATAAAGACATGGCCAGCTTGTCTTAAACACTTTTCCAGTGTCGAATGAAATTTGGACTCCTGAAAATCCAGTGCCTCTTACCGTTTTATTGGTTGAACGTTCACAATCCTCACGTAGACATGAGCAATACTACCAGTGAGTCAGTATTTTAAAGTCCAATTCACAACACAACGCCCCAAGTGCATTCTGCGCGATATTGCGCAGTATGCGCGCGCCAATCTCCACAAAAGGAGTTGTTTACATCTTACTCGCAAGCTGGACACTCCATTATTTAGCTAGAGGGGTGTTTCGCAAAACATGAAGTGAGCTTGTCTAACAAAATTGGAGGTTTTGACCGAAAAGTTTATATTTTTTTGACCGAAAAAAGGTATTTATTAATAGAATAAATATGTGCTTGGTCAGTATTTATCACTCTCTTTAAAACCGCTTGGAGTCTGATAGCACCCAGACACCAAGTGGTCTTAAACCGAGTAATTAAAACCTCCCAAACACGCATTTGTTCCCTTAATAACCAATATTTTGGCGTTACTATCTTCCCCTCAGGTGATACTTCTCCACCTGTGATTACCTCCTGTCCGTCGGACCAGACCCAGTTTGTGCCGTTCCTCACCAGCGGCACCACAGTCAGTTGGACTGAGCCGGTCGTGTCGGACAACTCGGGCAATTTTGAAACCATCCAAACCCGTGCCTCGGGATCGTTCTTCACGGTTGGAGACACGCCGGTCACTTACACATTCCGGGATGCGGCCAACCTCGAAGCCACGTGTACATTCACTGTCAGGGTCATTCAGCTCGGTAAGGTTATGAACATAATATATATTTTACATGAGGAAAAATTGTATTCATCCTAGTAAAGATATTTTGTCCATTCGTGGTGACAATCATTTAGCTTTAATTATAGAAGCCTGAAAATTTTTTTTTTCAAATCTTATACATCCATCATCTGGAAATGGTCAAGGAGATTGCAGACTAGGAGTTTTGGATTATATTTCTGAATCACTACTGAGATATCATGGTTAATTGGCTACGTCATTTACATTACGTTTTCTTTCATAACACTTGAATTGTCCGTAACCGAAGTTAGAATGACAGTATTGGGGTCACAGTATACATATGTAGTTAATGTTTCAATAAATGGTTAGTCAATGAAGAAACTCGATGACAATCATTTGTCCCATTACAGAATATTTGAAGTCTATCTTTGACCTTAAATAATTTTAAAGACTGCTCTTGGTTTTGTCTCTTTTTAAGTCGACACCGAGCGCCCAGTTGTCTCGGTCTGTCCCGCAAACCAAGCCATCACTGTGCCGTTCCAGAGCGCTGGAAACGTTGTGACTTGGACCGAGCCCACAGTCACCGACAACTCTGGAGCTTTCAATACGCAACAGACGCATAATTCCGGTGACTTCTTTAACGCCAACACGCAGACCGAAGTTAGATACACATTCACGGATGCAGCCAGCAATGAGGCCATCTGTACGTTCACCATAACTGTAATTGAACAAGGTAAGTTATTTTTACCCCAACCCTTACCTTCAAAATGCACCAGGAGACTTGATTCCACTTGAAACTTGGTAGGTTTAAGGAGCGTGCTATTGAGGTGTTCATGAAAATAATGAACAAATGTATTCATTGAGTTAACTACCCTTCTTCTAAGCTTTTTCATGCATCTTGTCACTTGGACCAAAAAAAAAGTACTTTGCAAAATTTTTAATCGGCAAAATTAGCAGAGTACCAGTCAAACGCAATGTACACCATAAGGATTTATTGGCTGGTAACCCATTTTTGCTAAGCAAATTTGTTATCTGCCATGCTTGGCAGCAGCATGAACTGGCCCTAGATAATATTTATCATTCAATGAAAATTGAATATGCTTTACACAAAGAAGTATTAATTATGTTAATCTCCAAATTCCTTTTATTTAAAGGTGATAACCAACGCCCTGTTGTGACCTCCTGTCCCCAAGACATCACCCAGTTTGTTCCCTTTCTGAGCACCGGTACCACAGTAACGTGGACCGAGCCAATCGTTTCAGACAACTCCGGCGCTTTTGACACCATTCAGACACGCGCCTCGGGATCATTCTTCCCAGTTGGCGAGGAAACAGTCATCTACACATTCCGTGACGCAGCAAACAACGAAAATGAGTGTTCGTTTGTCGTGAGAGTCATTCAGCAAGGTATGTAGACTGTATGTATGTACATAAACGTCCCCAAATCTATGTATTTATATCAGTTTCTAGGAATTTACGAAAGTTGTTATTTACAAGTAGTTGAACACGCATATCATCTTAGTACATTCCGAATTTCAGCTTAATCTGTTCTTGCTAACGCTTGTGTTACACATTGAATCATCTCTAAGGAAAATTTCAGCGACGAATTTTAGCGACCAAACCCAAGTGTATGGTTTGCCTATAGTATCGTGGGCGCTACGGTTGACCGATTTTGGCCCGGCCGCACAATGGATGATCGCATATTCATTAGCGTCACTCGGCGTGACTTGGCGTGGGTCTCGGTATCGACCAATGGAAGCCGGCAAAAAGGGTGATATTTATCAATTAATGACTCGTGAAGGAGACTTTTACGCAAATTTTTACTGCACACCATAATGGATAGGAACCTTATTAATATTTGTGAGGCTTGAAAAGATTGACAGACATTGCTAATGCCAGTGTTACAGCTTTCAAATATGCACGTAGCCAGGCCTATTTTTCCAATTTCAACGAAAAGTAAAGAACATATCACAACGATTTTTAGCACATAATTGGATCATTATAAGGGAAATAAACCCTGACAGTTGCATGAAGATACAGTGTTCCAAACGGGAGAAACTGAGTTTCAAAGATTTCGCCCGCCAACGTGAACATGTGTGTGTACATGTAGTTTCATTCAAAATAAAGTGTTGCGTAACCTTTAGAAATCGCCCTTCGCAACCACATGGCTGATAGCGTCTCAGTACGTAATCGGATCAGCTTTGCTTATAGTCCAGCGGATATGTGACACAATATCGATGAATTGTGCACTTTTGCATAAAAACGTGAAATTTGGCACAGATGTTCATATAGAGAGAAAATGATTTATATGTGGAGCCATCGCAAATTTACCCTTTTTGGGGCGTGGCATCCATAGATTATAAGTGTTTTCCAGATGCGGAGCCACCATAAAAGCACCTCTTTGGGGGCTTGGCAGCCATTTCAAAAAGGAAGGGGGTAATTATTGTGGGAAGTTTCATTTCTCTATGAAGGTGGGAAAAAATTTCCATGGTGGGCATAATGCAAACCCTGTCCCCTTTTTTTCTTATATGGTTGCCACGCCCCTAAAAAGGTGTGTTCGAGATGGCTCCACATCTGGATTTTTTTTCTCATGAATATAAACCTGTGTGAAAAGTTTCCTTCATTCATAAAATGTGGGCACAATTTTTCCAAAGGTGGGCAAAATAATTACCCCCCTTTTTTTAAATGGCTGCCACGCCTCCAAAATGTGCCTTTGTGGCGGCTCCGAATCTGGAAAACACTTATTATCTATATAATTATGTCTTTGTGAAGTTTACTGCTTTTGTGACTTAAGTGGGAACAACCTTTTTTACTGCGGGCATGATGAGTCGCGCCCCCCTTTTTTTAAAATGGATGCCACGCCCCTAAAAGGGTAAATTATGGGATGGCTCCACATCTAAATCATTTTCTCTCAGCGCCAAATTTCACGCTTTTATGCAAAAGTTCACATTTTTTTCACATATCCACGGGACTATTAACAACGGCAGACGCTTTGCCTTAGCAACCACATGACTACAAAGGCTGACATCGGACCTGGGGCAGCGCAGCGCAGTATTGAATGAACATAAACTTGTTTACTGAGAAATATTTAGATACCTTTTTGGAATCAAAAATATTGCAGGGATGTATCTTTCAATGTCATCTCTAGATCTTCATTCAGCGCAGTAAATTAAACCACTCCAGTCATGTTACCACCTTTTGGGCGATCACAAACCAGCAGGGCATCATAGTTGGCTTGCAGGTCGTATCCAGTTAGTATACATGCTGCTAACGTCTTTACTGCATAACGTTTAGTCTAATACAGCCCTTTATGATTTTTTTTTAAATTCAAAAGGCGATAACGAAGTACCAATGGTCACTGTTTGCCCGCAAAACATCGCCATGTCTGTCCCCTTCCTGAGCACCGGAACGATAGTCTCTTGGAACGAGCCCACAGTCACTGACAACTCCGGAGCCTTCACGACGCAACAGACGCACAGTTCTGGAGAGTTCTTTGCTACCAACACACAGACCCAGGTTCAGTACACATTCAGGGATGTTGCTGGCAACGAGGCCTTCTGTTTGTTCACTGTGACTATAACATCACAAGGTTAGTTATCAGCTTCTGAAATTCCCAAAAAAAAAGGTACAGCCTAGACCTCGACTTGGTTCAAGCTCCAAAATCAACTGACACCGTTTTTGCCGTACAGCCTCAATACTTTGCCCCTCCACTGATGCAGTGAGGATTAAGGACGGTTTGGTTTAATTGTTGCCATATTTTTAATTTCTTTATTCATTATTCACTTGAAATAACCAATATTTTTGGCGTTACTTTCTTCCCCTCAGGTGATACTTCTCGACCCGTGATAACTTCCTGTCCGTCGGACCAGACCCAGTTTGTGCCGTTCCTCACCGGCGGCACCACCGTCAGTTGGACCGAACCGGTCGTGTCGGACAACTCGGGCAATTTTGAAACCATCCAAACCCGTGCCTCGGGATCATTCTTCACGGTTGGCGACACTCCAGTCACTTACACATTCCGGGATGCGGCCAACAACGAAGCCACTTGTTCATTCACTGTCAGGGTCATTCAGCTTGGTAAGGTTTGAACTTAAAAAAATTACACATGGAAAAATAGTATTTATCCTATTTAATGCGGATACATTTATTTTTTTGATTTGCGGTGACAATCTTTTAGCTTTGTAAAGTTTGCACCTGAAAATGTTTTTTGAAGTCTTTTGCATCCATCATCTAGTAAATGTCAAGGAGATTTTTCTGAATCACTACTTAGATATCATGGTTAATTGGATCTGTGATGAACTTTACGTTTCCTTTCATAAAACTGGAATTGTCCATAACCGAAGTTAGAATAACAGTGTGGGGGTCGCAAAATAAGCTGAAACTTGTACTGGGTCTACCTCCTTCACAAACAACACATGTGGTTAATGTTTCAATAAATGGTTAGTCAATGAAGAAATTCAACTACATAATCATTATTTGTAGTCGATCTTTGACCCCAAATAATTTTAAAGACTACTCTCGGTTTTGTCTCTTTTTAAGGCGACAGCGAGCGACCAGTTATCGTGGTCTGTCCCCCAAATGAGGCCATCACTGTGCCATTCCAGAGCGCTGGAAACGTTGTGACTTGGACCGAGCCCACAGTCACCGATAACTCTGGAGCCTTCACTACGCAACAGACGCATAATTCCGGTGACTTCTTTAACGCCAACACGCAGACCGAAGTTAGGTACACCTTCACGGATGCCGCCGGTAACGAGGCCGTCTGTATGTTCACCATTACCGTAATTGAACAAGGTAAGTTATTTTTACCCAAACCTTCAAAATGCACCAGGAGACTTGATTCCACTTGAAACTTGGTAGGGTTAAAGAGTGTGCCATTGATTTAATACACAGTAGTGGATTTTGTAGGATTGAGGAAGGTAGCAGCCAGCCATGAATAACTTACGATAGATTTGATGTAAAGCTATTTACATTGATTTAATGTGTTTTAATCTTAATCCTGGCAGATCTTCAGATAATTATCAGATTTTTGAAAAATATGCAATTTTCAGAAAGTTAGAAACTATGGCAACTATTTCATTGCTTGGAACTGGACACTGTTAAAAGCTAAATAATTTTGCCTGTGGCATTTCGTTCATGCATAGTTGAGGATTCAGAGAGATTCCTCACAAATATTCTGACGGATTGAGGTGCTAAGGGAAATAATACAAATTTCTGAATTTAATTGCTGAACAAATCGTCGCAGAGCTGACAAATTGGCGAATCAACTGTTTTGGCAATTTTGAGATTTTGTCATTTTGTTTTGTTTTGAAGATTGCTCTTTCAAGTATTTATGCCAAAATTCTTCATTCTTGTCTGGATTTTGAGATTCGGAGCCCCTCCTGTGGTGAATCTGTCTGAATAACAAATCCATAATTTGACATAGTGACGAACACGGAATTTCACTGGTAACCAGCTAATGTAAGGTGTGCGTTCAAAGTACCAACGAATGATGTTCTACTGTTGTTGTCAAAAATGTCATGTGAACGGTGCTTTTTAAGACTAAATTCACTTTGCACAAAATAATATTGCACGCTACATGCAGAATGCATTTCCTTAAAAGTAAAATAAACTACATGGAGTTGTGCAATATGTTTTTATTTGATCGTAAACGTATTTGTCAGTTCAAGTTACAAAATCTCTAATAGTCGGTTGTTCTTCTCACATTTGTATGCTATTCGTCAGTTTGTTGGATCATGCGTGCACTGTATGTCAGCTTTTCCATGTATCTTGTCGCAGGTATGCAAAAGAAGATACTCGGCAAAATGTTTACTTAGCAAAAATCAGCAGGGTACCAGGCAAGTGTAATATACACCACATGATTTATTGGCTGGTAACCCATTATTGCTCAGCAAATATGTTATCTGCCATGCTTGGCAGAACAATGAACTGGCCCTAGATAATATTTATCTTTCAATGAAAATTGAATATGAATACACAAAGAAGTAATTTTAAACTCCAAATTCCTTTTATTTAAAGGTGATAACCAACGCCCTGTTGTGACCTCCTGTCCCCAAGACATCACCCAGTTTGTTCCCTTTCTGAGCACTGGTACCACAGTAACGTGGACCGAGCCAATCGTTTCAGACAACTCCGGCGCTTTTGACACCATTCAGACGCGCGCCTCGGGATCATTCTTCCCAGTTGGCGAGGAAACGGTCACCTACACGTTCCGTGACGCAGCTAACAACGAAGAAGAGTGTACATTTGTCGTGAGAGTCATTCAGCAAGGTACAGATTTTTTTTCTGTTTTTATTCCATTTGATTTGAAAAAGAATGTACTTCATCCTTTCTGTTTCGGGAAACGTCATTAACATTTGCCCAAGTGAAAAAGATTTGTGTAACATTGTACAATAAAATAGCTGACACAAGTTTGTAGGTAGTAGTTGATCTACAACGAGTAGCAGATGGAGTTAATTTTTTCAGTTAAAAATTCCCAATACATACATTCCCAATACATTGTTAGAACCATTCAAAATAATGTAAAGCAACATTTTGTTTGTTGTATTTTTTGTTTATTTGGACAACATTCAACAGCGCAAGCACCAAAAAAGATGGATAAAACACTAACTGACAGTTGATAATAATGAAAAGTAAACATGGAAATTGCTCTTTAAACACACAGTAGGAACAAAATAAAGAAATCTTTAGACAAAACAATTTAGAAGACAAATATGATGAATCAGGCTTACTCTGGGCTTGACTCTGCAATACACAGTTGCTAACTTTCAAGAGGAGAAGAGAAATGCCATAGAGCTTACTTTTAAAACTGAAGATTTGAAACTATATCACCATGTACGCCTTTCCAATTTTATCAGTTCACCAACCTCACCAGATCACCGGTATTTTGTTTTCCCCACTGTTGTGGAGTCCGCAACGTAAAACCGCACATATGCACGATTCCGTCACATGATGATCAGTCACATGATGAACAGTCACATGACAAAATGGCATGCCATCAGTTTTGAAACATGTGACTTCCTTTTGTGGATCTGATTGGTTAACATAAATATTTCGCACGGGGAAATCGGAGTGCTGCCCGCACACTGTTCTGGTGACATCGGATGATGTGAGAAATGGTACCGTATAATGAAGTCAACCGGTGAATGGTTCTATTTTACTTAGTTGTTGTGCTTCTATCTGCACTAGATTTCACTGAAATATATCTCTTTGAACTTTGAATGTTTCAGCGAGCACTTACAATGATTTGCCTTTGTTCACAGGGGATACTGACCGACCCGTTGTCAGCGTCTGCCCAGAGAACAGGGCCCTGGAGGTTCCCTTTCAAAGCACCGGAACCGCGGTATCATGGAACGAGCCCACAGTCACCGACAACTCTGGAGCCTTCACGACGACGCAGACGCACAATTCTGGAGACTTCTTTAACGTCAACATGCAGACCCAGGTTCAGTACACATTCACCGACGCTGCCGGCAACTTTGCCGTCTGTGTGTTCACCATTACAGTGACACAGCTAGGTAAGTTGCAAGTGCTTAATGATTTTCAGTCTCTGCTTTTCAACAAATCTGATTTTTTTCTGAACAATTTTACCATGTTTTTTTTTATTTAAAAAGAAACTGATTATTTTTTTCTATTGTGGGCATTTTCAGTGTTCTGAAAGAGTTTTAACAGCCCAGCAGTCAAAATAAATCAAGTGACTGTTTTTAACAGTTGAGCGCTCCCTGCCTTCATAAAGCAGGATTGACTGGCTGTGGTTGTTATGAAACCTGATGTAGGCAAGCTTTGACTGTAGGAAATTGATCAGCCAGCTGTGCCTACCAGTCACCTGCTATTGTCTGTTGATGGAAGATATGGAGCATCAACACTGAAATACGATTTGACTGTTGGTGGCTAACTTTTGTTATTCAAGAAATAACTGTTCAATGTTAATGTTTAATTTCTCCTAGGTGATTCTGTCCCCCCTACGATAACTTCCTGTCCGTCGGACCAGACCCAGTTTGTGCCGTTCCTCACCAGCGGCACCACCGTCAGTTGGTCCGAGCCGGTCGTGTCGGACAACTCGGGCAATTTTGAAACCATCCAAACTCGCGCCTCGGGATCGTTCTTCACGGTTGGCGACACTCCGGTCACTTACACATTCCGGGATGCGGCCAACCTCGAAGCCACGTGCACATTCATTGTCAGGGTCATTCAGCTTGGTAAGTGCCTTTTTGAACTGATTTATAAAATACCAAACCACGGGCCCGTTGGCCTAGAAAAGAATGTTTGGGGAGTGAGAATAAAAACCGTGAGATTAATCTACTCTTCCTCAAACATGATTTCTATTGGAAATACAAGAATTATACACCATGAATGCTAGCATTGACTTTTCCTTTGCCTCTCCAAAACGCACACCAATTTTATCAGTTTTACATCAGCTGCATTGGTTGCCAGCTAAATCTTGGATAACTTTCAAATTATTGGTTCTGATTTACAAATGCATACATGGATTAGCCCCACTTAACCTCCAAGAATTAATCACCAAATACCATCTTCCAAGAACTCTCCACTCTAGTTCCACAGATCTTCTCAATCCATATCCAGTTATCACCAAATCATACGGTCAACGTGCCTTCCATTTCCCAATAACTGCATAGACCCAGAAATTAAAGCTTTTAAAAATGAGAACGAAGAATTTTCTTGAGTTTTTTTTTTTTATGAAATAATTTGAAGTGAGGCAAATTTATATTGACTAAAAAATAGAAAAAGAGATGGATTTTACCCTTTCTCTCTTTGGTTTTTGTTGTCCAGAAGATGAGGAGAGTACGATAGTTTTACTGGTTCTATTTCAAGAAAATCTGAAAAAAAAATCCTTCCCAAGTCTCCGTTACTCATTTTCAAAATTTTTGTTTTTGTTTGTTCAATAAGGTGATAATGAATCGCCAATGACGGTGGTTTGTCCGGAGAGCATGTCAATCACTGTGCCATTCCAGAGCGCTGGAAACGTTGTGACTTGGATCGAGCCCACAGTCACCGACAACTCTGGAGCCTTCACGACAGAACAGACGCATAATTCTGGTGACTTCTTTAACGCCAACACACAGACCCAGGTTCAGTACACATTCAGGGATGCTGCTGGCAATGAGGCCTTCTGTATATTCACTGTGACTGTTATTGAACAAGGTAATTGTTTTGTTTTTTTAAACTAGGACATTTTATCAGACAGCATCAAATGGATAATGTAGTCAGATGCTGTAATGTTGTTAGATTCTGTTTGCTCCTGTTGGATTCTGTTTGGTTTTGTGGGATTCTGTTTGGTTCTGTGGGATTCTGTTTGGTCCTGTTTGGTTTTGTTGGGTTCTGTTGGGTTTTGTTGGGTTCTATTGGATTATGAAGGTTTTCGGCGGAAAATGGCTAAGAAGATTTTGTTCTTTGCTTTTCCTGTTTTCAACATTTGCCAGAAAATCAAAGTTTACCTTTTTACACTCTAGTCCCTACATCTGGGTGAACATAAAAACTAAGCTCTCTAGTGGTACTGCCTGTGGAAACATTAACAGGGAAGGCTGGTACGCTGCAGTTGGCGTGGTATCCGGTTCTTTAGAAAAAACGTCATGCACGCTCGCGCACCGCTGATAACTAGCGCCCATTGGATAAACGCTCGAGTTGCGTTAACTTCTGGTTCCTTTCGTGCTATGCTACACTGTGTGAAGTACGTATGGTTGAATTCAGATGACGTCACACTAACGAACCGGATAGGCAGGGAGGGGTTGCAACATTAACCAAATAGGAAAGCCTACAAAAGGGTGCCCCCTATCGATAACTGCAGTTTCCTTCCCCCAACGGCCAGCCAGCACCGCATATTTAAAATATCAACTGCTTCCACGCAAGAAGTGTTTAAAATGCACGGCTGCAAATTAACAAAATATGGTTTCCCCGCAGGTGATAATATTCCACCCGTTGTGGCCGTCTGTCCTAATGACATAACCGAGTTTGTTCCCTTCCTGAGCACCGGCACCACGGTAACGTGGACCGAGCCAACTGTTACCGACAACTCCGGCGCTTTTGACACCATTCAGACGCGCGCCTCGGGATCATTCTTCGTAGTTGGCGAGGAAACAGTCACCTACACGTTCCGTGACGCAGCTAACAACGAAAATGAGTGTATGTTTGTCGTGAGAGTCATTCAGATAGGTATGTAGACTTTTTTTCCCACTTCTTTTAAGGTTTTTTTATTCATATGTTGATCTTGTCACAGTTTTCTCTATTTTTGTTCTGGTAAATTAAAAATAATGTAACAAGCAGCATTTTCAAATACTGAGACGGCACAAGTAAATCTGATAAATGTAATCACTTGCCCTTTTAAAAAAAAAGACAGAAGTCACATCAAGAAATTTAAATATCAAATAATTAAGAGTTCAACCAAATGTTAAGTTCTAATAAAGCCAGTCTCAGGTTGTCCTGCGAGTTGCTTGCATTGTGATGGAATTAGCCCTGGTCAAGGCATCTAGCTACAATTAAAACATCAACACTAGCCGCACGTTATGCGCTAGCCCCATGAACAGCGACCTCACGCGGCTACAATATGCATATGTTGTAGAACGAATGTTCCTTCTTCGCCAACTGATTTGCATATTGTAGCCACATGAGATTGCTTTTTGCGCTTCGCACAGTGCATAGCGAAGGGCTAGATATCTTATGAACACTATCGACAATCGCCTTTATCGAGGCTAGATCCGTCGCGGCACAAGCATAAAAGTCAACCTGAGAGCAGCTTTAAACAAACAAATACTAGGCATACTAGAGCAAACATCTATAGCAAAAGAATGGAAAATTATAACAAATTAAAAACAAAAATGGAAAATCCATTTGTTACTACTGGAATTGTAATTTTTTTTTAGTTTTTGAAGATCAACACTTGCAACAAATTTTTCACACAAAATCAAGACGCTTTTACATTACAAGCGATTGTTTATTATTAGTTATCTTGCGAGCGCGAGTGGAACACGGAATAATGTAGTGCGTCTGTGTCCCACATACCACGAGGCCGAAGGCCGAGTCGTATGTGGGACACAGACGCACTTCATTTTCCGTGTTCCACGAGCGCAAGCGTGATAACAAATTTATCTTCAAGCAAACTTGACGCACAATAAAGATGAAACGCATGCTGTACACAAACTTCAGCGCTTATCCTATACACGTGCGTGTTTGTACGGAATGGTGCGCGCATCTTGGAATAGTGCAACACGCGGAGTGCGGTATGGACCGTGGCTGTGCTACATGGTTATATATAGCTTGTTGCCATGGCTTGTTGCCATGGATCGACCAATCAGGATCGAGGATTCAAGTTTACTTCTCACTTTTCATTATTTGCTGTCACTGTTTAGGAGACTCAATCCCCCCTGAAGTCACCAGTTGTCCAGACAGCATGGCCGTGAGCGTTCCCTTCCAGAGCACCGGTACTGCCATCACCTGGACCGAGCCAATCGCGGTTGACAACTCCGGAGCCTTCACGACAACCCAGACGCACAATTCTGGAGACTTCTTTGGCGCCAACACTCAGACTGAGGTTCGCTACACGTTCAGGGATGCGGCCGGGAACGAGAATTTCTGTGTGTTCACTGTGACTGTGACGGAGCTAGGTGGGTCCTATATTTTCTACCCTCGAAACGAATAAAAATGGAATTCATTTTTCGAAAAGAATTGCTTAATCCATCATTATGACTGAACTGCAGAATTGTTAACCACCCGGAAAGATAAGTCGATGTATTATTTCTTTCAATTTGTTTCAGTAATTTTTGAGAATTTTGTTTACATGCATTTAGTTGGATTTAACCCAAACGTAACTTCGAAGTTATCATAAAAAAATCTTGCATGAAAGGTCGTACTGGTACTAAACACCCCGTGAAATTTTTCTGTCTGGCTTGCTTTTGTTTTGAAGAAATCAAGAAGTGTAGGTGATGTCAACAATCAGTCAATTGATTGATTTTTGGAATATATAGTGCTATTGACAAAATTGTGTTTTGTGATCAAAAGGTTGTGCATGTTTTGGGTTTTTTTTTTTTTTAAAGTGTAATATCCACTGAGCTGAAACTTCAACAGATTTGGTTTTGAACATTCTTCTTGGATATCGAGTGGTGTTATTATTGGCAATGAGCAAAATGTATGAAAAGCAAATGATACTTGATGACTTTGAAAATGTTTTAAAAAAATCTTATGCATCGACATGTCAAATATTACAATTTTTATATCATTTTTGTAACTCTTATCTTTCTAGAAATAAGCCACATTTGTTTTCTGCAGTATTTTGTTGGAAAGAGCCCAGTAGTCGATACTGTGTTGGGCTTTGCCATTACTTTCTCAGATTAATTACAACAAATCTGTTACAGTTCTTTAGCAAAGTGTTGGATTTTAAAGTATTTATGAAATACTTGTGTAGTTAGGGCTAATGATCGAGAATTAATACATCTTTGAATATTACTTTCCGTTGTTCATAACGTATTTCGATAATTTGATGATTGTTCTGAATCCGCAGGGGACACAACCCGTCCTGTTGTGACCCAATGCCCAACGGACATCACCGAATTTGTTCCCTTCCTGACGAGTGGCACGGTCGTCACTTGGAACGAGCCTATTGTCTCCGACAACTCCGGTAATGTTGGTACGACCCAGAACCGCGCCTCCGGTTCCTTTTTTGCAACCGGAATCGAAACCGTGGTGATGTACACGTTCACTGACGCAGCTGGAAACGAGGCTATCTGTTCATTTATCGTCAGGGTGATTGAACTTGGTGAGTGTGATCCTTAGGCCTGTTCTAGAATTAATTTGCCTTTTTTTTTAAAAATTCGGCACGACGATGTGCTGTCGTCATTCCGAATGGCAGTGGCACGGCACTGCTCTAAACATCATGCCAGTGCTGTGCCAAACTTGATTCAATTCGGAGTTGGGGCAAACAATTTAGTAATGCACATGCTCACAATTCACTCTCTCGGTCCGCATCGCGGGGAGTGAAATTGGTGCGGCTATTTTGATCATGCTGAAAGTTCATAGAAGTTCATAAGTGTGATGTTTTTGTTTTTGTTTTTTTTTAGCCTTTGAGAAAGACTCTGCTAGGGTCGAAACGTCGGGCCACTTACTATTTTTTTGCATTTATACCATATGGTCCTTTTGGTTGGTAAGCAGCTTGCAACAGCTAATTCTATTTTTCAGAAGTTCATAAGAACGGCTTTAACCTGACCCATTACTCAAGATGCATTATGCATTTGACAACTACCGTGCTGCAGACGAGCTATTGCCTCACTCATTTTCATGAAGTTTTGCGTGGCAGTAGCACGGCGTTTAGAACGTGCCTTACAGTTTTTAAATACGTGACAAGTGCAAGATCGGCACACGTTTTTGTCTAAACCCTGACTTTACCAAGTCCATTAAAACCCACCCGCATCAGTGGTGGATTTCAATGGATTTGGTCCTTAAGCATTATGTGAATCAGAGTGAGTGATAGTTTTTGAAGGACATGGTCTTCGAACCAGCCAACCAATCCCGTATAAGTTCGGTGGTCGAGTGGTAAGACATCTGCACTAGAAAGCAGGAGGTCGTGGGTTTGAGTCCCCACCAGAGTGATTTTTTTCCAACTTTCACCCAGGAGGTAACACACTGAGTAAACAGTGTTTATACTCGGTGAAGGGCAAAACCTAATAGGGACATGGTCTTCTACTTAGTAAAATTAAGTAGGGAGATTAAAGAAGAAAACGAGTTTTCGCATTTTCAACCTGATCCTCCGAAACCCGGACAGAGTTGCAGAAGTTTTTTTTCACTTAAAGGGCATGTGAAATTGTTTTGGGGTGGAACTGACCGTTTTGAAGTTTTGGATTTTTTTTAGCACATTCATGTTAGCTAACAGGAAAGATTTTCTTCGTTTTCTTTTAGGTGATAATGTGGATCCAGTGGTCGTCTCTTGCCCACCGGCCATTTCCATCAATGTGCCCTTCCAGACCCCAGGAGCCACTGCAACTTGGGAAGAGCCGGTTGTCACCGACAACTCCGGCGCCTTCACGCCCACCCAGACGCACACCTCTGGAGACTTCTTTAACGCCAACTCGCAGACCCAAGTGACCTATTCCTTCACCGACGCAGCTGGCAACCAGGCCTTGTGCATGTTCACTGTGACTGTGACAGAACTAGGTTTGTAATACTGTTAAGTTATTTATATTGAGCAATATAAATACTGTGATACTCTACAAGTCTGCAAACTAGACACACTTGAGCATAGACGAGAACAATTGAGCATTGCATTTGCGAAATCTCTCAAGAACTCAAAACTTGAGAGTCTAGGTCCGCAAACAAGGTCAACATCTGGCTACAATCTGAGGAACTCAACAAAATTAACTGAACTCAAGTGCAATACCTCTAGATTTAAGAACAGTCCTGTGCCACATCTGATCAATCTTTTGAACACAACTCAATAGATATCTATTTATTTTGTCAATGACCATTTTGCAGCACTGCAAAGCAATGAAATTCATTGTACTAAAGTGTTTAGTCCTACTCTTCCAGTATTTTCATTTTTTTTTAATTTTTTGATATCTCTTTTTACTAATAACCTTTTTTTTAACTGAACGTATAACTACATATATTCATAATTGTATTGTTGGCTCGCTCTTCTTAATTTTTTTGGTGTCTAACGCTGTGTGCTAATTGTTGGTCGTTTTATACTAAGACTATTCTACTTTTTATGTAAATTGAACAAATGTATTGTTTTTCCCTAATTCAGCCTTTGGCTGCGATGGAAAATGTTTTTTAATAAACCATGAATAATAATATATGCATTTCACAACCGGTACAAAGTTTGCAGCACAGTAAAATAGCCCCTAGTCTGTCAAAGTTGGTTTATGAAAAAGACAAAAGAGATATGTGTAATTCATCATGCATTTGAAGCAAGATGCGTGGCGGATGGAAGCACCTTATAAGGGTTTACAAGGTGCTGCGGCGCATTAAGCAGCCACTGCCAGAAACACCGGGCAAACCCCTTCTCTTAGCGATAAGTGTGACTGGGTTCTTTTACGTGCGTTACACAATGCAGAGGACCTACAGCTTTACGTCCCATCCAAAGGACGAAGCAATAAAGTGTCTTGCTTAAGGACACGAGTGTCAAGACCGAGACTCGAACCCACACTCTCCTGATCTGAAACACCACGGAGATCAAGTCTGGTGCTCTTAACCGCTCGGCCATGACACTCCGCACCGCTCTGCTTCCTGTGCAACATTTCCAAGCTCCTTGTTTACATGGGTGAACCGTGATGATCTTATGATTTTTGTTTAAAGGGTGTATCTTTTATCCTTTATTTACTGCAGCTGACGACGTGCCACCTGAGGTCAGATGCCCACCCAGCATCAACGAAATTGTTCAGTTTGGCGCCGGTGGAGCCGTCATCACCTGGGCGCTCCCGACGGTCACGGACAACTCGGGGGCCTTCAGTCTAGTCGAGACTACCAACAATCCCAACACCTTCCTGCCGACTGGGCAGACCACTGTAACCTACCGATACAGGGACGCCGCCGGAAACGAGAACACTTGCAGTTTCCTCGTCAATATTGTGGAAGGTACATGGACATAATTTATTGATTTATTTATTGATTTATTTTATTTGTTTAGTTAACAGCGAATAACCTCCCAATTACAGGCCTTGTAAAAAGACTGAATAAAAAATATATATCGAATGATAATAATGATGATGAAACATTTTACAATAAGAATAAAAACCTACAAAACAAAATCTATATACAATATTGCAAACACTTCAAGAAGTACAAATTTAAAAAACATTCACACGTTTTTAATTTTTTTAATTTTTATAAATTAAATATGGCTTTGAATGGCTCACAGATTAGATTGACCTGAAATAAGCAAAACGTAAAAGTTAGACCTGATGTTTCGATTCTGACAAGATCATTGCTCTTTTTGGGGTAATACTGACTATTATAAAGGGCTTATTTTGAGTCAATGTTTTTACATCCTTTCACCGAGTCTTATATAAACTTTTGAATTGAAATCGAGATCCTAGAATAGTGGTTTTTTTTTAGGAATATACAACATTCATAGAGCTAAAACTTCATTAGGTTAGTTGTGAAGCACACATCCTTAGATTTTGAGCACTTTCATTGCTTCAAACGAAAAAAAAAATGCACAAATGACAAATGATGTACCATGCCTTTAATACTACTGCCTTAATTTGAGCAAAGTTTGTTTTCAAGTTTTGCTCCGAAGTCATAGCTTGGTCAAATTAGGCCACAAGCATTGAGGAACGTCAACAAACCAAATGTGACAAGGCCCATGGCCAAACCCAATATGGGCAATCTTTACAAGTATTTTTTTGTCTTGATCACAGTCGACACCATCCCCCCAGTCCTTCAGACCTGCCCGAGCAACATCGTCGATCAGGTCCAATTTGGGTTCAGCGGCAAGACCGTGACGTGGAACGAGCCCACCGCCGTCGACAACACGGGACAGCAGGTCATCATCTCCCAGAGAAACTTCCAGCCTGGGGATTTTTTCCCCGTCGGCGAAACGACCGTCATGTACACTCTGATGGACCCGTCTGGAAACGAAGTGAGGTGCCTGTTCACTGTCACAATTATTGCCGGTAAGGAGGTTATGTTTTTGTCTCTAGTTTCTAGATTGCGAGCCTGACTCATGATACTTTTGAAAGGACTTGTGATTTGCTTGTGATCGGACTTGCGATGCACTTGTGATCCATCGTAATAAGTCATAAGTCTGGTCACAAGTTTATCACAAGATAGTTTACAAGCCCAATCACAAGTACAAGGGGATAAACAACACCAAAGGAATGCTGTTGTTACGGTTCAGTTGAACTGCTTATGATTTGGTGTTGTACTGGGTTACTTGTGATGGACTTGTGATGAACTTGTGATAGCTTGTGATGGACTTGTGATGGACTTGTGATGGACTTGTGATGGACTTGTGAACAGCTTGTGACAGCTTGTGATTACTTGTGATTACTTGTGATTACTTGTGATTACCTGTGATTACCTGTGATTACATGTGATGGACTTGTGATGGACTTGTGATGGACTTGTGATGAACTTGTGATGAACTTGTGATGAACTTGTGATGAACTTGTGATGAACTTGTATGAACTTGTGACAACTTGTGACAACTTGTGACAACTTGTGACAACTTGTGATAACTTGTGATAACTTGCAGTCTTTCACAAGTACCCGGACAACACCACTGCAGATGTATTACCCGGTACCCACGCATAATAGCCAATCTTTACATTATGGTTACCAGTGCACTTTCAAACGATTGGTGAATTACACTAGTTTCATATAAAGCACAATGTGGCCAAAGAAGTATGATGTACGTTTTCTTTTCTCCAAGCACCAAGCAACAAATCAATTGGGAATTTGTGAGCTCCAATCCATGTCGTTGTGTCTAAGTAATATCACATGATTTCTCGTTAATACATGCTTTCATTTCTGAGCAATTTTCACTTCTTAAAAATTCCTCTTTTCTTTTTTCTCGGCAGTGGATACCGTTGATCCTGTGGTCGTGAACTGCCCTGCAGGCATCACCCGAACCATCCTGACGGGAACCGGGCCGATTGCCGTCCAGTTTACCGAGCCGGTAGCGACGGACAACACAGGCGTTGTCAACTTGGTCTTTAACTCCCACAACTCCGGGGATCTCTTTTCAGCTGGCGAAACCGGAGTCACTTTCCGTTTCGAGGACGAGGCCGGCAACTTCGCCAATTGCATATTCACGGTCATCGTCAATGAAGGTACATCATTCAATAGAAAGAAAGATAACCATATACAAATTAAAAAATACATTTGTGGGCAGTTAATAACAATAATATGTTGGGACTTAAATAGAGCCCATCCGTAAAATGAAACATGCTCCAAGGCACTTAAAATATTTTTCAAAAGTTAAGTTCAAAAAAACCTTGATTATTAAAAATAGACATAAAAATCAACATTAGTATTATAAAGATTTAAACATCAGAAATACTGCTGTACAAAATATTGTATATACAAAATATAACACAAAATTAATATTATACAATAATATCAAACACAAATTATCACAAAACACATTAATATCTGAAAGCACAAAATCTACAAATAAAAACAGCACATCTAATATTCAACAATTTTGACATCTTCAGGCCATTAACATGCGCGTAATAGTTTTCCAATTTTAATTTCCTCCATTTTCAACATTCTATAAAAACTAACATTGAACTAAAAAATTGGAGAATTGTTATTCATTTTATAGAATCTGGTTTACACATATTTATGGATTTTAATTTTTTGTGTTCAATTTCAGCCAATCCCTGTCTGTCCCAGCCCTGTTTGAATGGTGGAGCATGTATCGCAGAAACACTGACGTCCTACCGTTGCTTGTGTACCGAATGTTTCTCCGGCGATCGTTGCGAACAATGTGAGTATTTTTCTTAAGGAGAGCGAAATATGTTGCAAGCGAACCAACACATGAAAGTGTGCTGTTGGTCGTTTGAGTTAAGTTCTTGAAAATGGCAGTTTTATGGTTTATTAAATGTCATGAGCTTTTTTATACTCGATGCTGTTTGGAGAGTTTGCTGGGCCATAGCAGTCGAACGCGAGGAAAAAAGCCGCTGTGCCGACCTTATTCGCTTTTAAATATATTTAGAAGTGGAAGGAAAACCCCAGAATATTCTGGGGAACAGGGCATGGAATCAGGTAGAGACTGAAAACTCAATCCACATGTGGACCAAGGTAGGAGTCGAACGCGAGGAAAAAAGCCGCTGTGCCGACCTGATTCGCTTTTCAATAAATTTAGAGGTGGGAGGAAAACCCCAAAGAACATTCTGGGGGGGGGGGGGGAAACCACATGGAATTGGGTAGGGTCTAAAAACTCAATCCACATGTTGACTAGGGTAGGAGCCGAACCTAGGCCATAGAAGTGGAAGGCGAGGAAAGAAGACACTATGCCAACCTGCTTCGCTTTTCAATATATTTATTGCTATGTATATTTTACTTGCGCCAAACCACTTTTTTTTTTAATCACCGAATTTATTTGTATATTTTCTTGGTTGAATCATCAGCTGTGAATGCCTGTGATGGCAACACTTGCCAGAATGGTGCGGTCTGTGGGGCACTGTCGGGCTCCTGTACTCAGTATGACTGCCTGTGCTCGACCTGCTTCACTGGACAATTCTGCGAACGCAGTAAGTTCAAGTATTTTTTTCTTTTAAAAAACATTATATTTTGGCAGGAATGGAAATGTGCACTTCGAATTGATCAAGTCATTTGTTTTCAATTTTAGAGAAAGGATTAATAAAAAATGTTGTACATCCAAGATTGAAAAAAGTTTCTTAAAAATCATATTTGTCCATAGATTAGCCATGATTGACCAATATTGAGTTCATGTGTAAGGAGTAACGTAGTGCCACAAAACTGTACTCTAATATTTTATGCACGTTTCATGTCTACAAAAGCAAAATGGAAGGGAGAATATTTGGAAATTGTAAATACAAAGAGCAGTTTATAAAAATTTTGACTTATTCTATCTTCAAGATTCAGTAAAACAACCAATCTGCCCCGTTCACAAGTACCCCCTCACCGGCAAAGAAAGCACAGTTGGGGGGGGGACCGACCAACGCCATCTTGCCTGACTGCAATTTTGCCGCGACGCGCGGCCGTAGCATGTACCACTGCGTGTACATAACACAATTCCCCTGGTGTACGTGCGTCACACACAAGGAACGGTGCGCGTCAACCAGCTAAATGTCCCGCCCATGGGACGTCGTTGCTAGGTAAAAGGGCGCCCTCTTTGTTGGCGCACGGAGCCCATAAGCAACAAAAACAACAAATCATAATTTTTAACGCAATAGCTATCTTGATAAGTTGATCTTTTACTTTCAACAGGGCAATGCATTTTGTGTTCAATTGTCTTCTATTCTTTGAACAGATGTGGACAGCTGTGAGAACAACCAATGTGCCAATGGCGCGGTCTGCGTGAGCAGCGATAACTGCGTTGAGTATACCTGCCAGTGCCCGCCGTGCTTTGCTGGACGTTTCTGCGACATCCGTAAGTTAGAAGGAAACGCCCTCTCCTCATTGTCAAATCAGCCTCTCACACTTGGCAAAATGCAAACGTGTGACAACACGTAAAGTTCTCACAGTGCAAATTCACAAAAGTGAAACGCGTATCAATTCTGGGAAATATATTGCTGTGAAAGTTTTGTGACATTAAATTCGATTCATATTTGCACGAAGTATGAACTGGTTGAAATATTTTTTTTCAACTGGGCCACAGACTTTAATAGTTTGAGGCATTATGTTATTTGCCGTTTAGTTTATTCTGAAGAAAAAAAAACTTCCCCTTTTTTATGTTTGTTTGTTGACATCTGATCTTAAAGAGATGTTGTTGAAATTCCATTTCAGATTTTAACTCAATTCAGTTCAATTCAATTCAGTAAACATTTATTTCCCCTCTGTGGAAGCATCATCCTAAAAAGCCGATGCTTGTGGTGGATGTACAATGCAAGACAAAACAAGACAAACAACACTAATTATAGAATTTAGAAATAATAACAATAGTCTAATATGTAACATTAAACAAAGTAGACACGACAATAAGCAACACATCAATAGCGGCTAAATCAACTTAATGATGAATAAGGTGTTCTGAGAATTAAGTAGGAATGTTTTTAGTTTATATTTGAATGTATTACTTGAAGGGCAATTAGTTATAGACGGTGAAAGAAAGTTCCAGTTTTTCGTCCAGAGAAAGAAATGGTATGTTGAGAAAGAGTTGTTCTGACTTGAGGTATATGTAATTTGGATGAGGACCTAGTATTATAATCATGAATGGATCTATTGAATTGAAAGAGGTTGTGTAACGATTCACGTAGTTGGTTGTTTACAAATTTATACGTTAAAACACTTTCAGTTCTCAATAATTGTCCATTCTCTTTGTTAAATTGTTCCGTCTTGTCGGTTTATAATTGTGAAAAATCTCATAAAGATTCTCACTTTATTCTCCAACAGCAATTTCTGCGTGTGCCACTCACAACTGCGGGAACGGAGGAGTCTGCGTCCCAGCCTCCAATCCTAACAACATCTACGCCTGCTCTGAGTACACGTGTTCCTGCACCGGCTGCTTTAGCGGTGAAAGATGCGAAGTCCGTAAGTAGTGCTTTCAAAGGAAAGAATGTTGCAACCTGATGCCACTTTTTCCTTCATATATAATCTCAATTAAGGTCAGTCATTGCAAAAAAGTTAATAAGACATGAATTTGGGCCTGAGAAACAGTTCCAGTTTTGTTGGGAAATACTTTAAAAAAAATTCTTGACTCTCCATAGACTTTGTACACAACCGCCGAAGTGGCGTCTGGATACTACTTTCTTTCCTTTTCATACTGGCGAAGACATATAAAGACATTCATCAACTTTTGACTAAAATAAAAGGGGGGGGGCACGGGAGCATGATCCAACGCCCCCGCCTTTCAAAAAGTGGGGGATATTTCCTCTCCCACCCCCCCCCCATGCTCTGACCATTTTTCAGTTTTGAAATCATTTTACCGGAGGGCACAACATTTATCCTGTACTATCTTACTTTGTCAAATTACATGAACCAATTTGTTTCTGATGTCATTTTTTCAGAGCGTGACGCTTGCAATCCCAACCCTTGTCTCAATGGTGCTGATTGCTCTGTCCTGTCCGACAATTGCTACTCCTACACTTGCCAGTGCAACGGCTGCTTTAGTGGCTACAACTGTGAAATCCGTAAGTCCAATTTCACTTTTTATCCATGCCGTAATTTTCCTGAAACCAAATAAAAATTGAAGAGTTGTTAAATGCACATATTTTCTTTACTTAGTAGGTAAACACTGGGTTACTAGCCAAACCGCCATATGATATGCATTGCTTTAATTGGTTCTCATTGCATTTTTCCGTAAAATGTACAATTTCAAAGTAAAAAATTGGTTACCAGCTAACAAATCTGTTAATTTTGTTTGTCTGGTTTTGCAGATAATTTGTTCGTATCTAGTAGTAACTTTGCTAGCTTAGTTGTTCCTTTATATTGAAGCCATTTAGAAAATTATCATGTCCCTTGTCAACCCTTATAAGGTGCTACATAATGGGTCTCATATTTCTCATATACTTTATTTTCCTTTCTTTAATAATAGACATAATTTCCAGCGCCTTGAGTACCTAATTGTTGGTAGATACGTGCGCTATATAAGACTCCGTTATTATTATTATTATTATTATCATATTTATTCATGTTCCATATACCATCTTCTTTTTATTAATAGAATGATATAATTAAACACCAGTGCTCAAGTTTTGTTTCAATATTTTTCTATCTGCAGCGATCAGCTCACCGTGTGAGCAGAACCCTTGTCAGAATGGTGGAGTCTGCAGCGTCATTCAGGGCACGTGCTCGTCGTACGCCTGCTCATGCCCCAACACTCACATTGGTGTCAACTGCGAAATCCGTAATTATTTCTCTATCATCGTATACAAATGTTTTTGTTTGTGATATAATTACAGTAAAAGGGAAACGGACTATTCCTGAATATTTGCCATAAGCCCCGCCCCCATTTGGTTGGGTACAGTTCTCACAGTGCTTGTTACCAAGAGTGATCGTGCTCCCGTGGTCACCTGACCACAAGTCGTGATGTAATTGGTCAGTGAGCACAATTTGATTGACAGACAGACAGGGTTTCTTAAAAGTTCCAGACTTATAGATTTTTTTGTGGAAAACTTTGAGAATCATCTTTAGAGAAACCTGCAGAGAACTAAAAAGTTTAGCCTACTGACAGTTACTCAATTTAACAATTCCCTCCCCCTTTTTTCCAAATAAATGACAAAAGGAACTTTCAGATAAACCATTAATGAACCACAAAGGGAAACTTGGGATAAATATAGCCCTGGATAGCTCGGTTGGTAAAGCACTGGAACGGCAATCCAGAGGTCAAAGGTTCAAACCCCACTCCAGCCACTTTCTTTCTTCAATTTTACAAACAAAAGTATTCTCCATGTTATAATTTTGTCTAAATTTCCCCTTTTTTTTTAGCTGTGATTGTTAATCCCAACCCTTGTAACAGCTTCCCATGTCTGAACGGCGCTAGCTGTCTCACAATGGATTCAACCAACTACATTTGCCTCTGCGCTCCTAGCTACGTCGGTCAGAACTGCCAGTCTACGAGAGGTGAGATACAGGATAATTCAGCCGTCTTTAAACACACAGGCTTTCTGGCAAATTCAATCAAAATTCAAGTTTGTTTGAGGTCCATAAGTTGACTATAGGCCATCAGCCTGGGGGTTTAGTCAGTATCAAATCAGGGCATAAATGATTATAGTGTGCATGCGCAAGGTATACCGCCCCTAGAGTGGTAACAAGCATTTTGATGGACATTTTGTAAAAAAAGGGTGATAACACCCAAAAAGCTGCCACCGCTGCAATGCTGTCACATATTTTCCAACTCTGGAGGCGTAAACCTTGCCAAAAATCGCTATGATGATTATTCCCCTCATTGGATACCGGTGACCAAAATTTTGGACCGAGGTTGATGGCCTACTAGGGGAAAATTTGTGATGTAATTCGTGCCCTTGCACAAAAAGCATTGTTCGAATGTCTCCAGTCAGCAAATAGTCAAATGTCATCATGAAATTTCTAAATCCTGGTTCCCTGCTGTGCATTATGATGTGCATAGCTATTGGTAACCAGTGATGTGACAGACTTCGGTAGGCTAGTTCTAGAGTAATTTTTAATGATACTTGAACGAAAACTTGCACAGTTCGAAGATGAAAATGTAACACTTTGGACACTATGAGCTCCGAGCACAAGTACCCCCTCAACGGTGACAAAGGGAGAGTTGGGGGAGACCACTGGGAGAGGCATTCCAATGCACTGCCGACGTTGCCGGAAACTCACACAAAGATGCTGCGGCTTGGAGCACATTCAGAGTAAAATTAGTCGTGCGTATTTCGCGCTGTACGTGTACGAACGAGTACGCACACTCGGTGTGTTCCATCCACAGGGCTCTCGAAAGTGGTAAAAGCGCCCTCTGTTGTTCATAGAGTGGCCCGTAGAGCATGAGAAATTTTACACATACATGTATTCCTTTGACCTTTAGTAATAACGATTACATGATTCTAGCTTGGCTATTTCAACTGTCCAATTCCTTTATGAAGTCCATTCACTTGTTCAGGATGCAAGAGTACAAAGTTTAGCCCTAAACTCCCTAGCGCCTTTTACTAGGAATTGGACCAAGTCCATCAATATCCATCAATCACTGCGTCCAATACAAAACTGTACATGACATAATGGAATCCATCACTGATGCACTGGATGACATTCATGGACTTGCTACACATGGCTTTTATCACAATAGCAGAACAGGAAGCTAGGCAAAATCAATCGGATACCCCAAGCACTGCTTCAGGCTATTAGGCCCAAGTCCATCATACTCCATCAATACTTAGTCACGCCAGGCCTTCTGGACCAAGTCCCCCAAAATGGGGGGGGGGGGATTTTGATGGAGTTGGGGTGGTAAGGGTTGAGAAATTTTTTCGTGGTCCCCCAGCAAAATTTTGTTTACCACTGGTCAGCATGCCAATAAACTCTGTAACACGCAACTCTGGTAACTCATTCATCTGGTGCTTATTTGTATTGCAGTCGGTGTGCCATCCTTGGATAGGTGCACTGATAACCCCTGTCAGAACGGTGCTACCTGTTACAACAGTTACAACAGCAACTCGGCAAACATCCTGGTCTCGCAGTACAGCTGCAAGTGTGCTAACGGCTTCACCGGAGCCAACTGTGCCATCACCACCGGTAAGAAATCAAAAACTGGGAAACGTTCGGGCTGTAATGGCCCTATAAAATGCTTATTTCGTTCATCCCAACTCCCTAGGCCCTTTTGGCTAGGGACCACCCTCGATCCTCCATTTGCCACCATGTACAAATTTGATTCAGCCTCAATCCTCCCAATTTCTTGAATTTGTTGATGACATTCAGAAGCAGTTCGGATGATTTTGAGCATAACGTACATAAAAACGCTGGTTACAGCCAACAAACGCGACACAATTCACCCTCCAGAATCAACCGACACTTTTTGGCGTCAATCCTCCAAAATCCTCAAAAACTGCCTGAAGGATTTCGGAGGATTGGGGAGGGTTAGGATTAAAAACCACACCAGGATGCTTTGGTTAATGAAGATAATGAAAAAAGCCATTTTTACTTGGGCTTTACGCTCATTGAAATTTTAATGCCAAATTGGTTTCTGTTCATTTTAATATGCATTTTCCATTTTTTAATATTGTTTATTTTTGAAAACCATATTTTCTGTTCAAGCCTTTGCATTTTACTTAGGACTGTAAACCTGTGTTTGTGATGAAGAATTTGACTTTTTTTTTTTAAAGCAAAAAAAGTCATGATTTTTGCTACAACAGCATATGCAGAAGATTGGTTATTAACATTGGTTTGCTTCTTACAAAATATAGAGCAGGATGTCGTGGGTCCCAGTCCCATCCTTGAAGCGATTTTATCCAACCTTCAAACGGGAGGTAACACACTGAGTATACAGTGTTTATACGTCGGTGAAGGGCAAAACCTAATTACCAATTTACATCACTTTGGCACAACATTCCATTTTTCTTTATTTTTGTTCTAATCCAAATCCCATGTACTTTGTACATATTTTATTGACTGTAGCACTTTTGACCTATTAACAAACTTGTAAAGTCGTATTTCTAATGAAACTTACCCTATGTAAAGACCCCATAGTGAGTTTGTATACCGAAGAGTGACATCATGATGACATCATCATGGGTCAGGTGATGTCTTCTTTAATGTGCAAACTTTAAGACCCTATATCTAGAGAATTGTAAGTCTGATTGGGTTAAGACTTGGTATGTAGGTACACCGGGATGTGTTATAGGTAAAAATGCGGGTGACGTTGTAACCTGGAAAACTGACATACTATGGCCTTAAGCCAAAAGAAAAAAGAAACTAAAAGCAAAGAATAAAACCTAAAAAAGGAAGTTGGAGACACTAATCCCCTAACTCTAGGATTTGACCAGTAATAAACAAGTCCAGTGGCACAAGAAAAAGTACACAGGCCATGTGAATCAGGATAGGTACAAAGAAAATTCAATAAAAAAAAGCAAAGCACATGGTCAAAAATTTAAGAAAACCTCTAATACTAAGAAAATGTACAACCCAATGAACTCTCAACCAGTAAATAAGGCCAAATCCCTGTTGACAACGCAAAGGATTAAAATTTTAAAAAACTGAAGAGGAACTAAGAAGTTTTTCTTCAAAAAATAAATCAAAACCAAACCTTCACCATCATCAAATGAAGTAAGGTAAAAAATTAAGGACCACATCTAAACTTCAAAACTGGAAGTTCTCAAGATCTAGACTGACCAGAGTCAACTTTTACTATGTGAACTAAACAAACTTTCAAGGCACTAAAGATTATTTACTGAAAACAATTATACAGAATAAGGCGAAATAAAAAAAGTCATGTTGAGCGTCCTGCCTTTTTGAAAAAAAGGAAGTGGGAGGCCCTTTTTTCCCCCTCCAAAATGGCCACGCGACTGGGCTTTTTCCAGTTTTTCTTTTTTTCTAAATGGGCGCCATTGGACTCAGGAAATGACAATAGAGCTTTATATGGGCTAGATGCAACAGATGAAGAGGCCATAAAGATGTCACTGTTGAAAATTATCGGTTTTTTTTCGGTTAAAAAAAAAGAAGAAAAAAGAGGCGGCCTCCAAAAAGGAAGCGGGCGGGGATGCTGAACATGTCTTTTTTTATTTCGCCTAAATGAAAAGAGGAAAATATTTTACAAAGGTAAACTCACCACTGACTCGACCGGCAGAAAAAAATCCAAGCGGGTTACACCACTCCGGTTAGGAGGAGCTTGAACTTATAATGAAATACTGAGACCTGTACACTGCCGGTCTGCTGGCTGAAACTCAGTGTGGCTTGGCCATGTGGCAGCTTGTATATGGGGACTCGTGGACTTAAGTAAACAAACAGGGGGATGCACTACCAAGAAAGGTGGGGGACATCTAAACTTAAACTGAAATGATTTTTTTTTCTAAGGGGGCTACTCCTATAAATACACTAATACTGTATAATACTGTTGTGGATGGAGTGCTGTGGCGTCGTGGTTAAGGGCACTGGATTCTTGGTCTGTGGGTAAAGCTGCGGGTTGTGGGTTCGAGTCCAGCCGGGGTCATGGTGCATGTGCCCTTGAGCAAGGCGCTTTGTCACTCATTGCTTCTCTCCACCTAGGAGTAAATGGGTACCTGTGAGGGCAGAGGTGGTTATTGTGATTGAATAAGCAGCATCAAGCTGTATACTCTCCAGGGAGCGGAGATGGTATTTGGAATAATAATAAATAAGGGGTAATAATAATACTGTAAACGCTGTGATTTAGTTTACTAATAAGAGCGTTCTTAAATGCTTATTATTATTATTATTTTACGTGAAATGGTACCATCTATGGAGACATGTTATCGTAATTTCTTCGCACAATGGGAGACATCGGTCATTATCTTCAAGCAAACGGTCGATCCATGGCAACAACAGTGTGATATGAGGCTGTATTGCACGGTCCATATCGCATCTTGCGTATTGCGCTGTTCCAAGATGCGAGCGACATTCCAGCTGCATGCGCTTAACCGCTGAATGTTTCGTGTAAAGCGATGGTACAACTTTGCTGCGCGTCAAGTTTGCTTGAAGATAAATTCGTTATCACGCTCACGCTTGTGGAACACGGAAAATGTAGTGCGTCTGTGTCCCACATACCACTCGGCCTTCGGCCTTGTGGTATGTGGGACACAGACACACTACATTATTCCGTGTTTCACTCGCGCTCGCGGGATAACTAATATTAGGGAGACATTTTCATGTCTCCCTAATTTCACAGCCCCCCCCCCCCTTAGAAGCACAATTTTACTGTTGTCATTAGATTATATTTGTTGCTCGTGGTTTTAATTAGTAAACATACCGAAATTCATGGAAAAAGGACAAGGGAATATTGGGTTAGGGCACGTTTAAGTTTGAAAAATTATGTGCACAAGTCTATGGGGATGTCTCCCAAATGTCCAATCCAGGGTAATATTATTATTATTATAATGAACATTTACAATTACATTTTGGCCCTGCCATAACGTAATCTTGTGATTTTATATAGATGTTTGAATATTTGGACCTTTAAGCCATATCTCATAAACGGAACAAGCTAATTTCAAAATTCTTTTTGTAATAGGTATGTAAGGTCATACTTTTGTGCACACAAAAAAGTGTGACATCATGATGATGTCACACACTTTTTTTGTTTTAAATCACATTCAAGGGTCAGTCTGATCGTCTTGAAACTTGGTGGGTAGGTAGATATTATTATTAATATCCAAAATCTGAAGTGTTGTCATGATGACGTCATCACCTGACGTTGTATTAATATTAAAACTATTTAAATGTTCTTCTAATGCCAAAAAATAGACTAAGTTCATTTTTTAAAGTAAATTTTTTACATGGATCTTTAAAAATGCGGAAAAGCCTGGGTTCTGTTCATCAAACGGACGTAGCTCTAGTTTCTTTTTTGCTTTGTTTCCAGTTGACAATCCTTCGTTGGATATCTGCTCGCTGCCAGACAGGCCCCCTTGTGAGCAAGGAGCTTCCTGTTCCAACGCCTTCCACAGCTACGACAACGACGTCGATTACATCTGCAACTGCCCGATCGGATTCATCGGACACAACTGCGAGACAGTCAGTAAGTACATGTCCTTGCCCGGAAATCTGCTTAGCGCAAAAGATATCTGCTTAGCAGAAACGGGTTACCAGCCAAAATGTCATGTAGTGTTTTTATCACTTGTGATTGGTTCCCGGCTGATTTTTGCTTAGCACACAAATTTGCTAAGCATTATTTATTTATTTAAGCAATATTTGCTTAGCGCGAAAGATATCTGCTCAGCAGAAATGGGTCACCAGCCAAAATGTCATGTGGTGTTTTTATCACTTGTGATTGGTTCCCAGCCGATTTTTGCTTAGCACACAAATTTGCTAAGCAATTTTTTTTTCTGCTTAGCAATGAAATTGGGCTCAGATTAGAAAAGAATGGAAAGGGAACAAATTTCCATTCCAATATTTTGGATCTTGCAAAAAACATGGATAAAAAAAAAATGTTTCAATACAAAACGTCTTTTTGGAAATCTGTCTGTTTTGATAATTTGGATATTTTAAACGTTAAATTTGAATATTTTTTTTAATCTTGCAGGCACTAATCCATGTAACAGTAACCCATGCAGGAATGGCGCCCAGTGCCAACCATTCAACACTTACTACGTGTGCCAGTGCACTACTGGTTACGCAGGCTCGACTTGTGAAATCCCAGTTGGTAAGTTGTCGCACAAAAAAAGTCTTTTAAGAATTTTTATCTAGTTTTGATCACTTCTGATGGTAGTCTCGATAACTTTCCTGGTGCGAATGTTAATAAACAAGGCACCAAATGTGCACGATTTCTTGCTCTATGCTCCATTCAATCAGCACCCAAAAAAATGTGGCAAAATCAAAATTATTTTCGACCTACCGACCCTATTTTTGAAAGGCATGTAATTGGAAGCAGAAACTATTTTTCTTTGCCTTATTTCTTAATTTGAATCTTAATTGTAATCCATACTTTTCCAGTTCAGGAAGTTGTAATGTTTGTGACATGTTGATTCTTTGTTTTCAAGTAAAAAAATATAGAAATCTCTCAATTGTAAGTGAAAATCTACCTTAAAAACCTCCAGGTTTACTCTAAAATGCATCAGAGAGCTTCTAAAGTTAAATATTTTTCGGGATCCTTAAGCGGGCTACGAACCGGGCCCTTAAGCGGGCTCCAAACCCCACACCGTGGCTTTACAAGTTGTTGATTCATGACAAAACTCCCCCACAGGTTCGGAAAAAAATCCTGGGGAGAACCCTGACAGAAGGAACAGATGAACAAACAGACCAGCAGCTCTTTTCCAAACATTACTCCCCCTCCAAAAATTTTTTTTCAAGTAAACCAAATTTCCTTTTCAATCAGGAGACAACATCGACCCCGTCATCGATAACTGCCCCGACTCCGTCACGCGAAACATCGCATTAGGCAGCAGCAGCGTGGTCACCTGGACGACCCCCACGGCCACCGACAACTCCGGCACGGCGTTCCTGATCTTCAGCTCTCACAACTCCGGATTCAACTTCCCCGCCGGCACGACGCCCGTCACCTACGTGTTTTCCGACAGCAGCATGAACTATGCCACCTGCACATTCTTCGTCACGGTTACCAGTAAGTCGTTGGTTGCCATGGGAACTAATTTCGCTTAAAACTTTTAAACCAATTTTTTTTTTTTTAAAGAAATTTGAAATTATTCAAATTTGCAACTCCTGTTTACAGACTAACATCAATGAGAATTTGAAAAAACGTACAGGGCTTTGTTTTTGTATAACCTACAAGTAAATTCTCATTGAAAATAAATTGCAGACAATTTTAAGAAAAGGGAATATTAGAATTGTTAGGACTTGCTTGTGATTTTTGTTTCCCCAAAACTGTTCGGCTCTTTGGCTGTTTGCAACAGTAGACGTTTTTGTTTTGATAGCATATGGCTTGAGAAATTTACAGCTATTCAACAGGCATTGTTAGAAGTGTGTGCACAGAAACACATCCTAGTTGTATGTAAATGAACATGACAGCAGGTTTTTTAAGAACATTACATTTAAACCATTGCTATGACGTCACACTATTGTTAAAAGTGTGGATTCGGAACTACGAATCTGTTACGCTGGTCACAAAGTGTGGATTCGGAACGAAGAATCTTTAGTAAAGTGTGGATTCGGAATTACGAATCCACACTTTGAACAGGTCAGACAATTGTTCTCAATAATGAGCATTAATAGGACAGTATGCGTGAAAATTTCCTTCCGAAATTACCAATGCATCTTCCCTGTCAGATTCTCCGCCGTCACTGCAAAACCTACTTCGAGTCAGAAAGAAATCATCGTCTGAACTATCAATTTGTCGACGGAAGGAGCCGGGACAAATGTTGCAACCTGACGCCACTTTTTTTTCTCCATATATCATCTCAATGAAGGGCATTCATTGCAAAAATGATGATAGACATGAATCTGGGACTGAGAAATATTTCCAATTTTGTTAGGAAATACTTTAAAAAAAATTCTTGACTCTCCATAGACTTTGTACACAATCGCGGAAGTGGCGTTAGGTTGCAACATTTATCCCAAGTCTTTTCATCTCCACTCACTGTTAATGCCAATACTTCTTTTGACGCAATGGTTTAAGTCGAAGAATACACTCGCAAGTGTGGATTCTTAATTTACGAATTCACTCGGCGCTTCGCGCCTCGTGAATTCTTAAATTACGAATCCACACTTTCTCGTGTATTCTCCTTAACATAGACACATATTCAGGTCAAGTTCTGCATTGTTTGTCACTGATTTGGGCATTAATTTGTATTACATAAAATGACTTAAAACAATAACAAACATTATTTAGGTTAGACTTGTATTTCTTTTGTTGTTCTTTTAAGCAATTTTTCTAAACAACTGAATATTGATCCTATTTTTAATCCAACTCAGATACCGTTGTCGACAACACTATACCGGTCATCAGCAACTGCCCCGCAAACCGGGCCGTTACGGCCGCCCCTGGTGCCACCAGTGCCGTGGTCAGCTGGACTGAGCCGACTGCAACGGATAACTCCGGCCTAGCGGTCAACCGTGTGTCCACAGCGCCACCCGGCAGTTCCTTCAACCTCGGCTCCACAGCGGTTATTTACACGTTCACCGACAACTCTGGAAACGAGGCCAGGTGCACATTCACCGTAACAGTGAACCCAGGTAAAAATTTGCAATGTTAATTTCAACCCAATATATGCAATTGTGATGCATGTCTCTTTGACAAAAATGTCATCATACAAATAGCGATTCTTTGTGGCACCCATTACTATATCAGATCCAAAGTCAGCAAGCTTGATAGTCGATTAGTAAAATGACTGAACTAGTAAGCCGGAGGTTGTGGGTTTGAGTCCCATCCAAGTAAGATTGTTATATTTGTTTTTTTTTCACAGGCCCCAAAATTGCACTGAGTATACAATGTTTTGTTGGAATTTCATTGGTGAAGGGCAAAGTCCAACTTAAGATTTTAACTTGCCTTCTCTTTTAGCCACTTTTTTTTTTATCTCATTTGGTGAAATAAATTTACCAAATGTTGATTACTTGTGCTGTATTTTGTTCCGACGGAGATTGATTCATTATGTTAGAAGCTTGAATCAGCGGCAAGAAAGTTGTTTGCCACTATGACAGCATGATTGCAGTGTGCTCTTACCGTTATCAGAGGAGTGCTGTTTGCTTTACCTGATGGGCCAGCTTTCTGTTCTCTGACTCGCCGATTTATTGACTGATTACTGAGTTATTGACTGACTCACCAAGTTATTGACTAACTCAGCGAGTCACTGACTGAGTCACCGAGTCACTCACCGAGTCACTCACTGACTCACCGAGTCACTCACTGATTGACTCACTGATTCACTGAGTCTTTGACTGACTCAGTGAGTCTTTGACTGACTCAGTGAGTCTTTGACTGACTCAGTGAGTCTTTGACTGACTCACTGAGTCTTTGACTGACTCATTGAGTCACTGACTGACCCACTGAGTCCCTGACAGACTCACACTGAGTCACTGACTGACCCACTGAGTCACTGACCCACTGAGTCACTGACTGACTCACTGAGTCACTGACTTACCCACTGAGTCCCTGACTGACTCACACTGAGTCACTGACTGACCCACTGAGTCACTGACTGATTCACTGAGTCACTGACGGACTTGCTGAGTCTTTGACTGACTCAATGAGTCACAGAGTCACTCACTGACTCACTGACTGACCCACTGAGTCACTGACTGACTCCCCGAGTCACTGTTTGACTCACTGACTCACTGTGTCTTCGACTGACTCACCAAATCACTGACTGACTTTACTGAGTCACTTACTGACTCACTGAGTATAAGCAATGTCCTAAACAAACTATTGGGTCCAGCTGACTAGGCAAGCTTGAGGAATCATCAGCAGAGATTATCGAATATCAAGCCTGCGTTTTTTATTTTTATCCAATTCAGGTACCATCGTTGACAACATTGATCCGGTCATCAGCAACTGCCCCGCAAACCGGGCCGTTACGGCCACCCCTGGCGCCACCAGTGCTGTGGTCAGCTGGACCGAGCCAACAGCTACCGATAACTCTGGCCTAGCAGTCAACCGTGTGACCACTAATCCATCCGGCAGTTCCTTCAACCTCGGCACCACAGCGGTCACTTACACGTTCACCGACAACTCTGGAAACGAGGCCAGATGCACATTCACCGTAACAGTCAACAGTAAGTTTGGGTTATGGTTAAATGTTAACACATTTCTCAATCGCTTGAAATGTGGCATTCTTATTTTTTAAACAATTATTTGCTACTGTTTTTTCGTTTTTCTATTTTACTCCCATTTTTTCCTATTATTTAACCCTCTTAATTCAAAAATCAAATTAGACTTTAAACTGTTCAGTTGTTCAGGATGTTAAAGTGCAAGGGATGAAATGATCGTAACGTTCACAATTTAAACTTATTTCATGGAGAGACATTTTATCACTTTTTCATTATTAAATTTCCTCAAATTTAGGTCAAGGAGATTTTGACTAAAATTGTCCATCATTTCACCTTCCCGGTCGCACCAGAATTGTTAAGAAAAATACTGGATTAAAAATCATTCTTTATATTATGAAGAAAGTAAGATCCAGCCTGTATTACGTTTCAGATCTGTTGTCTTTCAATCTGTCTTCCAGAGGCAACCGGAGCATACTGGCCAAAACGTTTATTTTCCATCGATGCTTTTCAGAATCATTCAAACTGATTTCATGTTGCGTGGTGCAACCAAAAAATGTACTTGTAGTTTCACTTTTTTGGTTTGTTTCTTTGCCAAACAAGGTGGTACAGTCACAGACAACACACCGCCATTCATTTCCAACTGCCCGATGACTGCTGCGGGCTCGCTGGCCCAGGGCGCGACAACCGTCACGGTGACGTGGACCGTCCCGACCGCCACGGATAACTCCGGCGGCACCGTGAGCAGAACATCCACCCACAATTCTGGGGACTTGTTCACCGTTGGCAACACCCAAGTCAGATACACGTTCACCGATCCCTCTGGCAATGAGGCTCGCTGCGAGTTTGTCGTCATGGTCTCACGTATGTATTTTCATGCATTCTATTTTTTTTCCTGAAGGAATTGAATAAGTCTAATACTCACTACTTATAAACCATCTTTGTTGTAGGTGTAGCACCAGTTTTGGGGTTTCCCCTCCCCCCCCCCCCCCTTAGTATTGACATCCAGTTTTTTGAGAAGTCAGCCATAGGAGTTGTGGTACACAGTTAGACCAAATTTTGTCAACTTTCCCACTAAAATTTGTCAGCAGTGCCTTCGTATTTTAAAATCACCAAGACAAAGGAATATGCTTCAAACTGTGATTTAATTGATGTGGGATTCCTTGCACTGACATTTCGAAGTTTCAAAATGGTGTTAGTGTTGCGTAAACTCTACTACTTATAGTTGCTGTGCATTAGCCAACTTTATTGCAGGTTTTATGGTAATCGCTGGATGTATATGTCAATAATTCATTTTGGCAGAAATTTTTTTCGCACTGATTCAAAATGAAGATTTAACAATGGATTCTTCTCAAAAATAACTGATATGTCAGATATACAGGGTGAGTCGAAAAAGCGAAACCCAAATATCGGGACCATTGTTTTAGTGAAGTTTTGCATGTAGCACTTTGAAAATCTAGGATATGAAAGCCCAATTCATTACCTTTCTTTTAGTATAAAAATCATTCAAATCACTCATGTACTTTTCAAGTTACGGAATTTTGAACACGACCACCGTTTTAAGGTTCTGTCCACAGATCACAAAAAAGTGTGCGTTCTTTCAGCAAAACGAAAACCATTCACACACATCCCTATGTGATTTGTTTTCGTTTTGCTGAAAGAACACTTACCTTCTTGTGATCCGTGGACAGAACTTTAAAATGGTGGTTGTGTTTAAAATTCCGTAACTTGAAAAGTACATGAGTGATTTGAATGATTCTTGCACTAAAAGAAAGCTTATGAATTGGGCTTTCATATCCTAGATTTTGAAAAGGGCTACCTGCAGAATTTTACTAAAACAATGGTCTCGACATTTGAGTTTCGCTTTTTTTGACTCGCCCTTTACATGTATTGTCACGTGGCAAACTTTGAGTTCATACTGACATCGCTAAATTAGCCAGTAAAAGAAATCCATTTTTTTTGTTCTCTTCAGCCTTCAGCGGCACTGACATGCAAGCCCCCGTCATCTCTGGTTGCCCCGCGCCCCAGACAGTAGCACCCGACGCTTCCTCCAATGTGGCCACTGTGACCTGGATTGAGCCCACCGCGGTGGACAACAGCGGCGAGGTACCCAATGTCGCCAAGTCGCACACCCCGCCGGCCACTTTCCCGGCCAACACCGTCACCCGGGTCTCCTACATTTTCTACGACAACTTTGGCAACTTTGACAATTGCGACTTCCTGATTACAGTAACATGTAAATTTCGTCCTTTTTTTGAAATTTTTTTTTTAAAATTTCAATGCTATGTTGCATTCTTTGTACATGTATGTAATTATAACCTTCTGCTTCTAAAGATTGTTCCTTGATGTAATACAGTGACTTGCCGTTTTTGTTTTATATTTGCTCTTGATGGGAACAAATGTTATGCAAATTGAAACAGAATTTGAAAAACAAATACCCCCTCAATGATTAAAAAGGTTGGCATAGACCACTGAAAGTTGGCATAGACCACTGGGAGAGACATTCAAATGCTCCGCCAATGACGTTTGATGCTCATGCCAAGACGCTACGGCTTTGCGGACGTCCAGAATAAAATAAGTCCTGCGTACCTTGTGTTTTTACGCCAATGAACCGGAACGTGCAAGTTGTAGAGGGCTACTGTATTTTGTCTCGTTTTAAGGCAACACAACGCAACGTGCTATTTCTCAATGTTACGACGACCTTGGTGGTGATGTTTACCGTTGACGTTTATTTTGTCAACAGCAAGCGACCCAGGCACTGACAGAACCCAGCCCGTCATCAGCGGTTGTCCTGCTGGCGCCTCGGCAGTCGGGACCAACAATGCCGTGGTGACGTGGGTAGAGCCCACGGCGACAGACAATGACGGACAGCCCGTCAACGTCGTCCGGAGTCACTCACCAAACACCGTCTTCAATCTCGGGTCCACCACCGTCACCTACACCTTCACCGATACAACGGGCAACCAAGCCATCTGTGCCTTTGTTGTGACAGTGACAGGTAAAACACAACCTCAGAAAATATCACCCAATCGTGAGTCGGGGGAAAAGAATCAATTGTGACCCTCCAGCACAAAAACCAGTCACTTGGACCAATGTTTGCAAAAAAAAAGTCGGAATTTTAGCTCATTAGAAAGGACAAGGTTTCCAATGACGCATAGAATTTTGGAATTGGACAAAATCTGAGAGTTATTCATAATTTTGGTTCCAAATTGTCAACAATATTCTATGTATTATAGGCTTTATCATTAAAAAAGATCGGTTGTGTGGCTTCTGACTGGTTTTGTGAAGGAGATTTACAATTGAAAAGCAATTCAGGTCAATCTAAATGGGTTTAATTGGACAATGTAGCAATTCAATCTTTCAATGCAGTGGCTTCAAACTGTTGCAAATGTCAAACTTTTTTTATTTGATTCAAATCTTTGGAGAAATTTGTTTTGGCCTGTGTAAAGAAGAAAAAAAATCTTTAAAAGCGATAACCACATCGTTCCTCTCAGTTAAGAAGAGTCATAAGCAAAAAAGGCTGAAATTAAAATATTCCCAAAATGATGAGAGGTAAACGAGACAAAACGCTGAAGGACTGACAACCCAATTCATGTGTCGGCCCAAGTTAGAATTTCTGTTTTACCCTGCACTTATTGTAGTAGCCCGTAAGCCAATTTTGTCGATCTTCTACGCGTTCAGGTACAGTGGACAACATTCAACCGGTCATCAGCAACTGCCCAAGCAACAGAGCCGTGACAGCAGCCGTGGGCGCAACCAGTGCTGTGGTCAGCTGGACCGAGCCAACGGCTACCGATAACTCCGGCCTAGCGGTCAACCGTGTGACTACTAATCAACCCGGCAGTTCCTTCAACCTCGGCACCACAACGGTCACTTACACGTTCACCGACAACTCTGGAAACGAGGCCAGATGCGCGTTCACTGTAACAGTGAACCAAGGTAACAATTTAGTCAGAATTTGGCACATGCGGGGCAACAACATGTGCCCCTCGGCAATATGCCACTTTGCAAGTTCCAGCCGCGCGCGTGATCAGGCACATGCACGCCACATGCGCACCACATGCAGGCCACATGCACTGCACGCATGTCAAACTTTTATCGTGGCTGTGATTGGTCAAAACACTATTAGGCTGAGCTTATTGGATCGTTCCCTCTTGCTCATGCATTTCTGATCAAAAACTTTTTCAGAGCAGATTTATCGGTAACATACCTTTGTATATTATGGTGCGTAGCACAGCATTTCCGTGGTCCTCAAAGAAATTAAGTCATTATTAAACTTTGCCAGACCACATTCATATCATTAATGAATTTTTATCCAAATTTACGAACAGCATTGGCCCATTAGCACTTGCACATGTACTACATTTCATTACATTGTATTAATTCACTTATGATACCAAAAAAAACGTACATTAGGGGTTTGAAGGGCGTTACATGGAGTAACAGGCAGGGCAGTTTTTTTTTGCGGTACAGAGACTAATGGACTTTATTCACCAGTCAGCCATATTAAATTGAAAGCGAGGTAAACTCTTCATTTTTGTAACTTGCGTGTAGAAAGAGTCAGGGAACATGATCGAAAATGGCTTCCTCATGAGGTTTATGGCTTAATTCTGTAAAGTTTGTTTTTAAAGAAAGATTTTTTCAATATTTCATAGGTACAGTCACAGACAACACACCCCCGGCCATTTCCAACTGCCCCACGGGTGCTTCGGCCACGCTGGCCCAGGGTGCCACAACGGTTGCGGTGACGTGGACCGTCCCGACCGCCACGGACAACTCCGGCGGCACCGTGAGCAGAACGTCCACCCACAATTCTGGTGACTCGTTCGCCTTTGGTAACACTCCTGTCACGTACACATTCACCGACCCCTTCGGCAACGAAGCGCGGTGCGAATTTGTCGTCAAAGTCTCGAGTGAGTAGAAACTTTGACTTTTTTGAGAGAGAGAGAGAGATTATGTTGCTTTGCTTTGCTAGCAGTAAAATATGTCTCAGACAGGGCACATGATGCCTGTGTTCTTAAGTAAGACACTTTACTACAATTGCCTCTCTCCACCCTTGAGTATAAATGGGAACATGTGAGGGGGGCACACCTGTAAATAGGCCTAAACCCATCCACCGAGCTCATGAATAGGAGCCATACCCTTAAAATATCCTATATTCAAGCTCTTAGAGGAATAAAATTGGGGAATTGAAGAGAAATTGCAATGAACCTCTGGCCCGGACTTGGGGCTTCCTGTTCTGAGCGTTTTGGATGCAATTGGGCTCGAAAGTGGCGCTGTTTTGCCATGTTGTTGAGGGATCGCTTGTCAAGATGGCTACTTTTCCGCTTTGGGGAAAATATGGGTAGTCTTCTTTGGGTGAGAATTTCTCAAACAGTCAATTGTCAACCCACCAAGAAATGAAAAGAAAATGAAAGATGACACATTGATCATCATTAATCTGTGCAGCTTAAGTACCTGTGAGAGTTCTGAGGATTTTAAACAGAATTTTGAAGTATGGGCATTTAGCGCTGGTGTCTATGGGAATTTCAATACAGGGGTGCATCCTGAGAGTGGAGGCTCTATTTTATTTCACTGGCCTGAAGACAACGGATAATAATTGTGATATAAAGGGCTATGTTAGTGTGGCAGGGCCAAATTTAACTTGTATTTTTCCAATGTATTTTTGTAGTGATTTAGCATCTATAGGAGTAGCCCCCTGAGGAAATCCAGCGTTTTTTATTAGATGTCCCCTACCCTTTCATATAGTAGTGTTTCCCCCTGATGAACTTTCCCCAGTAACAAGTCCACATTGTATGTAAATTAGACTCATGCCATTGGTCCCCTTCCCCCAAGACCATGTGCCCTGCCACCTGCCCCTGTAAGACCACAGACCCCTCATGATCAGTAGCAGACCAGCGGCAGTAGAGAGAGGACTGTGTATTTTAGCTTTCTCTCTTTCCCCTTGATTTTTCTTGGGTGCGCCTTGCCCTGTGAAAGTGTTTTTCTGCTCGAGTTATTGATTTTGATTTGAAGTTCTTGTAAATAAATTCTTTTTTTGGTCCTTTTTGGTTTGAAATCAAGAATTGTGTCCTTTGTCTCTATTAATTCAATTTCTTCGCGACTTTCCCCTTCAAAAATCCTGAGTTTAGTTTAGTTGTAGTAGTTTTAGTGCGAGTTCCCCATAGTGTGTCACTTTCCATGGTTACATTAGCACCACTTTATTATTATAATAATAAATGTTCTTTTTTTAAGGTCCAACTGCAACGGACAATGTAGCCCCAGTGATCTCGGGATGTCCTACGTCCAGGACAGTGGCGCCCGATGCCGGACAGACCACCGCCACCGTTTCATGGGTGGAGCCCACTGCGACAGACAACAGCGGTCTGGTACCAGGCATCAGTCGGTCCCACACACCCCCGGCTACTTTCAATGTCAACACCGTCACAAATGTCGTCTACACCTTCTTTGATAATTCGGGCAACTTTGACCAGTGCCGTTTCACCATCACTGTCACAGGTAGACTGTAGTTATTATTGGCGTGCAGAAAATAAATACTCGTCGTCGATGTGATAGTCCATTTGAATTGAAGAAAAGTTAGACCCAAAGTAGATGTGAATTTTTCCAGGCATTATCTTCAAAATGTCTAATGCTATCAATTCCCTGTGGAAATAAATTTGGTGTTATATCTTTTTTTAATATAAAAATGGAGCCGTTTATTAAGAAAAATTTGAATGACAAAATACATTCTTGGACAGATAATCTTGGATTTCTTTTAAAAAAAAGTATCAATTACACAAATTTTGAAGGATGGAGATGGTCGTCTTGAAAGTTTCACCATAAAACGCCCTTCGTCTTTTCTCATTAGAATATAATCCTTCAGAAATCCAAATGTAGGATCCTGCCAAAATTTGGCCAAGTCTTTTTTTTTTCAATGCCTCGATCATACTGTGCATTCTAAGGAATGGGTTTAAGGAATTTTTCCGCTAACTTGTTGCTTTGTTGTCATCTATTTTATTTGTGTACACAGCAAGCACAACTGGCGATCAAACCCCGCCCGTAATCAGCGGCTGTCCGAATGGCGTCGTGGCACAAGGACCAAACAACGCCGTGGTATCGTGGGTTGAGCCAACGGCAACGGACAACGACGGACAGCCCGTCAACGTCGTCCGGAGTCACACACCAAACACCGTCTTCAACGCTGGCTCCACGACCGTCACTTACACGTTCACCGATACATCTGGCAATGACGCAATGTGCTCTTTCCTTGTGACAGTTTCAGGTAAAACGAAGGTGTTTGTGTTCGCCTTTTGACCCAAAGCCACCCAAATGCTTCAAAGTCCACAAGGTGGTTTTGAGGAGATTACCAGCCACTGTTACTTTTCACCTGGTGGTTGAGGCCTCTCGAAAGTTTGAGTAAACTTCTTCAAACTTGGATCTTTGATTCACTAACAATTTTGTAAAAGTCTGTTAAAACATTCAACAGTGAATTCACGTCAACTTGCACTTGTTTTTCTGGATTCATTTGTACATATTCGACAGCATCACCCATTATTTTCAGACGGTTATGTCACAAATATTTTTTTTTTTTTTTTTAAATGGACGACTGAAATCAAGTTGATCAATATAACAAATCGGAAATGCATTTCATGGATAGCCATATCCTAGCCTTACAAAAACATCACATTTAGCATTGGCTTCAGCCCGTTTGGTCTAGAACGGCCACGTTTTCAGTCTGTAAAACAGATAGGTAGGGCTTTCCCGCACGACTCCCGCACGACTGAGAAATGCAACCGCTTAGTCTCATGTCAGGCAAGAAAGCCTGCAGTTATCAAAGGTTGCGGTGATTTAATTAATTCTTGCATAGTAAGTTGCATCCACGCATCTGTTTTACTCTTAATATTGGCATGGTTCGCCATTTTTGGGTGTTAAAAATGGCTCCTCCCACATCACAGCAGTAAACATTTGTTAAATGTCTCAACCTTTTGCCAATTGACGTTCTCCGGTTAACCAAATTGGGCAGGATTATTTTTGCCGAAAATTTCGAATTTTTGAAAAAGGCAAACTATATCAGCCAACTTCTGATACACAGCCAAACGCCACAAATACTGATTCGCAAGAGTCGTTTCAACAGTATTTGTACGATATTTCTTGCCAAAACCTCATATTTTTCAACACTCGGGGTGTACAACGGAGGGTAAATTGTAGAACAATAAGTCGTACACAGCAGCCAATTCAAGATCAACGCATGGTTCGCCTCCACAGACTTCAAGAACTTTGTGTGTGTGTACAAAAGACACAAGGGATTATCGTGTTTAGACGTCACCCGGAGGCGAGTCCAGGCACGCTTGACATCTTAACCCGTCAGGCGTGCCTGTGTATAAAAACAGCCAGTGCGCGTTATCACGTCCTCCGACGCGAACTGGTTAGCATTTCCTTGATGTTAATTCCCCCTGTGTTTTTTTAGGCGACCAAACTGCACCAGTTATCTCGGGCTGCCCCAGCAACCAAGTAACTACGGCAGCCACTGATGCCACCAGTGCCGTGGTCAGCTGGACCGAGCCGACGGCTACCGATAACTCCGGCCTAGCGGTCAACCGTGTGACCACTGCGCAGCCCGGCAGTTCCTTCAACCTCGGCTCCACAACGGTCACTTACACGTTCACCGACAACTCTGGAAACGAGGCCAGATGCACATTCACCGTAACAGTCAATGGTAGGTTCCATCTTTTGTGACGAACACCTTTTGTTGTTCACAAAACACACAAAATTGTGTAAAAAAACACGCCTTAGTATTTACCTTTTTGTTTCCGTGAATATAAAGCATTTAAAGCAAGGGCGGATCAGGGGATTTTTGCAGGGGGGGGCGTCAGATTTTTTTTGGTGCCATTTTTACGGACAGGCTGATACATAGGTTATTATTATTACTATAATTGTTATTACAGTCGAGTCTCGTTAATACAAACTCGTTCGGACCTAGCCAAATTGGTTGTTATATCAGAATTTTGTATTAAGAGGAACATCAGTCCCATTCATTGTTCACATAAATGCACAGTCGGGACTAAGGCCCTGTTTTTTTTACCTGTTTTTTTGCTTCAAATGTCGGCTGATGACTGCAAATGGTGCCCGACTAAACTTAGTGCAAATATTATGGGAGACCAGAGAGGCCACATAAAGCTTATTCTCGATCATAACCCCATATAAAAATACGTTAAAATTGTGCAGCAGCAGGATTCCACTCAAACCAGTGAGTTTGGCGGTTTTGAGACATCATCTTTCATTGAAAAAAAAACCTTTTTCATTTTGCCGACGCGCATGGCTATGGCGACACGCGCGCATACCAGAAACCGGAGACTTTTTTTTTTTGGCCTAAGGCTTTATGTTTGTTATAACCAGAATTTTGTATTAACAGAGTTTGTACTAACGAGATTCAACTGTAATTATTTTTGGCGTTAAAACTTTAAAAAAAAACAACTCTGGATCAGCACCTGTAAAAGCATGTAGGAACATTCGCAAACACTAGGAAGCATACCTAACGATTTAACGAGAAAATCCTAGCTCAAAGTGAAGATAGGACTGGTTCCAAATACCCTGTGAAATCATTCCGCCTGAAATTATACCATTTGAAAAAAAAAAAGAATTATTGAAGGTTGTTTAAGACAGTAACTACAACATCCAATTTATAACAAATGTAATAATAATAATAATAATGGAAATTTCTATAGCGCCGAATCCATTTCAAAAATGCTCCCTGGCACTTTACAGTCAAACTATTAATATAAATAAAAGGAATATAAATTAAATTTAAAATTTGGTTATTTAAAACTAAAATTGGATAACATAACACTATAGTAATTAAAAAGCCTGACAAGTAGACACCCCTGGACAAAATGGAAAACAACAATTAACCCCTCCCACAAGCCTGACCAAATCAAACAATTTATATAAATAAAATAGGAATTTTAATTAAATTAAAAATGTGATTATTTAAAGACTCTAGAATGGATAACTAAACACAATAGTGATTAAAAAGCCTGAACCATATGTACAGAACAGAACAGAAAACAACAGCCCCATCCCCGCTAGCTAGACCAAATCAAACAATTTGTATACATGTAAATAAAATGGGACCATAAAGCCCGGTCTGTACTCCTGATTCCTTCTAAAAAAATAGATTTGATAGATTTGATAGATTTGAAGTAGTAAGGATACAAATACAAAAACAGTTTCACGCAACTATTTGTGAGATTAACCTCTGCCGTTACTTTTCTTCTTTTGTCGCACAGCTGCAACTGCAAACCCATGTAACAGCAATCCATGCCCTGATACCCAGAGCTGTTACTATCGTGACAACGAGTACTTGTGCCTGGGTAAGTGTTTCATTTCAATTAAAGAGCAACAAAAAAACTATCGACTGAATCAATCTGGCCCTTGTCATTAAAATGCTTAAAATTTCTGAACTCTGAATACACAAATCAAACATGGTTGGAGGGTTGATACACTCGACCAAAAAGAAAGGCCCCCCCCCCTTCCAATACTTGTTTGTCTTACTCAAAAACTAGTGAGAACGTCTCGCTCAAATAACAACTAATCAGTACAGAAATTCCTTAGCAATCCAGCCATACTCTTTGTTTGGCCCGAAACAGTGATAATGTGTACAAATTTATGCAATTTATGACAAATGGTACCAAAAAAAAGTTGCACTTCTGTGTACGTGCAAGTTGTGGTTCACACTCACCTTGCACGTATGCAATAGTGCAACTTTTTTTCGCTACCATTTGTCATAAATTGCATAATTGTGTACACATCATCACTGTTTTGGGCCAAACAAAGAGTAGAGCTGGATTGCTTAGGAATTTCTGTACTGATCAGTCGTAATTTGAGCAAGATGTGCCCAGTAGTTTTTGAGTTAGACAACAAAGTAATAAGGGGGACTTTCTTTTTTGGTCAAGTGTAGTTGGTTGATATTAGCTCCCCAAGGTATGGGAACTAGTCTGTCAACTTCAAACAGCTCGGGGCTTATATTGACTGGCTACCAAAACTCAAGCATGTTTTATTTTTTTTTACTACACCTCTTACCTAGCCAATTCACAAAAATTTCATGAAGTTACGCATAAGTTTTCTCGGCAACATGTTCATATGCCCCATCTTTCCATAGTTGCTGCATGCTGCTAGGGCGATGTTCGCGCACGCGAGTTCCCCTGTACGCTAGTTCCACGATTGCTTCTTTAAAGCGCATGCATAGGAGACTAGCGCACTGGTAACCAATGCGATAGTCTACTACACATGTGTATTTAACCTGTGCTTGAAAACCCTGCGTGCCTTTTTTTTTGGTAAACAGCAAAACTAGCAGCTGACACATGATGGTTAATTGACCAATGAGAACTCGGCTCACGATCATGAATATGTATGACACATAGTCATTCTGAATGGTCACCGGCCCTTTTGTAAAAAAATAATCAGTTTTGTTCAATTATGCATTACTTCTGTAGTACGTTTTGCAGTGTTTTAATAGATATAGATATTTGCCGGTATTTCATTAACTGTTGATTTTGTGTTTATTCATGCAGGCGACGCACGACGAAGGCGTGACGTTGAAGAAATCGCAGCGGGTAAATTCGAAATTGAATAGTTTCAATTTGAATATAGTTGTATGCAGTCTTGTTACCATGGCAACCATAAGGCCACAGAAAACAGAAGAAATATTGTTGTTGCCCTCACATCAAAAATGTCAGGAAGCTGGGTCTGTTGGGATTTTTGTTTTGGTGGGGGGGGGGGGGGGGGGGGGGGGGCCAGGGCCAACCCTTTCTCCTATTCCATTCGAATATATTTTTCAGGTATGTACGATTTGTAACAAAATGCAAACTTATGGCATTACAAAGAAACGGTAAAGTTCAAGTTTATTTCATATTTTCTAGTCCCCACAGTTGATTGCAAGTGCGAGAACGGCGGCGTTTGCGTTGGCGACAAGGAAAGTGGCATGACCTGCGCTTGCCCGGAGGGTTACCAGGGAATGCTCTGCGAACAAGGTACCAGTTTTGACCCATTATTTCCTTAATGCCTGAGTGAAAGTTAGAACTTGGCTGACAATGATCCTTTGTTGCCTGCAATCAAGGAGGAGGCTTTGACCAATAGGATCACAACTTTTGGTCAGGTGACCATCAGTAGGCTCGGTCAAACTCAGCCACAAGCACAGTGAGAAATGGTGAATGGATCGAATGTTGGGCGGAGCTTATGGCGAAATCCAGAACGATTTCATTGCAGCTTACCACATAATTGGCAGGGAACAAACAAACAAATTTAAAAAAATACCATTGAAAAAATAATGTGATGTACATTTTTGGCTGTTTTGGCACATTTGCCGAAGCAGCTTTTGTTTTTGTTAAGATTTTTTTGTTTTTAGAAAGTTTTTAAAATTATTTTTAAAATTAACGGTGATGTCATAAAATGTTAGAGCGGCCTCTAGCGCAGGTTTTATAGATGATTATAGATGAACATCGATGTGACGTCATGACATCATCACGTTACATGTGACATCATAATTCAAAGCCCTATGAGAAAGTTATCACATATTTATATGCCTTCATTTATTATAAAGATAACTACACATCTTGCCTGAATGGAACTTGTACTTGAAAATGTCACATCACAAAAAAAGTTGCCCAAACAGCTCTGTGTTTGTCCACAAACATAAGTGTAGTTTTATGAATGGTTTCCCAGTAACATATGCTTAGCCTACAAATTTACTGAGCCTTTGTAAAACTTACCCCACAGTATCGTGTATCATAATACCTTGGCCAACATTGAATATTTTTGTAACTTATGTACTCACATGCATGTGAACATTAAGCAAGTTATAACAATTCATAAGAATTTTGTTTTTATATGTTTGATGTTTCAGCTTTGACAATCAAAGGAGTGTGCGAGCCCAACCCTTGCGCTAACAACGGCACCTGCGTGGAGTCCTTGACGGCAACAAACCAGCTCACCTACCAGTGCGTCTGCAACCCCGGCTGGGAAGGCTACCACTGCAAGAGAGGTGAGCGCAAATTTTCTTACCAACTTTTGGCTGACTTTGGTTCTAGAACCCTTTTTATTGCAGATCTCGCATATTTTTTTTTTCATATCTGTTCATTTGCCAAGGACATCTGTGGGATCTGATTCAGGGTGAGTCAAAAAAAGCGGAACCCAAACCCCCAAAACTATATTTCATATTTAAAAAGATATGTAGCACCAAAAATAATAATGACTGGAAAGCCAATTTCATAAGCTACTTTTATATGAAAAAATAATTACTGAAATTGCTCAATCTGTTCAAAGAATATCACCATTTAAACGCAATGACCCTAAAACCTGTTTCGTCAAAAAATTTTTTATTGTGTATCCTTACTGTTTGGAACAACAAGAAAATGAAACAGAATACTTGTTTCAACAACTGTAGTACATTATATCTTTATTAACAACCCTGGTAGGGCAAACAATTTGATTGATAAAATCCACTTTTTTGAAAAGACGGGCCTTCAAAAGAACTTTGTTGGTTATTTTTAACTTTTAAACTGAGGTTTTATCGTTGGTGATGTTTGAAGACAATTATTTGTTACAACGATTCTTGAAATCGCAATTTTGGACAAAGGAGGTTTGAGGGTCATTGCGTTTAAATGGTGATATTCTTTGAACGGATTGAGCAATTTCAGTATTTTTTCATCTAAAAGTAGCTTATGAAATTGGCTTTCCAGTCATTACATATTTTTTTAAATATGAAATATTATTTTGGGGGTTTGGGTTTCGCTTTTTTGACTCAACCTCCTTAATGCAGTCGTCCTCCAATAGCAAATTACCTCCCCAACAAATAAAAAAATCATTGGTAGTCATTCTTAATGATGTTTGGATGGAAAATTACAAAATGCGTACAAGGAAACAGAGATAGGCAAAATGGCACACTTTGAAACTAAATTCACAGAATGACTCGCATGCTGTGGTCATGATTTAATAATAATAATATCGGAGTCTTATATAGCGCACGTATCTACCAACTATTAGGTACTCAAGGCGCTGGAGATATGTCTATTTTTAAAGAAAGGTAAATAAAGTTTATAAGAGAGATGAGACCCATTATGTAGCACCTTATAAGGGTGTACAAGGTGCAATTATTCCATTATAATTTTTTTTAAAAACATGCGCATCTGACAGTGGATTTGCAATACGTGTCATGTAGTATTGACCATTCAACATGAGGTAACACCGCTCTGTTGTTACCATGGATCAGCCAATCGGGGTCGACGATTCCTTGAAGATAAAACTCAAGATAACCTGGGTACAGGAATGAATAGAACAATAAAAAAAAAAACTTTGATATATTTCATCTTACAAATCACAAAATGATACAAAGAATATGTGGCAGCTTTTATAGGGGGAACATGTGGGCTTAAGTAAACAAACAGGGGGACACACTACCAACAAAGGGGGGGGGGGACATCTAAACTTCAACTAAAATGATTTTCTGTTTCTAAGGGGAGCTACTCCTATTTACTATACACTACATACATGAAAACTATACAAGATAAATTTGGCCCTGCCACAAATAGAAATAACTTTTGGGTTTGAAGGTCAGATTTTTCTTTGCATTTGTCTAGGGCTCATCTGCTCAAATAATGTAGGCTGCAATTATCACAATAACAAAAAAAAAACACCTTGATACTTTACAAAATCTTGCAACTTCAAATCCTCACGTTTCTCTTTAAAAAAAAATCGGCATGAGCGAGGATTTATGCCTTGTGTTTTCAGACATGGGGGTCGTTCACAGTAGTAAATACCAAAAAAAAAAATTTAATCGTGCCACATTCCCATAAACAAATTATTTTGTGTGGTACTAAATCTGGATAAGCCTCTTAATACTCCATAATCCGTACAATTTGAATCTACAAAAGCAATGAAGGACATTCAGAAGAAAAAAAACTCTTTCAAAAATATTGAAGTTGAGGACATTTTTCGGCCGTGTGAAGATTTCTTGTAAATCCATGTTGACACGATTTGGAGTGCACTTCCATTGAGAAGGGTCGTTGAGAAAGCCGAGAGTATGCATTGAGCTGAAATCTTTTTACCTTGGGAATAAAAGGACAGGAATGTTTCTTAAGCAATAACAGTCCAGTTCAATATTTCTTTACAATTAAAAGCTTTGTTAAAGGAAGTTAAGTGTTCATGCCCGTTCGAAAACTCAGTGGGACATTCAAGGTTTTTTTCCCCATGAAGGTTCTTTGCTAATCCATCTTGTGCACAAACTGTACTCTAAAATATGTTAGTTTGGTTTTTTTATATTTGGGGTCGATGTGAAAAAAAAATCTGTTTAACTTCTTGTGGTTGAAGCATAAAATAGGTTATGGGAACCGGTTTATTTTGGCTTAAAAGGGTGCTTGCTTTAGACAACAACTCAATGTAATCGTTTGAATGTCTTGTGGTATTCTTTTCATTACGTCTATTTGTAATCAAATCCATATTCCTGTCATTTGTAACTTACAAGTCGGTTTACAGGTCCTTTCACCCGAGTAAAAGTGGATGAAAAGTCACACTTGAATGCCTTTGTCACTTTTTTTGGGAGGGAGGGTGATAACTCATAACATGAATTGGGATTGGATGCCTTGTGGCAAACTTGTGATGGACTTGTGATGGACTTGTGATGGACTTGTGATGGACTTGTGATGGACTAGTGATGGACTTGTGATGGACTTGTTACGACTTCACTTAAACACTGAGTTAAGGCAATTAACTCCACAGTCAGACTTGAAACTCCCCATTTTATATATATTTTTTGTCTGTTGTTTACCTCTCTGCAGCCAAATCTATGTCAGATCCCGGGCATGACCTGGCCCCCCGTCCTGAGTGGACCTCACCGATGCAGCTGATCGTAGGAGGCTCCATGGCCATCTTGGGAACCATCGTCATCATTCTGGCTGCTACCATCTGCCGCCTGGCCCCCCGCCGCTTCACCGGTAACCAAAAGTTCCGCATAGACGAGGCGACACTTGTGCAGTAAAACCACCCAATTTGTGTTTTGAAAAGGGTCCCTGCTGTCCAAGTTGCGGCTTCCAGCCATGAATAAACTTAACAACATATTTTTTTAAATTTTTAATCCTTCTATAATATTTTTTTTATTAATAGTGTTATAAAATTGTGTAGTTTTTAGCCTCTAAATCTCTTAATGCAGCTTTTATTTGTATATTTTAGAACAGTTTTTACAAAGTTTCTGTGAAATATGTGATTATCCGAAGGAGAATTTTCAGGAAGAGGATTAAGCCATGTCTAAGGCTGTGCCCAAATTACTTGGCTATGGCTTGATATTACACACGAGTCTATGGGAAGCGGCTGTAGCCGCTACCATAGTGTGTGTGCAATTTTAAGCCATAGCCAAGTAAGTAGGATGCGGCTGCAGCTGCGGCTTTCAACTACACATGTGCTAATGGAAGCGGCTGAAAGCCCTTCCCATAGACACTTGGTTACTGTTAGCCATAGCCTCATTATTCCCATGTAGCCTGTATCTTTAATTTCAGCCCTGTATTCACTTAAGTGTTTTTTTTGTATTTAACCATAAAGTGTAGTTTTTAATCAAGTCCTTTATGCACATCTAAAGTTGGGAAACATGTAACACTAAATGCTTCAGAGAAATTTGACGCATATTTTGGGTTTATCCCGTTAGCCTATTTGGATGCATTGCAATATGGCAGCATGCTGGTCATCTATGCAATAGATTCTTATCCTAAAAAAAAGGTGGCAGTAATTTGTATTAATTAATCAAAGTTTGATTTTGATTGTAATCAGTTAAAAGTCTGTATTTTTAATCTGGATATCATTGCAAAACCAAACATGAGGTGTAGCTCAGTTGCTAGATACTACACATAAGCAGATAATTTGTTAAATGGAAAAAGACTAATTGTTTAGACCTGCAAATGGATCAGACGCAATTACAATCTGCTAACTAATAAAGTTGATCAGAAATCAATCAGAATTCAGACCCAAGAAGCCTGCTTTATATCGCATGGTCATTTTTTAATAAAATTATGTAAGAACTATTATGACATTTTCTATATAAAAGTAGTTTTGAGATTAAAAAAAAATATCAATTGTATGAATTTCAATCAAATTTAAGTTTGTGAGGTCTATATTTCAAGTTAGCCATCTGTAAAATTATGTGTAGATTTAGATATGATTGAGGAGACAATTTGTAAACAGCTTTTGTACCGAATGAAATCGGTCTGGCGTGGAAATCAATAAAACAACCGACACCCCAAATTGTGTCTGATGTCCATAAAATGACCTCGCATTTTTGTGTTTCTTTGAATGCGGATACCGTAAAAGTACAATAGGCCTAGCTGTCCCAGGCCTGTCCTTTGGTCCTTGTTTGTTTGTTTTTGTGGCCAATATGAGACCCCATAGTGATTTCCTCTTCTGCGATTTATCTTCTGTTGTTTGTTACATAAAGCCTAACGCTGCAAGGTCGACTTTGCATGAATGCGAACTATACAGGGTGTTCGGAAAATAATGGTGCATGTAAACCCCGCCATTTTTGCCAATTTACAACCGGAATTTGCTGCAAATGTTTACACGATCTTCAAGGTTAGCTTGAGAATACCGGGTTTTTCTTATTAAGATTGCTTTTGTAAATCCAGAGATATGTTCGAATAACCGCAAAGCCAAAAAAAAAAAAAAAAATCTGTGCCACTTTTAGGAAGCGAGTGCTTCAAAGATCAGACAATGTCAGTATGGGTCTTTTGATAAGATATTATCCCTATGGGTGTAAGACAAACATTCCATTAATAGGGTTTTGTTCTTATGTTGAAAGAATTTAATAGTACAGACAGGTTCACTTCTTTAAAACTTCAACGAAAAAGCTCAATTAAATATAAATAAATATTGCACACTGCTTAAAAATGATAAAATCACTAACAGTAAAGCAATTTGGCTTTAGACTAGGACTATACTGATTTTAACTGCTTCACAGAAAGTGGCACAAAATGGGTTTCTTGGCTGTGCCGTTATTCAAACATATCTTTGGATTTACAAAAGCAATCTCAATAAAATAAACGGTATTCTCAAGCTAAATATATTACCTTGAAGATGGTGTAAACATCTGCATGGGTTTACATGAAGGGGTTAACATGTACAATTTTTAGTTCAGGACGCCCTGTAGTAAGCTAACTAGTGGCGCTCTATTCCTGGTGTCATTTTGTTTGAGTATTCACATTTTTTTAAATGGTGCACGAATTTGACCAATTTAAGCAATCACTTGAACTATCGTTTGACTTTAAAGGGCCCATGTAATGTATTTTTTTAAGCAATTCTTGAACTTTTGTGTTGCATATAACCTGTATTTTTATGTTGCTATTTTCAAGGGTATTTTGGTGCTTTGTTGGTTTTTTGTGCTAAATGAAAATTTACATATTCATGAGCAAATGACGATGACGTCATTTCAGGCAGAAACCTCAATGTTTACAGCTGTTTTTGTACCAAACTTTGCCAGAAGTTTGGATCAATAATTGCGTCACGAAGTTTCTTGTCTTTGGCAATTCGTTGTTCTGTCAGTGCATGATAATGAGTAAGCTAATAAGCAAACCTTTCTCGTAGGCTAAATGTTTTCAATGAATTTTTTGGGGGGGGCCATGATTTTGAAACGTCTTCCTGAAAACGACATCGCATCAACAGCGCCCTCAGTTGTCGAGAAAAGCATGGACACTTTTAAAAGTTTAAAGTTAAAGACGGGTACTTTCAATAAACTTAACCGAAAAGGACGTCAAATAGTTGCATATATTTAACAGAAGTAGAAAGTTACACAAAATAAATTCCAAAGTAACAGTCATGTCATGATCCCTTTAATTTGTGCCCTTTAGGCCTATTGTACTCAACTTTTTCATTTGTATGCCAATTTTCAATTTGGCACAAAGAATCCTAAAAACACCAGAAGCTATAACCCCCCCCCCCCAAGCACAATGTAGACCTTCATTTAAGAGTTAAGTGCCCTTTTTTGTATTGATAAAATGTAAAACAGTGTCAAGCTTTCCCCTTTTTATATCGTATCACTTTCATGAAATGATTGAAATTGAAGGAAGGTTTGCATTGGGGCGTGGTCTTTATGAATTCAGTGGAGTTGGAGGCCTTGGGGGCAACTCTCGCGAAATTCTCAATTTCTAACCCTAATTTTAGCTTGCTAGATATTTGAAGTTTTTCCCATCTTGTTGAAGTATTCCAAGCGCAAAGAGCCGAAACGGGCCCGACAAATTTCAGATCTCTCTCTCATCAGTTAAGCAGGGGGGGGGGGGGGGGGCAAAGGGGGCCATGCCCCCCCCCCCCCAAAAAAACGAAACCATTTTTTTTTTATGTGACATCGCAATAAAGGCAGGCAATGAGTACACCACCATCTTTTCCTCAAAAAAAAATTGGTTAAAGTGGTCAGAAATTGCCTCAGATCGCACCACAGAGCATCTAGAATCCAAAATTTTTCGAGGCCCTTCAGCGAGCCCCGAACCCCACGCCGTAATTTTTTTGACCCACTTTTTGGGGGGACCAAATTTTTTTTTGCCCCCCCCCCCCCAATTTTTGTTCTGGATCCGCCCTTGCCGCCATCTTGGCTGTACTTCCCTTGTTGAAAGCTGCTCACTGGTCTGAGCCATGGTCTGAACTCAGTGACTTTATCCAGACCCCGCCGTGCACATTAAACTCGACTCCCATGAGCGTTTCCATTAAAAAGGTGCTGGTTTGTCTACCGCCATTATTTCATTCAACTTGCCCCGTCGAGTCATCCGTGGTCGAGTGTCCAAGGAACCGACAAAAATCGATACAGAGCCGCTCTTTTCTTTACTCTCATAACGAGCTTCATAAAAAAGCAGACTTAATTTACATACCAGTGCAAATCAGCCTTATGTAACCCAGTCAAAAGGCTTACGAAAATAACCTTAAGCGAAGGCTCGTTCTGATGGTTGTGGGGTCTCTTTGAAAAGAGACAGACCGATACACAATAGTCGGAGGTAATTTAAATTCCTACAATAAAACCCCCTTTGGCTGGCATTCTATTGAGGAACACCACGCCACATTCCTACCTTCTTATTATAGTCGTTTGTGACGGTGGGGTGGGCCCGATTGCTCGATAAACGGTAACTCGCCCTCGTACTTTACTTTTGAAAAACAAATTTCTTTTCGCTAGGTGGCTGGCATTCTCTACAATGTTTGGCAAAGTACATGAAGTATGTCTTAAAAAGTGCAGTTCAGTGGGATGGGGTTGAACAAAATTTATGAACCCACGCCACGGTGGTTGGATGAAGTACCCTCAAATAATTTGACCTTTCGTGACGTCGTGGAAGTCTTCCGATGGCACTGTGCCAAAAAATGTGGTAATCTGGCCTTCTTCAAAGTTTTACAATTGTAAATTTGTGGGTTGGGCCCCTAGATCTCAGTGTGCAAATAAGAGTAAACGTGCTTTACCACACTGTAAAATTGCCCAGGTAAATTTAACTCAAGCAAGGGTGAAAATTGCAACCATAGTTACCTAAAATGGGTTGTTCTTTACCCAATTGTTTGGGTTAGAGTTTCTGTTAAATTCAACCAAAACTTGTGATACAAGACCACATTAAATTTAGCTTGGTATAACCACAAGTTTTGGTTGAATTTAACAGAAATTTTAACCCAAACAATTGGGTATATATAAAGGACAACCCAATTTTGGGTAGTTGCAGTTTTCACCCTTAAAATGAACCCAGGCCAATTTTTTCAGCGTACGTTTTCACACGAAGAGACCTGATAGGTTTTTCCCAAAAAGTCCTTGAAACAGGGGATCAGTAAGTTAACCGGTGTTCCATTTCTGCTTTTTTTGATCCGGCTGTTTTCCAGGGGACAACTTGAAGCCTATGGGAAATAACTTTTTGGCACTGCTTGCATCCTGCCTTCTGGGTTGACCGAGGAAGACACAGAGAATCATCAAAAAATGACATCTTCGTTGCGAAATGTTGGCTTCATTCTCATATGCAAATTATAGTTTGCTATAATGCACTGGTAGAATTAAGAAACTTTGTGAAATACCATTTTAAGCTGTTTGTTACTAGAATAGAGCAGACATAATTGAAGAAATGGGCGTTTAAAGCGCCACCATGAGGCAATGTACCCCTCCCAATGCGCGCTGTTTCTCGGATTTTCTAAAAAAAAAAAAAAAAATGCGCATGAATAAGGCGCCACTGAAATACTCGCTCACTAAAGAACAGATCAGCCTTCAAAACACCTGTGCAAATTAAAGATAATGTGCAATAAGTAAGAAATAAGCGAATGTGAAGAGGCACTGTCTCGGGTGTCAATGTGTTTTCCTGTCCCCGTTTTTAGTATAAATGACGCCATTATACCTAGAAGGCCCGCGCTACCGTGAATGGACGAGAAAAACGTCATTATACCTTCTACAATGTGTGGCTTTATTCTGTGAGGGGTTTATTTTGATAAATATTCTCCCCGAGAGAGTCAAAACTCCATTCGCTTGGTTTAAAAAGCGTAAGCAATCCGCTTTTCTTCAAGGTGACTTTTTATCTTGAACGATTCAGCGATGATATTTGGGTTTATAATGCATGCTATAAAACCTCTATTCTCTCGTTACGCAGCGATTTGGAAGACCTTTTGATTTTAATGTTAGAACGTACAATTTCTCTATTTCAAAGTATTTTTTTAATGTTTACATGTATTTGTTTTCGAACAACTGGCTATTTTCCCCCTGAGCGGTATTCCCTCCCTGTTATCACAGTGCTGCTTGCTTTTTAAACCTTAAAGTGAGAAATATGGCCTATAAGATCTAACGGTTTAAAGATTAAAGGTTGCAATCGGTTGAAAGAACAGTGTTTGAAAGCTGTCCTTCATTAAATCCTTGCTCTCCCAACAATCTCGGTGACATAATCTCTCAATAGCGGACTCCTTAATCCTATTCAGTCTCAGCACACCTCTGCCAGAATTGGTCGGCTTTAATACAAAGATAAGACGATAAAAAAGGGCAAAACAGAAGAAAACCATTTTATCTGCGTTCGATGCGGCCATGGTATTTTAGCTGGGGGAACATTGCTATGGTGATTTTCATATGTGCGTTTATATCCGTTGCAAAATAGTTATTCTCCATTTTCGTCTTTTGATCTACAAATATATAAATTTCGCGCCAAAAATATTCAATTGGTTTAATTGAGCTCATTCGGCTCACTACTGTACACGGGAAATTACTTTAAAAGTAGAAAATCAAAGTCTCTAATAGCTTGGTTATGCTTGAATTTTTTCTTTGTTTGTTAGGCCTAGTTTTG